TTTTTTTAAAGCTTCATAACAAAGTCTTGAATTGACAGTGGGATTTTGATCTTTGATATTTCGAAAATAATCTTTGAGCCATTTGTGTGTTCTACACATCCATAGTAGGTTATGGCAGGACCTAAGATATGTGCATTCATAAACAAACTATGAAAAATATAATATTGATTTATGGTTTAGTATACCTATGACCTGTACAAGTAAGATGCATTTGGCATTGTACTCTTCAATTGCATGTGTACCAAACAATGATAACCGTAGCAAATCCTGATGGGTACACAATGAATCCTTCTTCTTACATTCTGCCTTCACCTCGGCGAAACCGGAAATACTCTTAAACCTTCTTTCGTAGATGACAGTGCAATCAGGAATATCATCAATGTCCTAAAAAAAGAAAATGTATGAGATAACATCATAGTTCCATGTTAACCTTTAAGTTTATTTACCCTGAATACTTCCGTAATAATATCAAATATTTCTTTTTCAATTTTGAATCGCACTTGTGAAATTCCAGCGTTTGCTGATGTAGGACATCTATCCTTATGTCAACGAAACGTTTGAATGTGCAGCGTCAAGCTAAACTTGTTTATAGAACAGACATTTTTCCATGTTCCTTGATGTAGACTATGAGCTTTATAAAGTTTCAAGAAGAAGAGATAAAAAGAAGTGCTGTTACTGTTTTATATTGTCAGTTGATCAACAAATAACCAAGGTCAATCACGTGTAATTGCATTAAAGAATATTCCATTGGAGAGGGTTAGGTTAGTTAGAGAGACTTTGGTAGCGTGAGGTTGTAAAGCGCCCGTAGCATTAGCTACTTTGTCGCGAATTTTTTCGTGCGCGTAGTATTCACCTTAATTTATAGTTATTTTACTAGAGTAGAACTTTTATTTTTTGACGTAATCCAATTATTTCTCATATTAATATGAAACGTGGTCTTGTCAATAAAATACAATTTATTTGTAAACTTTAGATCAGAATCTCTTCATAAACTACTCGAATTTCATTTGTAGGTTTTCCTCCAAGCTTCTGACTTAAGGTTCAAACGCCAGTTTTCTCAGTGACGAGTACAATATCGGAATGTTGCATTATGGACAAGCATTCCATATTACAATAACCAAGTTGTGCATGTTTTATATTATACGTATTCTCTTCATGCCACCTTGATCTGCCATTAAGTGATACAAGCCTAAACTAAATAAGCATGTAATACACCTTTTCTGGTATATTTTGTCGACGATTTTGGATCAGGGGTCGTTACTTGCGAATTCAAGTGTCGAAATGAATTTTACTAGAATTGATTGAGACTGAGAAATATGATTAACTTTGTCCGGAAAAAAATAGGCAAGGTCCGAACATTTTTTGAAAAGGTCCGCCAAGTAAAAACACTGCAGCGACAAATAAACTGTGGTGTTTCTTCTTGTACTACGCGGATCTTTATTTAGTAAGATATGTCCTTTGGGTGTGCGTTTCGCAAAAATGGCGCATTTCCTATTGTGACACAGTATACTAAATTTGGATATTTCTGAACTATTGTACAGCATCAAGTGTGACAGGCAGAACTATAGATCAATTCCTTTGTTTATAAATACGTCAATTCTATTTCTTTTCTATAATTTTTTTTTTTCTAATAAAACTATAAGATTCAGATCTATTCATGCTCATTTAGTATTTATGTCTGACACTGTTTCTGTTGTTATTGCTATCCTTGGAGGATTTATTGTTTTATACGGTTTATGTTCTTTATTTATCAAAGAAAGACTCTATTTATCTGAAGCATGTAAAAAAAACAAAAAAGAATTGTCTTTTCCTGTGTATTTATCAATTCGTCTGTATATTATATAGCCTTTGCCATTCTATGTGGCATTATCTTTGGTCCAGTCTGTGCAAAATTCATTAATGTCAGTGATTGGGGGGATGAAGACACGATCACGAAGGAGTTTTGTCGAATCGTTATCGGTATACAAGTCATGGCCGCTGGCGTTGCTTTACCAAAAGCCTATCTTCGAAAAGAACTCATCTCTCTTCTCATGCTTCTTGGTCCTGTTATGATCTACATGTGGTTAGTCAGCGGTTTGCTCGTCTGGGCTCTTATTCCGGGATTAAATTATGTACGTGTGTTTCATCCCCCCCTTTTTTTATGTATGCTTATATGTTTTTATTTAGCTTGAGGCATTAATGATTGCTGCATGTTTCACTCCTACAGATCCAGTATGTGCACACACACACAAGCATATATAAAAAAAGCTTACTTATTTCTTATTATAGGTCCTTGCTAACTCGATTGTGCAAGGTAAATTTGCGGAAAAACATGTTCCTACTCATGTACGCCACATTATTTCTTGTGAAAGGTATAAATGAAAAATTAAAAAACAAACTACTTACATCTTTTTTTAGTGGTGCTAATGACGGACTTGGTTACCCCTTCCTGTTCTTGGCTGTCTATTTGATGCAGATGGATATAGGGCCTGCTATAGGTAAATGGGCATACTGGATCATGGCTTTCAACATCCTCTTGTCCGTTGTCATTGGATTTGTTGTAGGCTATGTTGCTCGAAAGCTTCTTAAATACTGTGAACAGAAAAAGTTGATTGATAACGAGTCATTTCTCGTATACTCGGTCGCATTATCATTCTTTCTTATGGGCGTCGTTGGATTAATAGGAAGCGATGATCTCTTGGCATGTTTTATAGCCGGCAATTCTTTTACTTGGGACGACTGGTTCCGTGTAGAGACAGAAAATGCACATTTGATGGAGGCAAGTATATTCAACATGTCATTGACTTTTCATTAACAATGTGAAATAGGTTGTAGACAACTTGCTCAATCTTAGTATCTTTGCGTACATTGGCGCGACCATGGTAAGCTTTCATCGTGGGGTGTGTAACATGTGTTGACATTCCTTTTTTTGTAGCCATGGTCATCGTTCAACGACTATTCCATTCAGATCACAGTCTGGCGATTGATCGTCTTGGCCATTCTTGTCCTGTTACTTCGTCGACTTCCCATCATTATGGCTCTCTACAAGGCGATTCCAGCCATTCATACCTGGCGAGAAGCCGTATTTACCGGTTGGTTTGGTCCTATTGGTGTCGGAGCCGTGTTTTACGCAATGGTTGCTCTTGAAAGTGTGCCAGAGGATGGACCGAACGCGCATGCACGTCAAATGATTAGACCTGTTGTTTACTTTATGGTGCTTGCTTCTGTAGTCGCACACGGTGTGACGATTCCATTGTTCTACATTGGTACTTTTGCCACTCGTACACTGACAAGAACAAGTGAAGTCACCCAGATCCTTCGTATTCCCAAGATTGATAAACGAAATATCAAGATCAAGAGAACAAATTCGGATGTAGAAATTGATGTGGTAGATATCATTCCAGATAATGAAGAAGAACAATCCACTGTAGACGTTCAAGATACCCCTAAAAATGAAGCACCAAGGCACACAGCCATTACTATTCTCACACCTTCAGAGATTCCCTCTCATCAGAACCATCATCGCTCTGTCCATGATAATAATCGATCTGTTGGGACGAGTGCGACAAACTTGGAAAGAGATTATCAAAACACCACATCATAAATATGTATATTTCCCCTCTGTTATAGAAATAGCTTGTATCATAATAAAATATAGCTTGATTGTTTATTGCCATTTTTGTACAGATGACTCGGAGAAAGAGGGGGTATAATCTTAATGTCGCGTGCGCATCTATTGTCGAGATTTATAAACATTACGTAGACCAATGTTTTCCCTGAGAACATCTTTTATAAAGGGTTTTTTTATGCATCTATTACATAAACACACCAAGAAAGTCAAATGGTCAGTGCACACAGACACACATACACATTGCATACAAGTAATTGACGTATATATTGTTTAAACAAAGCTTTATTTATAATAATAAACTGAAAGAAATCTATATAAACAAGTTAATAAAAGTTTAAATTAAATAGATGAAAGAAAAGGGAAAAAAACATTATTCAGAAATTTGGGTATAGTGCGTAATTACTCTTCAGGAATCAGACTGACGTGCAAATGTCTTTTTGTTTATCATCTTTAGCTTTTTTTTTCCCCTTCCTTACTTATTTTACCTTTTTGTTTCTTTGACAAAAGAAAAGAAGAAGCAAAAAAATAATAGGGAAATGGTTTAAATTTATAATTTACAGGGGGTAAAAAAGAGACCCAGAAAAAAAAATTTATGATCTTGCGGTCACGCTGTTCCTAGACAGTTCAATAGATCTCCTCTATTCATTACAACGTTGTGTGTGGCGTTCTGGCCTTGTGTGGGATAGAAAAGGGAATCTACCAATCATCAAATTTAGTTCATTAATTATGTACAATTAAACGAACCAAATCGAATCTTTGAGAGAATCATCATTTTGTAATTATTTTTGTCCTGCAACGTCAGTGGACTGAAATTCCGGTATCGATGCAGCTTACTTGATCAGGAAACTTGTTTCTTTGTACTACAGAGACCTTTGCGCGCGCGCAGATATAAAGTTCACAATATACATTGGTGACATCAGTGGATAAGAATAAGACCCTAGCGCACGCTGTGAATTAATAGAACATATGAATTTCCTGTTTAATACAAGTAAACTTCCATCAGTCGTACAGAGTAATGGCGACATCATTTTTTTTTTTAAATGACACCTCAGCCAATGCCGCGACTAGTAGAGTAAGCGGTGCGTGTGTAACTTTATGCATTTTTTTTTTTTTTCGCTGGTATCCCTTTTTATTGAATTGTCTGCCTTTCCCCAACAAAGAGGGGAGGGGGAGCATATCAGAATTGATAGACAAATATATCAATTAATCCTTTTTCATTGTTCAGGTGAGTGGTTAGTTTTTCAACTATTTGCGCAGACAAGGACCTTTTTTTTTTTTTTTTTGCAATAGTCGTACAATGATTAACGCTTTCCTCATCTAGTTGTAATATCAGCTAGTTTTAATAACTTGTACTCCAAGAGTAGCCGAGCGGTTACAAGCACGAGCAAGCGTACTAATAGAACAGCACAATTGAGCATAAAAGATATAAAAATTGTTTAATCTAAAGTAAGAATCAAATCGGTCATGAATATAAAATAGAAAAGCCAAAAAGTGTATGATTCTCTCTTTCTTAAAATGTTACATGAAACAGAAAAAATACAAGTTAAAGAGAAGGTCAATTATCGTAGCATTGCATCATGATAAAAACTAAAAGTGGCTAAAAATCGCCGTTTTCACTTGTACAAACCAGTCTGTCCTTTTTTTCTTTCTTTCTCTTTTCTTCTATCTTTTTCTTTCTATCTTCTATCTTTTCTCTTTATTATCTCTTGAAAAATGAATCAATCTCATTCCAATGTAATGTCTATTGAGGCTATTACGTGCCCTAAATCACATCAATGCAAAAATCCAGCAGATGAACAAATTGTCCAAGAGATGACGCCGTTTGATCAGCAAGATACCTATTCTCAATTTGTCATCGCTCATCCCCAGAGTGAACTAATCCCCTGTTTTTCCGAGCCAAAGGATACATCATATTTTGGTATTACCTATCATCCACCCTCCGCCGGCTTCGAATTATCCCCAACTATGACCGATCGAAGACAGAGCAATAGCAGCAGCTGTAGTAGCAGCACAAGCACCGTTTTGAGCACACATAGTTTGAATCCAGAACCGTACAATCTACATAAACTTGGATATAAGAAATCAAAAGAAGATTCAATCAATCGAAGAAGAGAACGAAATAAACTGGCTTCAGCAAAGTATCGTGCCAAGAAACAAGTCATGACGATGACAATGCAATCTCAAATCATGCAACTAGCGAGAGAAGTAGCTTATCTTCGAGATGAATTGGAACAAGCTAAAAAGAATGAAACTGAAATGTTGTATCGATATCAGCAACTACAACAGTTTTGCAAAAGCCATCACCACTAATACCCCCTTCTTATTTCACTGAAAAAGTTCTGTTCTCTCTGTATGTGTTTATAGTTGTTCTTATTTATTCATGTCCTTGTATGTATTCATTATCCACATAAAAAAGAAAGCTGTTATACCCTTTTTTATAAAAAGTTCTCTCTTTTTTTGCTTATTTATAAAATATTGTTCTAACATTAGAAAATGTATAATTTATTATCATAAAACTCTTAATTAATTATAATAATTGCTAATAGGCTTTTCGCTCTTGTAGGATATTTCAGCAGACTTGGTGCTTGTGCCATCATCATCAATGTGAGGTTGAATCATGGGTCCATCAAACTTCATTGACTTTTCATGATGCTTGGCTTCGTCAGCATCAAATGTCATATCTGCTGTCATATGATCGTCATTGTGTGTCTTGGTTCGTCCATTGCCACTACTGGAAGATCCACTGGTGGTGACCCAGTGAACAGTAACCACGTTGACCTATATACACATACTTAGTATACAAACAAAGCACCCTTAGTTTTTTTTCAGTTACCGTCACATCTACAGTACACATGGTCAAACAGACTAATCCTCTTTGATGCCCATGAGTCAAGACGACAAGCAAGACATTCAGAAATGAAATGGACAGACACATGATGGAAGCAACCAATGTACGTCTGGCAAGCTTGTAAAGTCGAGTGACCTTCCAGTCGGTACGTGTGTTGCGACCAATGTTTGTTAAAGGTCTCATAAAGAGCCATGTCAGATAGAGATTGAAAATCTAAATCATAAACATAGTTAGATTCGTTTTCATGCAACAATGTACTCTTTACAAAATCATAAACCAAGAGTGGAATACTGGCAACATCTTGTAAACCAATCGTACAGGTTCCATCAGCCTCGAGATAAATGTTTCTAAAGCTTAACTGTATATGGTATAAAATTATTCCATTATGTCTTTTTTAAGTACATGGATTTTACCATTAATGCAAAGATAATAATGTAGGGGCAGAGCAACAGTATGTGGAAACGGTATTGGGCGGTCTTTAAGCGAGTCGTTTTGACAGCGGTTACCAAGTGAACACGTTCGATAAGCCTAACCCAATTTAGTCAATTTGTATAAAAAGGAGAGAAGTTATGATTTTACCATGCATAAGCAACAATTTTACTTCCAGCATAAAAGAAATCACAAGAAAGCATACCCAAGGTACATGAGATGATATTGTCTAAAGAGAGACAGAGAGAGAAATAGAGGGTAAATAGCATGCTACAAAAAAGAGTATTGCTTACGGTTATTAGTAGATACGACAACCACTGAAGTGACAGCAAATGCCCAAGATAACGAATAAAGAAGGATAACAAGAGCACGACCATAATTAAGTGTCTTGAACTTTTCACCATACGTCTTTGCTCCCAGAGCAACGGCCAATACGGTGATACAGGTTAACGAAGTGAGTTCAGAGGCCATCTCATAGGTATCAGGGTTCACCGGACCCAGATCAAGCGTAACATTGGGATTTGTACTATTCATTTCAAAATAAAAAAGAGAGCACAAGAGAAAAGAAAGAGATCAAGAGAAAGAGAGAGAGGGCTTTATAAAACAAACAAGATGGTATCAAAAGGGTAAGTGGAGGAAGGAGATGGTTGTCTGTCATTTTAGGGTTATCCTTTTCGTTTTGCTCCCTATGTGTACTTTTTTTTTTTTTTTTTTTTTTTTTTCAGATAACATCATGCGGATGACACAGTCTCTCCTTATTTTTATTTCTTGTTTGCCAGCTTTTTACTTGAAATTTATTTAGAGATTCAGCCACTTGTAAACTTTGTAGCGCACGCTTGTCTAATGTGCCATATGGGGTACATTGTGTACAAGGTCTGTCAGAAAAGGAGAAGAAGAGAGAGAGAGAATAGAAAAGGTTATTTTAAAGGAGTCCAAGATGCATAATAAGGTGTATTGATAGGGAGATCAATTTAGTCTTGTCTACACTTTTACTATTGTCAAAGAGTAAACTTTTGAAAAAGTTTTATGGTTTCTTTGGCCAGTAAGGTTAAGTTTAATGTTGATCAAATGATCCCCTTTCTTTTTTTTTATTAGTACTTTTTTTAACGTTATTTACTATTATTGTATTAGGTTGTAACCTTAGTGTCTTTATCCTCTTTTTCTCTCTCCCTGCTGCTGCAGATCATTGCACACTACTCTTCAATACTTTAAATTTGATTCGCTTACTTCTTGACCAATCAATCTTCCTTCTTTCCCCTTGGATTTTACCTAATGGGAGGATTGGCTTTTTTCTTTGGTCTGAAGAGGAGAAGTATGTATTTACAAATATGTTCAAATAAAAGAGTTATTTCAGAAAGATATGATTCATATTGCTACAAGAAAAAGAAGCACAATTCGTATCACGTCACGTTTTTATTAAAGGAAGAAAAGAGAAAAAAAAAAAAGGTCTGCTTGTATATTCTCCCCTTTTTTTTATATAAAATTATGCAACAAACATCAACAGAACTAGACTTTATTCACGCTTACCTTGACAGACTATCTGTAAAGTCTGTTAGATATGGTCAAGATTATTTGACGCATACTGTGCCTACTTTAAGAATCAAGGTAAGATGACACAATAAGAAAATAAGAAAAAAAGGTTTATCAACCTCTCTTTGATGATTAGAGACAACCTGTTGTTCATAAAGGTATGTATTTTAAAACATGGTTCCCGCGCGCGCGCATGTGTGTGTACATGTCTTCTCTTCTAGAACGATTAGACACATCACGAGTCAAATTTATTTTTACTTAATCTTTCCCTTTCGTTCTAGTCTCATCCGAATCAAATTCATCACCTGCAACAACAACAACAACAACAGAATCAAACGACAAGTTTCAACTGAATATCAAGGTTTTAAAGCCTTCGTTTCAGTTTAGTATTGGTGGTCTGCAGTCCAATGATACCGTGTCTCATTTGAAACAACGCATCTACCAACAACAAAGTGCATACCCTGTCAATCGTCAGCGTTTACTTGTGAAGGGTAAAGTACTAGGAGACCAAAAGACGTTGGGAGAATTAGGCTTAGAAGGAGACAGTGTTGTTCATTTGATGCTCACAGCAGCACCTGCTTCAAAGACAGGTCGATTTGGCATTTCTGCCGAAGCTGAACAAAAGATGAACAGCTCCGAGTTTTGGGAAACGATCGAAAAGACACTTGTGGATCAATTAGGGCAAGCGGATGCAACATTAGTTTTTAGTAAAGTGAAGGCTGCTCTTACGCCATAAAAGGACAAAAAAAAAGGAAAAGGGTCAGATGAAATAAACGGCTTTTTTTTTTTAATTAACCTAGTAACCATTCTACAATAAGCTGTTCTTGCTCGGCATTACAGTCATTATTACTACTATTATTATTTTTACTATTAATACTATTACAATCATCCAGAAACCACTCTTCTTCGTCTTCTATATCCGTTTGACACGCCTTGTCTATTCCTATGATTCGACGCTTGGAACGAACGATAGGAACTGGAGGAGGAACGACATAGACAAGTCCCTGTGGTAATTCATCAGAGTGCCTGTTATTTAGTAACAGTTGATCCTGTGTTTCAAGTCGTCCACCAAGGAGAGCGTGTTCGTGAAATGAAGGCGGTCTTTGTCCTGTCGAAGCACGCTTGAGGACTAAACTGGAAGGTCGTTCGATTACGTTTGTGTCTATAGTAGGCGTTTTCTGCTCTTTAGTCTTTGCCTCCTCCTCTTCTTCTCCCTCTATGATCATCGATTGCTTCGATCGCTGAGAAGGTCGTGACGCAAGACTTGAAGCGGGCGTCAGAGGAGGACTTGTGTGATAGATAGGAGTAGCAGGTGTTGGACTGACGACTTCAATTGTTTTTAAACGATGAGGTGTGAGTGAGACCTTTTTGGTCTGACCAGATCGAAACAAGTCTTCGAAATCATTTGCTAATGGAGATGAAGTAGGTGATGGCAAAGTGTTTGAAAATGACGACGACTTTTTTGAAAGGGAGAATCGGATCGAATGCTTTCTTTTATTTCCAAACAGACTGAATTGACTCTTTGATGTGGTCTTGGTTGATTGTGTATGCGTACTTTCTGTTGATTTTCTCGGCATACTTGGTTCTATATCTGCAAAAATAATAATAGCATTGTCAGTTTAGCAAAAGATGAACTATATGTTCTCTCTCTCTTTACGTGTTTCTGATTTTTCTGCTTCAAGATCTACTGTGGAAACAGATGAGGCTCTGATGTAAGACAAGAGTTTTTTCTAGCTTGAAATAATTAAAAATAACCTAAACTAAACTCATTTCCCTTACTTGTAACTGATCTTTTAATTGCATTTTTTGAAACACTAAGTTCACTTTTGAATCATTCAATAGAAACAATATCACGTCCTTGACTCGAATACACTCTGACTTGGCCTCTTCTGCTATAGAGGTCAGTAAATATTCTGCCATGTGTTCGATGATAACTGTAAGATAAACAATGATCACATCGGATGTGTTGTGGGTTCCTTTATAATCTGATAAGGCACAATGGTGTGCACAGGCAGTTCGAATCATATCCATATCTAAAGGTGTGCTCGGTTTGGCCTTGATGGTGCTGACCTCCATGTCTGCTTCTATGAGTGCATTTTTTCCAAGTGAATTTGGTAAAAGTTGCTGAATGTTTGTTTTTATCGAGTCGAGGCTGGTTGATGGACAAGTACCGATTAAAATAAACAAGAATTCGTCTATAAATGCATTGATGGCATCGAGTCCCTCGTTGGATATACGAATAGAACCCGCTTCTGCTATTATGGCATGAGCCGCTCTTTGACAGACAAAAGTGACTATGGAATTGTATTAGCTGCATTAAATTAAAATGTGTTATTCTTTCTCCACCTTTTGACATTTTTTTTATAGAATAAAAAAAAGGGGGAATACAAGAAGAGAGAGAGAGAAAGAGGAAAAAGAAAGGGAAAAAATAAAAATAAAAAACTGGGCATGGGAATAAAAGAGGGGGGCACCAGAATATTAAATGATCATAGCAAAGATTGTTTAGTAAACAAGAAGAAAGGGGGGTGAGTAGGTGGCGAGGATATTTCTTTTTTTAGTTATTTAGATTAATTGGACGAGCGATGATATAAAACAATGATACGCCGAGGTTTGAAAGGAGAAGGAAGAGGGAGAAAGAATAAGCAGGAGTTATAACGAGTCGCTTAATTGATTGCGTATACAATCTTATTTAGATGATGCTTTCATCAAGGTAAGTCAAACTACGCTACTATACTAATGCAGTAACACAGTCCATCAGTAAGGTAGCCCTTTTGCACATTGGCCAACTTGCAGATCAGCCCTGCATTTAAGCGTTATTTGGCCGCTTTTTACTCGCAATAACCTTAATCCATTTAGTCTTTAGAGCTAATTTATATTATTGCCACTATATATTTAACCGGGTGGCTATGAAGTGTAGACTATGTTAAATTATGTCTGTACTTGTCATGAATGACTGGCCTCAAGTATTAGACTATAGTAGCACGTTTATTAAATGGTGTTTTTTTTTTTGTATTTGTTTACCTCCCGCATTCCCCTGCAGAATTGTAAATTGCTATTGTCTAAGCTTCCATAATAGATTATTCTAGTATACTAAAGAATCCTTGAGCTTTTATTTGTTTACATCATTAATTGCTGATTTTGCTAGTTGTGTCTCTGCTCGCTCTTTCTGAAAGATACAAAAATTTCCTGCAAAACAGATTTCCCCTGCCATGTATACTTTATCATGCAGAGAATGTGAAGATTATGCTATCCAAATGAATTACAGATCAGGTCCACCTAACTTGAGTAATTATCAGGTCAATACAGAATGAAATTGATTAGCTACAACAGCTGATGTTAACCACACACAACAGACGTAATCGAACTCTTTCCTTGAATAACTTGACCTTTTTTTCAACCTGTAATGCTAGCCTTCTGTCACATATTCCAAAAGGAATTATATTTTCCATAGTCAAATGTATTAGATTGTTTATTACATAAGCTTGATTTTATCAAGTATAAGTAATAAAGGAGAATTTATGAATAAAACAGAAAAAAAAAGAGCAAAAGTGAAAAGATGTTATGGTATATCATAGGCTTTATTCATCGGTTAAAAAAAAGTTACCTGCATCATCTGAATTTATCAGAGCAAGCGCACAATCATCTTTTGATTTGGCGTAAAGGCATGATACTCAAGATTTAAATGATCGACACTCGCACATGATTTCTACTCTTCTATATACTACACATATGAACATCGCAATCAGTTCTATAATCAAAGATGTCACTAGAGTAAGGATGTGTACAACCAAAGTGATATGCTTTTAGTTGACAAGGCTTATCATAAATTTCATATTAGTTATTGTTTTTCTGTTGGTTTTATTAGACTTACAGCAGGGCCAACGCCAAAGGGCGGCTTTAAATTCTCAATTGACGGTTTATCTTTGTCAAAAGGCGGGTTTGATTTTACAATTGGGCTTTTTATAATTCCACAATAAATTCTAAATGAGTACTCACTTTTTTTACGAAGAAGGGAAGGATGCTATGGACTGGGAAGAATAGGTGCACCCTCATCACCTAACTACCTTAACTCGCATGAGGCTCTAGGTATTAAATAGAAAACGAAGCAAATGCGAGCATCCATAAGGTGCCAAATTTATCTAACAAAAGGGTGAACACTACGCGCATGAGGAAAACCACGAGAAGGCTAATGCTACGGGTACTTCTTCTAGGCATTATATGTGACATCATTTTACAACTGCATAATACCCAAAGTGTCTACCTAACCTAAGACTGTCCTGTAAGATATTCTTTGATAGAAAATGCAAATTTATCATAATTGTACGTGACTGATCTTAGTTCTTTGTTGATCAAATGACAGCATAAAATAAAGAAATAACAACATTTTATCTCTTCTTAAAAGATAAATTCTTATCCTGCATCAAGGAGCATAGAAAGATGTCTGTTCCTGAACAAGCTTAACGTGATGTTACACATTGAAAAGGTTTGCTGACGACACCACAGATAGTGCTTGTAACAGTAACCCTCACGTGTATTTCCTCGTGCACGTAGTGTACATCGAATTGAATGGCTCAAATTTATTAAAAAGTACCAATTAGCATTTCATCCATTAAAATAAATGTTTAGAGTGCAGCTTTGTTGTGTATAATCTCACACGTAAAGATTAGTATTAGACGTGATCAAATACGACAATATTCACGAATACATATTTTTCTTTTGCTTCGTTCTTCATTTTGTAATGCTATGGCCTCATATTGAGACACTAATAGGGCATTTATTCTTTCTTGGTATCGTAGATCATTCTTTTCATTCATCTCTTTTTTTAGTTTGAGCTTGCTGTTAAAGACCCTTCTAAATGTTCCACGGGCTTCACCATTTCTCATATATTTAACTACTCTTCTTGCATACTCCTTTAATAAGACTGATTCCATAGAATTTGTATCTGGGTGGTGATTTTCTAATTTCTTCAGATTTGACGCTATTGTTTCGAAGGCAGTGTTTGGATTTTCGTTTTCAATATTCTGCAAGAGATGATCATTCGCTATTGCCTCAATATTTCTCCAATCATTGATTGGAAGCCTCAAGACACGGCCATCGATACCTAACTTAGAGCGTAAGTCTTGCAAGGTGGTTATAGGGCCTGGTAGTTTATTTAAAGTTGGTGTTTTTGGCAATTTGGACATGCTAAAAAATATATGATAAGTGAGTATAATTGTTTGTTTCAGTGTTTTTGTTTGTCATATGTAAAATCTTTTTTGACCTGCAGTGTTTTTCTTCAATCATATGGTGGTATTATTACCATTTCTCAATATATGGACAAAGCAATTAAGATGCTGCCTTTTTTTGTTCATGTTTCATTTGCGGAAGAGCCGATATCATTTCATTTAATTAGTGACTATATGTAAGCTATTGATGATGGTATATATCTGTGGCCACCTTTTTTTTTTTTTTTGTACATATTCAACGGACCAGGGCAAATTTTGCCTTATTTGATTAAAATTCATTGAACTGTATCTCCACAAACTATTATACTTTTATTTGAGAATTAGTTGTTCATTATTTCTCTACGAAAACTGCGAATTTCAGAAGAGTTTCGAGAAAACATATTTTTCTCATATGATTTAGCAGATATATGCCTCCCTTCTTATTCTCCATAGCTCAACCCTATTGGGTAGTTTTGGAAGTCTTGAAGGATAGAGTCGAAAGAGGCAAGTTGAAGGACGTAGAAACCTTTAGCTCAAGAGTTATTGAAGGAAGCAAAAATGATCCTGTTGAGAATTTGCAGAACCTTATTCAGTATTCTATCAACTTTTCCCCTAAATGCTTAAATAAAGAACCTTTGTAATTGATTTGATCAGAAGTTGGTCAACTTATTTGTCAAAGTTTAATTTTTCATTGGTCGAACTTTGTGTGTATTTGATTGGATGTTCAGCTGATACTGTGGCGTCAGGAAACATATTCCATTGGTTACCCTCTTGCCTGCTCTTACCATTGCCCTTATTTTACTCTTAAAAATAACGATCATAATACAATACATAGAAAGAATAAATGTAACAAATTGATCTATTTATCATAAAGCAAGGAATTTTCTCTTCTTGAACTTTTTTTTATGAACGATCCGAGCATCATTCATGTTGAGCTTGATGTGAGATGGATGACCTTTATAATAGTCACAAGAAGTGAGTCACAAGCAAATTTTTTAATTTCCAAATCTTCATATAAAAACCCAAACTGTTTGTTTTAATCAAATTTTGGGTGGTTATCTTTCACTACCCCGTTTCCCCTTTTTCTTTTTATAATAAATTCTTCTTTATAAAGACTCAAAATGGTCGTTGCAGAAATGAATGAGGCATTTGACACTATCCTTATCTTGGATTTTGGCTCACAAACTTCTCACTTGATTGCTCGTCGTGTTCGTGAATTTGGCATCTATTGTGAACTCTTACCCTGTACTCAAAAGATGTCTGAACTTCACTTCAAGCCCAAGGGTATTATCTTGTCTGGCTCTCCTTACTCTGTCTATGATACCGATGCTCCCCGTGTAGACCCTGCCGTCTTTGATGCCGGTGTACCCGTCTTGGGTATCTGTTACGGTCTTCAGGAAATGACCAACTTGATGGGCGGTAAGGTCGAAGCCTGTGATCATCGTGAATATGGTTATGCCAAGTTATCCATTCACCAATTCCCTGAACATTCTCATGCTGACAAGCTCTTCAAGGGTATTGCCAACGACGTTCAAGTCTGGATGTCTCACGGCGATCAAGTCACTCAAGCTGCTGAAAACTTTTTAGTCATTGGTACCACTGCCACTGCTCCTTTTGCTGCTGTCGCTCACAAGGAAAAACCATTCTACGGTATTCAATTGCACCCTGAGCTTTCTCACACAGCCTGCGGTAAGGATATCCTTCATAACTTTGTTTTGGATATTTGTCAAGCCTCAGCCTCATGGACCATGGAGTCATTTGTTGACAAAGAAATCGAACGTATTCGTCAAATCGTCGGTCCCACCGGTCGAGTCATCGGTGCTGTCTCCGGTGGTGTCGATTCTACTGTGGCCGCCAAATTGATGCACGAAGCCATCGGTGATAGATTCCACGCTATCTTGGTAGACAACGGTGTCATGCGTTTGAACGAATGTGAGAATGTGAAGAAGATGCTTGTTGACCATTTGGGTATCAACCTCAAGATTGCTGACGCCAGCGACCTCTTTTTGGATCGCCTCAAGGGTGTGACTGACCCTGAAAAGAAGAGAAAGATCATTGGTAACACATTCATTGAAGTCTTTGAAGCCGAAGCAGCATTGATCGATAAGGAATGTGGTGGACAAATTGAATACTTGCTCCAAGGTACACTTTACCCAGACGTCATTGAATCCATTTCCTTCAAGGGCCCCAGTGCCACCATCAAGACCCATCACAACGTCGGTGGTCTTTTGGAAGACATGAAGCTCAAGCTGATCGAACCTCTTCGTGAATTGTTCAAGGATGAAGTGCGTGAACTCGGAAGAATCTTGGGCCTTGATGATGACTTGGTCTGGCGCCATCCTTTCCCTGGCCCAGGTATTGCCATTCGTGTCCTCGGTGAAGTCACTCGTGAACAAGTTGAAATCGCTCGTTTGGCCGATCACATCTATATTGAAGAAATCAAAAAGAACGGCTTCTATCGTCAAATCTCTCAAGCCTATGCTGCCCTCTTACCTATCAAGGCTGTTGGTGTCATGGGTGATAAGCGTACTTATGAACAAGTCATTGCTTTGAGAGCCGTAGAGACAACTGATTTCATGTCTGCCGACGTCAAGACAGGTGCCGAATGGTTCCAATGCCTCAAGCGTATCTCTTCTAGAATTATTAATGAAGTCAAGGGTGTTAACCGTGTTGTATATGATATTAGCTCTAAGCCTCCTGCTACCATTGAATGGGAGTAGATTAGTATATTAATAAAAATAATCATGCATTTTTCATATTTTTAATATTAGAATTAACAAAATTGATCTTTTTTTTTTTTTTTTTTCTTTTTTCTTAAAATGATAAAACTATGTCTATTGTTGGGATTATTAATTCTAACTTGTAGCTTATGTTGGCGTACTTATATGCGCAAACTGTATAGACTGAAAGACTATAGCAATTTGCGCATTATTCATAACGTAGATTGGAATCACTGTTTTGTGCAAGCGTATGATAACGAAGCTAATTTGAAAACAATCAATGAAAGGATGACAAACTATATCTATAAAAGAAAAGACAAGGCGACCGAATCATTTATCAAAAGACAAAAGGCAAAGCAGAAGGTGCAGCAGATTGTTGACAGTACAGCATCGTCCTTGCCAGACGTTGCCTATGATAAGAAATTGAAGCTTGAACATCAGCTATCTTCAATCGCTCTATCCATCTTGTCCACGAAGGAAGAGCTTGTAGCATTAAGAGCGAAAATTGAAGAAGTGAGACATCAGGCAGAACAGGAAATCCGCTCAGGAACAGCAAACCAATCTGTTACGAGTACTACTGCATTCAAGGAACAAGAGTCACTGAAAAAGTTTCGACAAGTATATAAGCACATTTATCAAATAAACAAGGCTATTGATTTAGCTAGTTTGTCAGTTTAAATCACAAAAAGAATGATATTTATTCACTGTATTTTTCTTTTTCTTTCTGATCCACTTCTTCTTGTTCTATCTTGCTTTCATTTTTTTGCTCTACTTTTTCTTGTTTTATTTTACCTTGTTTTTCTTTTTGTTTTAATTCCTCTTGTAAGCCTTTGATGCTCATCTCTTCCAATCGAGTGAGCAGAATAGATCTATTTTCAGATGTCATCGATGCAACACTAGCCTGCTTCTTACGCATCTGTTCAAACGTACGCCCAATCCCTTCTTGCTCGTTCACATTCACTTCATCAAACTTATACTGAGTACGCCACATATCTTTATGTGGATCTTCAAAGGTTAAAGGACCATGAATTCGTTTTCCATTGACAAATGAGGTTACTTCGAGTTTATATTCTGTTATTTCCTCATAAGGTTTCATAGCGTACTCTGGGTCGTCCTCTTTCCCCGGCGGCACTTTCTCGACATAGATATACATCTTTGCTATATCTTTGCCTGGCACGGTGTTGAATGATATCCTAAGGGTGCTCTCTGGGTATTTTTGGGTAGCAGTGTCTAAAACAGTTTGAAGGAGCGTAAGTGAGTTATTAAACACTTGGTCACCGATCTTTCTCGATCCGAAGAGTCGTAAATCCATTTCGCTTCGGGAGATGTATTGAAAGCCAAATATTTTTCTTGTATTGTGGTATGCAACCAAGATGCCGTCCATGTGACCAATGCGTACCTGGAAACTAAGTGTATGTGTGAGTAACAATATGTGTTTTGGATGGTAGTTGTTATCTTACGAGTATTTAAGAAAGGCAGATCTGATCATGTCATAGTATTCTCTTTCGTACGATTCATAATATCCTCTATATCTGTTTATTCTATAGCCTACATATTTCTACATGTGATTCATGAATGAGAGGGAGAAAGCGCTATTTGCTTGTTATAATCATACCTCATAGTTTTTCACATCCAGTCTAACAGGAATCGCAGCTCTTGTTTTAAGATCAAACGTTTTTCTTTTAAGACTGGGATGATAGCAATCTAATTGAGATCTTAGTAGGAATTTACCCGCCTATCACAACATCAAAATAAAGATGGTGAGTGTCACCCATATTACCCCAATTCACTTACATGTCCATAAGCGTATGATTCTGGCCTATTTCTTTCTTCTTCAACATTTATATCTTGATTATCTTTCAAGTATTTCTCAAACTCATTAGGTTCAAGTGTTAATACCTTTTCTAATGATTTTCCCTTTTGAAAGACACATGGGTTAATCTTATAAAGATATACATGCATTATTAATGTACCATCACAGACAAAATAGTCTCATCTCCATCCATTGCTTTATCTGCATCTATTGCATAAACTCCATCTTTCCATCTCAGATAGATTGTTGCTGCTACTTGTGTTCCTCTGGTAAACTTGGTAGACTAGTGGTGATATTAATAGATTGTTTTTAATTATTTGTATGCATCGTTTTACCTTGTCTTGAAAGACACTTGACAGCCCAGTAATATTGATCCGCTTAAAATTAGACATGGCAAAATAAAATTGAGACAGGGTAGCAGAGACGGATGAGGTTGATCCAATGTAGCGTTTATGATATTTCCTTGCCATTTCTATTAAGTTCTATTTTTGTAAATCATCATGAGATCTCTAAATGGGTTCTTTATAACTTTTTGCTTACATTATCTTTTGACGATGTGATATATGGAGGAAGCGCATCAAAGTTGATGTTGGCAGGCTGTGTGATAAATTCAAGATAGGGTGTAAAATTATACTTGTGGGTTACTGGATCTTTTAGATAGTGCACTCCACGCCTATATGCTCCATAAGACAATGTAATTGTTTGTTTATATATTTATATATCTCTTTTACCTAAATAATACTTTATCCAAACCATGAGCTAACGTAGCGATCTCTACTTCTTTAGGTGGAGCAAGTGCTGAAAGAAAATATGAGCAAAAAAAAAATGATTATGTGTATATTTTGCTTTACCTTTGTATTTTATATGGTCAATCTTCTTCCAGCCTTCTTCTCGAAGTTTTTGTAGTTTTTCTGACAGTCTAGATCTAGGCTTTTTTCGACCTATGACATGGATCTCGGTCACAGTTTGACCATTATCTATCACCTTCTTTAAAGTTTGTTTTGGTATTGTTGTTGTCAAAAGCCTCTTTGCTGTGAAGCATAATGTCCAATGAGTACCCGTTGAAAGTAAGAACATGATTGAAAAGACGATCGCTGTCAGGTTAAGAGACAAATAGTATTTGTGACTTGTTTGTGACAATGCCCCTTTGTTCTCTTTTTGTTGGCATAACGTAGAATTTACATATGCATACACATATTCTTTTTCTTTCATTTTATTCAGCATTAGTACTTTTAAGATGCTTTTAAGTGTGATACAGCATACGGCCGAACTTCTTGAGGAAAGTGTATCCTTTATATTTAAAACTCGGGTCAATAGGCTGTCAGTTGAGATAAAAGAAAGAGAGAGAAGGACAGAAAAAGGCCCAATTGCCCATGAGCTCTCAAAGGATGATCCATCGAAAGAAGAGTAGCGACTCTTTATATTTCTCCTATTCACCATTCTATGAATAATTGGTAAATAACCCAAAACTAAAACGTCTTGTCACAGTCATATGGCTGGTTTTGTTATGCATCTTTTCAACAGTATACACTGATTAGTAATATGCTTACAAGAGGGAGTACGTGGGCCATAAGTTAAGATTTATCACAAGTTTATTAACAAGATAAACAAACCTTTTGTACTTTATGCCTCTAAACTAACTTTATTCTGCAAAAAAGGAAAAGGCCTCATTTTTCAAGTTCAGCATCGTTGTATTTTTCTCTTTTCATTAACAAAACCAATGGCAACTAATCAAGAAATGCTAGATCGCATTAGCCAACTTTCTATGGCTATTCAACAAAAGCGAATGTCACAGCAAACAGGGCAACAACAACAACAGTCATACAGACCATATGCTAGGCCACCCAATGTATATAGACCTACCTATCCTGCTACATACCGTCCAACATATAGACCCAATCTATACCGCCCACCACCCAATTACAGTAGCTATAGACCACCAGCGACAACAACAACCTATCCTGCTAGATCTACAACAGCTACACCACAAAGCCAACATCGTCAGTTGATCAATCAACACAATAATACCATTGTTAAATCAGTTGATCCGACCACAGGAAGACAACAAGTATCCGTAAACGGTGTCGAGTTTATCGTCAAGGGTAAAAAACTTGTCAGAAAGGATGTACTTGATAAGACGCCAACGTCTACTGCAATCAATGCACCCAAATATCTCGTTCGAAAGATTATCAAGAGGTAAACTAGCCCTTTTTCATATAAATGTATTTACATTTATTCATTTATTTTTTGCAAAAGGCCAAAGGGAGTCAAAAATAGTAAAAACAAAGTATTTATTCGAGGATTAGAAGGCTATGTTCGTCAAGGACCAAAGGCGTTGGTGTTGAAAACAAGTCAACCAAAGAAGAAACGGTACTGTGGATTCTATACACGCTACGGTAAATGTCCTAATGCGGATCGTTGTCAATTCGTGCACGATCCATCTCACCGCGCAATCTGTCCACGATTTCTTCAAGGCAAGTGTCAGAAACAAGTGTGTCGACTGTCGCATCAACCCAATGAACATATCATGCCACACTGCGTTCATTTCCAAAAGGGGGCTTGTAAGAATGATCCTTGTATCTATCCTCATGTACGTGTCAACCCTCAAGCGCCTGTGTGTAAGGCGTTTGCGATGGAAGGGTACTGCCCTCGAGGATTACAGTGTGAGGAAAAACATATTCATGTCTGTCCAGAGTTTGCAGAAACAGGCAAGTGCTCGAATGCTAACTGTCGATTACCTCATGTGGCTAGGAAACACGGTAAAGGAATCATCAGGTTGAGTAGCTGGGTAAGTCCACACTATGCGCACGCTCAGAAGCAGATCAAGGTAGAAAAAGACAAGGCCATTGTTCATGGAGCAAGGTCCCTTCGTTCTTCTTATCCTGTAGAACAACAACAACAACCAGAAGTATCAAGAGAAAAGGAAGAGGAAGAAGGATTTGTGCGGTTATTTGATGACAGTGAAGAGGATGATGGATGGAGTCAGTATCAAAGAGATGATCTAGATGAGAATCAGAGTCATTTCTTACGCTTTAAAGAAGAAGAAGAGGAGGAAGACGAAGATGAAGAAGTAGTAGAAGAAGAAGAAGAGGAAGATAAGGATGATGAGAGTGATATGGAAGAGGTATATGAAGAGATGACAGATGGAGAAGAAGAGAGAAATGGAGAAGAGAATCTACAACCAGTTTAATTATGTATAAGAGATTTTATAAATAAACAATATACCTTGCACCTCGATTTTAATAGGTCACCATCGAGATAAGGCTCCCTGAGCAAGCACACACGAAGCAGTCTTACATAATATCTGGGTGTGCCTTAAAAAGATCAAAAGCATTACATTAGTCCTTCTTTTGAAAGCAAGTGAACAATATATGTATGTAGCATGGACGACACACCAAAGTAGTTGATGCAAGAGTATTATATATGTAAATATCTCTCTTCAAATTGTGTATATTATCTCCCTATGATCTCCCCTATCAAAGTACGTCGCGCGCAAAATAAATACTCTGTTTTTCTTTCTTTTTCTTTTACGTCATGTCAAGTTCATCTAATTTAGAAAATTCTCGTAATCAACTAGATGAGTACTATGTAAAGACGATTGAGTGGAAAGAAGAAAAGAGATGTGTTATAACACAAAACGGTAAATCGCTATAAAATAATAAAGAGTTCATTACTAAGGCTATGTATTTGTATAGAAAACGGGCCTTGCCCTTTAGTAGCAATATGCAACGTACTGTTCTTACGAGGAGATTTGAAAATAGAACCAGAAGATAGGGAAGTAGTATCATTTGAATATTTAGTAGAAAGACTAGGTGATTACTTGCTAAATCACATCAACGTAAAGCACAAACGCATAGATGATTGCATTATACAAAAGAAAAAGAGATAACATTTTAAACTCAGGAAGGGGAGACGGAAGAAAGGCATCAACTTGAGGCGGCATTGAATATTATTCCCAAGTTGAAAACTGGGTTAGATATAAACATTCTGTTCGACTCTATTCATGGATTTGAGGCTACACCAGAACTTTCGATGTTTGAACTATTCAATGTTGACTTGGTTCATGGATGGCTCGTAGATCCACAAGTAACAATAAAAAGACACGAAATGATTTGAAGTAGTTATATATGTATATAGGATAGGGAAACATATAAAGTAATTGTTGAACACTGCAAAAATTATAACCAAGCAGTTGAGTGCATTGTCCAAGGCAACGAATTGAGCTCAAAGAATCCGTTAACACAACAAGAAGAAGAAAAATTACACCAAGGTTTGATCTTGATTCTACATGTAACATCTAATCATTCGTTAGCTTTTATTGTCAATGAATTCTTAAGAGATACTGCCACTCAATTAACTTATTATGGTCTGGAGCTTTTATTAGCTGCTATACCTGAGGATAGCTTATGTGTATTATTTAGAAATAATCATGTAGGTTTGAAAGAGAGAAAGAAAAAAAGAAAAAGAAAAGGATTCAATGAGTAATCCAATTGTAGTTTTCTACAATTTATAGACACTCTGAGCATGGACTACTTATGTTAGTCACAGACTCTGGGTTCATTAAAGAAGAGTCAGTTGTCTGGGAAAGCTTGGGAGATACTGATCAAGGATCATCACAATTCTTTAATGGGTTATTTAATCGACCTGCCTTACCAAGAGAACATGAGGATATAGACTTGGAGTAAGAAAGAAGAATGGTATATTAAATAGGGAAATCTCAATTTGCTGTCATAGTCACGCTATTGCCATGTCACTTCAGCATCAGGAAAGACAACAACAGCAGCATCAGGAAAGACAACAACAGCAGCATCAGGAGAGACAGCAGCAGCAACGACAACAACAAGAGATGAAAGCAGTAAATGATAATGTAGAAAACAAGAGAAAGAGGAAGAGTCAGTGTGTTATATCCTAAAAAGACACAATCTCCAAGATTGATGTATTTGCCCAAGTTACCAGGAGTTTTTGTATGCCAAATCAAATAAATTAATTGGACAGCTGAGATAATTAGTTGCTTTAATTTCCATTTGTTCAGGAACGATGCTTGATGCACTCCTAGATGCATGTGTGCCAATTTGTGATCGACACAAGACCTCACTTTTACACAAAGCTGCAGCGTTTGGTACATAGAAATAAATCCCTCTCAAATTTCGTACACTGACCTCAGCATAGCCTGCCGCAGGATATCTTTATTGTTCAGTTCTTCTTGTTAATATAGATGAAAATGTAGATATTCATCGCTCTTTAGCAAACGCTGTGGTAGATTAATTGAAGAAAGCATACATTAGAAACAATATGCCTTGATTTCTACGCGTCTTTTCTTTTTTCATATTGAGTTTTGTCTTTACATAGATAATGGCCGGTCTACATTAAATACCTTATTGTAGGACGACTATCTTTATTGATCTAATTAAAAATAATAATAAATTTATGTCATTGCTTTCATAATCTGTTCTTTTTGCTTTGCTGCATTCATAATGTCATACTTTTTTGATATTATCTACCTTTTACTGCAGTAATAAAAAGCCCAGGCTTGTTGGTCTTCACTTGAACACTCCATGCTACTGAGATTTTTTATATGGCATGGTTTTGTTAATAGTGCGCTTCGTAATTAAACGAATAATAAAGTAAATTTACCCAATGGTCTCAATCACTTTAGAGTTGGTTTTCTTGAATGATGAGATGCATCTTCCAAATATCCCAATGGTAGACCATATTTTCATCAAGCATATCAATATAAATACTAACTTTAGAGCAGTATAGCTTGAGTATTGAGTGGACTTTTTTTTTTTTAAAAAAAAAGCTTACAGTTCTCTTTTTAAGGATAAAGGAATGTTATCAAAGGGTTGTAGAGGGCAGTAAACAACTACAAGAACGATGGATTAACTATATGCCGAAAGAAATGCAAATTAGATTATCGTAAGATACTTTCTTTGAAGCATATGTTTGAGACAAAATAGGAGAAAAACCCTTGATGAATATGTTACAAATTTACAATCAGTCCCTCATTGACCAGCTTGAGAAAAAATAAATGGAAAGTTGGGGTTGGCAGTTGCATTGCAGTTAAAAAAAAGCCATATTTGAACAAGAATCGTACGAGCAGTGCGTCTTGCATTTTTTTTTTATAGAAAATAGACTAGTAGGAAAACCAAAAAGGCTTTGTCTATATGGCTCTCCCTCTCTTGTTTACTAATAAGCCCCATCATGGAACATGTGTATAAGATGCTTTTTCTATCTTTTTATTGCCATAAATCCAGCAATACGACAGCCGTTTTATGCTGCTCCCTTTCTCTTTCCCTCGTCTGAAACCATATTGACTTGACCTTTTTCAATAATTACTCACAGTCAAATTGAATAGACCTTCTCCTTGCATTCATCTACTCCAATTACACCTTATGTTTTACAAATACCATTCAATACTTGTTTGCATAGTCACATGCTGTCCTTGCTATCCTCAGTTCAATAAAATGAAGAGGATTCAATGGTCAAATTTCTAAACATGCACGTGACCCTATGAGACAAGTTATATGATAGTTGAGCTCATGGTAAAAAGAATAATATGTATTCAACATAAAAAGTGTAAGAGTCAGCTTGAGAACACTTGCCCTCTCAGTGTTATATCCTAAATAGGCAATCTCGATAAATCTAGGATCGGAATTACACTTAATAGAAAAAATCATAAATGTTCTTTGTTTCTTTTCTTTTCCTTTTTTTCTTCTTGTTGATAGACATGAAATGGATCAAAGCTTAGGTAAGCAAAAATGTGCATAATCAATTATATCAATAATTGACTTTTACGTCAGAATCATCATCTACAGCAGCAACCTCACCAGCTCGAACACAAGCTGTCTTTGTGAACAAGTTATACAAGTAAAATCTTAAAGGGGAAATAGAAAGGGAGGGTGTGAGATTAACATGGATATGAAGAATGTTAGAGGATACGAGTATACAACACCTTATATCGTGGTCCAAAAAAGGAGACCAGTTCAATGTGCCAAACCCAACTACCTTTTCCAGAACAGTCCTGCCACAATATTTTAAACATAGCAATTGGCAGAGTTTTGTCAGACAGCTAAATAGTAAGTCAATAGAAAGAAATTAAATGGATTTAGACAACTATTGTTAACTCGAGATCATTTAAAAAAGTGTATGGTTTTCATAAAGTGAATGATATGATCCACGCAAATTCAAGCCACCAAACTTGGGAATTTAAGCATCCACATTTTAAACGAGGGGCAATAGAAGATTTACAGTACATAAAAAGAAAAAATAATAACCAGAACAATATTACCAAAGCACGTATGATACCCGATTTACAAAAAGATGACTGTTCCGTCTATAGTCATTTGATACACGTTGAGGACAGATTGACTCATGCAGTAAGAACTTATCAAATGCTACAGGATGAAGTGATAATGCTGAAGACATTGCTATCAAAACAACATGGGACAATGATTGAATTCACTCAACTGTTTAGTGATGTGGTTCAGGATAGGAGTGCGTTTTATTCTTTATCTTTTGCATTATTTTTTTTATATCTTTTTTTTTTTTGCTTATCCTAATTCTCTTTTAGATATGACAGATGCCAAAAGAGAACTAATTCTGGACAAATTACATCAATTACAAATAGTACTTAATACAACAATAGATTATGTAGATAATGGCAGCGCTAGCAGTAGCAGTAGTAATACTATTAGTCCAATTACTACCTGTAGCCATAGCAGCGACAGTAACCACTTGAATACCAATGGTAGTAGAAGCAGTAGTATTAATAGTATCAATAGCAACAGTGGCAAGTATATGGATATAAAAAAGGGGGGATACTAATGGGTTTATTATTATTATTATAGATATAAGTTCTGATCGTACGATAACTGCAATACAGAAGCTAAGCTTTGGTAAAGAATCACATTTACTAAATCCTGAGAATCAGGATTAATTCCAGCCCCAAAGCTCCTTTAACCATCCTTCCATATCACAATTTGGATCTGCTCTCTTTTTAATAAAATCGTGTTTTAGCATCTCTTCTGGAGTTGGCCTTGATTCTGGATCTTTAATTAAACAAGTAGCTACAAATTCTTGACATTCAATCGATCTTTCTTCTCCTACTGTCGGCATCGGCTGATGAATAATGAAATCCAAAAGTTCGAATATTGTCAAGTTTGGTTGATCCGCTGGTGGTAAAGCAGGCCTGTTTTGTGCCACTTCGATGATCGTAAGACCCAATGACCAAATATCGGATCGAACTGTGTAACTGGCCCCTTTGATACGTTCAGGCTATAAACACTGTCAATTTCTCTATTGTTATTATTATCTTCAAGACTTTACTGCCATATAATATTGAGTGCCTGTAAATGTTTGTGCTAATGAATTAATCAGTTCTCCAGATACGCCTAGATCACATAGCTTGATTTTTCCCTGCCTTGTCATCAATATGTTGGATGGTTTGACATCTCGATGAATGACGTGTTGTGAATGCAGGTAAATTAATCCTCGACACACCTTTGTTACATGTTATTTTTTTTCTTTTTTTCATCTAAAAAAAGAACTTACTGCTTCCGCTACATTAGCCAATATAGTTTCACCAATCACGCCTTGCAATTCATTTGCTCTTTTATAAATATCCTCTAAGCTGCCTCCTTCACAGTATTCCATACAGATGGATACTGTTGTCTCTTCCAAGAATGCTCCATAGAATGCTACGATATAAGGTGATTCACATGTCTTTAAAAATGATAATTCTCGCAAAATCTGTCTTTGTAGCTGAGGGTCTGGATCAACTGTCATTGTCTATATGCATATATAGATTAATATCTTGATAAACTTATCTGTATTTCTTTTTTTATTCACACCTTTTTGGCCATCGTTTGATTTGTAGGCTTATATCTGATTTTCCACACTGTACCAGCTGCTCCTTCGCCTAGTTTCTGTATAGGCTCAACGTCTTCTGGTTTTAGGTCATTGTTATCATCATCATGATGCTGTACTAGACGCACAATGTCTTGTCGCCAATCTGCTGTATGTTCACTTTCTTCTTGATTTGCATCAGAGAAGGACGTGTTCAAATCTAGTTTTAGCCCTGCTGATTTACTCTTTAGCCTGCCTGCCATATATGCAAAAAAAAAAAAAAAAATAGAGAAAAGAAAAAAAGAAAAAGTTAGGAACCTTAATTTTATAAATCCGACCCGGAACATAGGCCTCATTTCCATCCTTGGGCGGGAAATAGGAAGTGAAGGGGAGAAATGAAGGGAAGCCATAAGGAATATAATCCTTCCTTTTTTTCTTCTAGTCGAACAATATGGTAAACATCAATCACTTTGTTCATTCATCCATCCACAAACAATAAAAGCTCAGCAATAATAAAAAATACAACATATTACGATATTGATTTTGAATATGGAAATATTGCAGCTTAATGAAAAGAGATGACATGAATGAACAACCCTCAATAATTATGAATAATTGTATCATTCACACTTTTATGTAGACGAAGGGTACTAGTTCATTTGGTAAACGCCATACCAAGACCCACACTTTGTGTCGTCGTTGCGGTAACCGTGCTTTCCACAAACAAAAGAAGACTTGTGCTCAATGTGGATATCCCTCTGCCAAGATTAGATCTTGTAAATATTATATATATAGAGAGATAAACAAGAAGGAAATGTGTGTGTTAATCATCTATAACATATAGTCAACTGGTCTGAAAAGGGTAAGAGAAGAAAGACTACCGGTACTGGTCGCATGGCTCACTTGAAGGATGTTCACCGTCGTTTCAAGAATGGTTTCCGTGAAGGTAAATTTGCTTATTTATACATGTTGAATTATTTATTTATTGTGCTTTTGTAGGTTCTCAAGCCAAGAAGCAAACCGTTGCCTCTGCTTAAGTTTGTTTATAAATAAAACAATTATTTGGCAAATCTTACTGTAATCGCACCAATTTTTTTATGTTTCTTTCTTTTTATACATGTGAAGAGAGGATGAATGTAATCATGGAAATTTTGGGTTATCAATAGAAATTTTCGACCATCAATATACAAATCATTATTGTAGTTTATGGTTGAATCGTTTGAAAGAAAATAAAGGTCCAACATTAGTCTACCTATTTTTCATCTTTTGTTAAGCAAAGTATCAAAAAGTTGGCTATTAAGGGGGAGTGAGTCAAGAATGACTTAATTAAAGTGACAACTTGTCAACAGTGTTATTCAGTCACGCTCAATTTTTCTTTTCCTTTCTGCTTTATGCTATTACTTAAAACAAATGTATACCCTCTCACTCTCTCACACAACGATCTCCATCTTTTTTCTAATCCTTTTTTCTTTAGAGATTGTTTGGACAGTTTATCTTGAGCCGACATTACTCGACTTCAAATAAACTTAAACTATTATTCTTTGGAACTGACGATTTTGCATCCCTTCATTTAAAGGCACTCATTAAAGAAAAAAGTAATAAAGAGAATGGATTGTATATAACAAATACTGACATCTTATATATATAGAAAATGAGAAGTCATGTATAGAATCACTCGAATTGGTTTGCCCTCCTGATCGATTCACTGGACGAAAACTAGAAACACTTACACCAAGTAATAAAAGAAATAAGCTTTGATAGCATTGGAACTAACTTTTTTGAAAGGTGAAACTAAGGGAGTGGCCGAATTATACAATATTCCTGTCCATCACACACCGCTTCAAGCAAAGACTCTGAACGATTGGCACCTTCCAAAGGATCAGCAATACGATCTTGGTGTAGTCGTGTCATTTGGCTACTTTATTCCGCCACACATCATCTCTCAGTTTCGATTAGGTGCGATCAATGTCCATCCGTCACTTTTACCCAAATACCGAGGAGCAGCTCCCATTCAGCACGCAATCATCAATGGCGATCATGAGACGGGTGTGACAGTTCAGGAGTTAGACGACAAAGAGTTTGATGCAGGACGAATACTGGCACAAGAACGAGTGGTATAAAAAAAATATTTGTAAAGTCCCCTTCAAAGCTCACGCGCATGTGTGTGTATGATTTATAGAGCCTTTCAGATAAAGCACCATTTTATTCTACCCTGAGAAAAACTCTAGGCGCTCTCGGAAGCAACCTGCTTGTGGACACCATTCAGCATATACATGAAAGAAAGGCTTCCGCCAGAATTCAGGATGTGTCACAAGCGACAAAGGCGCCCAAGATCAAAAAGGAATGGTCCGAAGTAGATTTTGAGAACATGACGGCCTGGAAAGTCGAACAGCTGTCTCGAGCGATAGGAGAACAGTACCCACTGAGGACAACTTATACCAAGAAAAAAAAGAGAAAGCTACGAACATACACTGTACAATTGATGCATCTTTTCGTACCAGCACATCCCTGTCCGCTCTTGGAAGGTTTGGAGCCTGGAGAGTGGGTATGGCACGAACAAAGCAAGTCCATTCATATCCTCTTTAAGGATGGCTCTGTGATCGCATGTCCCACGGTCAAACTGGAAGGAAGAGATGCCATCTCGGCTAAAGACTTTGTAAATGGATTTGAGCATGAAGGTATCTTTGGCGTATCACGGCTGTATGACGAGATTGCAAGAAAGAAGACATTAAAGTTGTTGGCTAATATGAAGGAGTATACAAAAATAGAATAAAACCATAGACCTTTTTTTTTTTTTTTTCAGCCAAACGGATGTGTTCTTTGCCATTTTATGCTGTAAAAACAAACAAGCTCGTGGTTATTAAAATAGACAAGTATAGAGCGAGTAAAGAATATTTTGATTACTGCCCAAAGTCCTCTTTGGTATCAATTCATATTAACGTCTGATTGAAGGACAAGCTTAGTTTCAAGGGAAAAAAGATCTATTCTCCTTCTCGCTCTCCTTCTTTTGACACGAGTACATTTTTTTTTAAAAAAAAAACAAATATTTATAATGTGAGATGTCAAAAGCTGGTTTTATTCATTACAATACAAAAAAACATCAGCAGGTATATATCATTTCTATTTGCGAGATTTACAGATACAAATGCCCTTGTTACCACATTCACCCAAAGAATAGCCTACTTTACCACAGTATTTTTTACAGACAGCGTTGGCACGAGGATCCTTGAGCTTGTGACAGGTCTTCTTTGAAGGAGCAGCAGAGGCCATCATGATCATAGCAGCGAAAAGGAGAGTAAGGTAAAGAGCAAGCTTCATATTTTGATTGAATCTCTGATGCAGAAAGAAAGAGAGAAAGAAAGTAATAAAAAGTACAACTAAAAACACGCTTTCTTTTATATTAGATCTTTAAAAGTTAATTCAACTCGTTTTCATTGGTTGTCATGCTTTATTTAATCCTATTTTGTTCATTTATGTGGTGCTACAGGGAACATATTAATGCCTCTCCGCATTACTGGAATATATATGTATACACAGATGAACCATTCTCTCTCTTGATGTATCCTTACTAATCTCCTATTGTCTGATATTGTATTCTGATTACATTCTTCAGTTGATGCAGACATAAGAGAAGTGAAGAGAGAAAGAGAGAGCGAATCAAAAAGCTTCTAGAACACATATGTCAATTCTGCACTCTTTTCCAAAATTAGCAAAGTATGGAATAAACAGATATATAAATAGCCAACGTTTTGCTAGATTGACCCAACAAAGTGACAGACGATTCAGAAACCATTAGGATTAGGGGCTGTCATTATCAAAATTGAACAGTTTTCATCATCTTACAACCTTGATTACGACGAGATAAAAGCATAAGGAGGGCGACAAGTAAGCTCGATCAACCAATACAGAGATTCTTTGTGTCTAGCTGACAAAAACTGGTCATGGGGGATTTTGTTAGAATGGGACAGTTTTTCAGCAGAAATTTTTACCCGTCGAGTCCAATCTACCTCCCCATTCAGCACCTCTTATTTGCTGTAATCCATAACTCCTTTGCTTTCAAGCGACTGTTTCTATATTTCATATTCAGCCATCAAACTCAGTCTTTGATCATCCATACTTTCTGGAAATAGTGCGCTTGCTGACGAAAAGAGCGATATGCTCAGCAAATCTGCGTATTGCCTGTGTATCATGACTTTCTAAATACTACCTTGCGTCTGTCGCGTGATAAAAGTGCTGTCTTGATTAGCGTGCGTTATGTGACCACGTTCATCTTTATAAAAACAAACAATATAGTGATCATTTCATAATGTTTGTTTATTAGATCGCACAACAGAAGTCAGAAAAAGGTTCTCCTTCAGATGGTATCACAGCATATGATTGAGCTTCAATGTGTGGCAGTCTATTTCTAAATTTAAACTGTCCTTTCTCTTCAGTAAAAGTATTGAAGTACATAAAGAATATGTAGGTTATCCAGCTGATCTACAGCAATGTGTATACACTCTTATGACAACAAGCCTACTTTTCATTCAATTGCTGATTAATGCATTCAACATGATCTAGTTTTAATGTACAAACATATATGTATCCCCCCTTTCTCTCATTCTCTCTCTCTCTCTCTTATCGGATCAGGCATCATGTGTGTATGTTCCGATGTTCTCTGAGCCACAGTTAGCGCCACTTTCAGGCAGTGTAACTTTTTGCCAAGAAAATACAAAAATAGACCAGGAAGGCCAATCAGATCAATTGAGTAAAAGGATTTAAAAAAGACGTGGAATTTTTAATTCCCTTTTTTCTCTACTTTCTATTTTTCACACACAAATAATATGGACCAGCAACAAAAGGGCTACTATCCTCCTCCTCCACAAAACCAACAATACTACGCCCCTCCTCCTCCTAATCAAAGTGGTCAATACTATCAACAACCTTATTATCAACCTCAACCTCAACCTCAAACTGTGTATGTTCAACAACAGCCACAGCATAAAGATGATAGTTCAATGTGTTTAGGATGGTAAATTGTTTTATTTTCTTTGTACGTGCGTGTATTTATCTGCTTTAATAACTTAGTCTGGCTGCAATGTGTTTCTGTTGTGCTTTGGATGCTATTTGTTAAAACAATGCCTCTTCCTTTTGTTGTACATACACATTTCTTCATTCTTCCTCTTTTTTGCGAATAATAATAATACATCCTATTTCAGCTTCACCTTGGGGGTTTTTTTTTTTTATCTTTGGAGCATCTTTAATGTTTGTTAATTAAATTTCAGTAAAGGGATCGAGGCAAAGGGGGAAGGGAACGCCATCTATTGTAGGAATTAAAAAAAAAGATAGAGCAAGTGTTTATTAACAAAGCATTTAACAATCGAACCACAATGTTTGGATGGTGATTCTAAGCAAACTGCAATGTTGAGTGTATTCGTTTAAGTTTTGTGGTCATTGACAGAAGTTTAATACGAAGCAGAAGGTCTCGATTGATGTTAAACGTTGTGTTTAATAAACTCGTTCTTGTAAAGTACGTTATATTTGTAGCTTCTGTTACGAATTTGTGCTACTTACCATTTAAATGATTTTATTTAAACGGGCTACAGGGAGCTTAATCGTATTTTTAAGGACATCTTTAAAATGTTAGCTTTGATAGCTTCAAGGTCCAGACACGAGTACTATAAAAATAAACATGATAAGCAAACAATCAGTTGTAGTTCAAAAACTAGAGGGTATTTATCTTGGCAGTTTCTAAGCTAGGTGATAAGCTTTGCAATGCTATTATCTTTAATGTCTTGATGCGTGGTTGGAAATGAGATCCAGTGAACGTTTTCCAAACCATAGAATCCTTCAGCGTATCATAGAACATATAGTTACCAGTTAAAGCCCACACTCTGGATCAAAGAAATGCCTGTTGTTGGTTGAGGAAGACCAGGGAAAAGAATATTATTCTAATGAAACTTGGAAATAAGAAGTTCCTTTAACTTAACATTGTATAATTTGCTTGGTATTGTGATATTTGTCTCCAATATATAAAGAAGTGATAAGGGAAATCGATGAGCCTCTATATAACCTCTTTATTGTGGATGAAGAACAAAAAGAAAGAGAAAGAGCTCATTAAATCAAATTGTCATATAAAATGACGATATTGCAATAATTAGAACCAAGAGAATTGGACATGACGCGTCAGATAAGAGTAACATGTATTGTTGTCAGACTCTTTGTATTTTTCATCCCTAGAATAGAGATTTATAGTAAGCAAACTCACTCAACACTGCCATCGAAGAATTCAAAAAATACAAATATTGCCAAAAGCAATGGGTCGCAGGACGTAGGTGCAAGAATTTTTACGAACAAAAGAGCAAGATTATCTTGGCTGCTCAAGTCAAATCTCACGTTGCTTTTTTTACAAGAACATATCGAAAAGGACATCCAAGATCCCACGGCGTAAAGAAAATAAAGCACTCATTTAGTTTTTGCAAGTTCTTCTGTCTTCTTTTGTTTGACTTTTTTTTAGCTACGGTATTGTGATCAAGGTAACATGCACCCAGAGTATGATTATTGGTTAAAGGCTGGTTAGAGGTTGGTTAGAGACTGAAAAAGTAGCCTTAGAGTGTCGGCGTTTGTCAAAAGGTGAATATTAAAAAAAAAACTCCTATACGGCTGTTTTTTCTTTCTTTCTTTCTTTATTATTCAAAATCATGAAACGAGGTCGCGAACACGAAGAACAGCATGCATATAAAAGACATAAATATACTTCTCATACAGTAGCTCAGCACTATAACCAACGACCGGAAGTAGGCGTTGTCAAGAGACAAGAATCGACCATCATTCGACTTCGAAGTTTTAATAATTGGGTCAAGAGTGTCTTGATTCAAACTTATGTCAACAGGCCACGACAATATGTTCTCGATATGGGCTGTGGTAAAGGTGGTGATTTGCTCAAATGGGCTAAAGCAAGAATTCAACATCTTGTGGCTTCAGACATTGCAGAAGTGTCATTGCAACAAATGCAGGAACGATACAAATCATTACGCGATCGTCGATTCACAGCCGAGTTTTATCCTATGGACTGCTATAGTGTATGTATTGGTTCATAGAGCTGGATGCATCTTATATATATATTCTTATTAGGAACTTCTCGAGCCGAAGCTTCAACCACATATTCAATTCGACACGGTGTCCATGCAGTTTTGTTTGCACTATTCTTTTGAGACCGAGCAAAAGGCACGCACAATGCTCAAGAATGTAACCAGCCGGTTACGCCCTGGTGGTTATTTCATTGGTACTATACCTGACGCCAACTGGATTGTGAAAAGACTGAGGCAGGAGCCCAAGGGATCTTTTGGGTTTGGTAATTCGATCTATAACATTGAGTTTGAAAATATCAAGGATGACGATGAGAAGCAAAAGGTCGGTTTTACCAAGTTTGGCTGCAAGTACATGTTTCATCTAGTAGATGCTGTTGACTGTCCTGAATACCTGGTTCATTGGAGCACGTTTGAAAAGTAAAGGGAAAATACATATATAAAGAAGTAGAGATGGTAATATTGTGTATAGGCTAGCAAACGAATATGGACTTGAACTCAAGTATAAAGAAAACTTTCACGACTTTTATGTCAATGCACTAAAGGAACCCGACTATGCTCGACTTCTCGAACGTATTGGTGTTGTCGGAGGCGACAAGGCAGAGATGAGCATGGAAGAATGGGAGACAGCTGGCATTTATTTAGCATTTGCATTTGAAAAGAAGAGAAAATAAAGCATTGTTATTTAGCAAGAGCTAAACCGACACGATTATTTCCAAGATCGTAAACACTGTAAAATTTACGTAAAAAGACATCACCGACAATCCAAAGAGGACCAGCAGGTTCAGGAATATCCATACCCATGAAGCCGGAGATACATTGTCCTTGAACTTCTAAAACGTAGTCCTTGCCTTGTAAGCAAAAGTCCTTGCCATTGAAAACAAAGCAGAATTCAGGCAAATTGGCTACATTGGCGCAGTCGAGGACGTATTGGCCAGCCCAGTTCTTTTCAGCTCCGAGTTCCTTATTGATCAGAGCAGCGACAGTAGTTGGAGCGATGAGTAATGATGAGCCAGTATCAATGGCAGCACCTACAGGGTCTAAGTCGACGTATTCACCACCAAATTTGATATTTTCTAATGTGATCTCCCAGTAGCCCTTACGACGAATATCAGACCAGTGAATGTCACCTTCGTAATGGTCCTTATTGACACCACCAAAGATGAGTTCACCACCATTGTCTTCATCACCTTTATTAGCGTCGTTCAACCAGAAGGAGAAGAGGGGCTCGTCTACCAGGTCTCGGTCGACCATGTGATAGAAGGGGGGTACGGTATGCTTGACAGAGATGGTATCATAACCCAAGCCAAGGATACCATCAAACTTGGCAAAGGCAAAAGTAAATCCAGGTTCTTTAACGGATTCAGCAAATCCTTGATCTTCAACTTGAATACCACCTACGGACAAAGTGTCCTATGATACATATACGTAAGCGAATTATCATCGTCATCACATACGTTACACACTTACTTGGCTGATAAAGCCTTCCAATGATCCAGTACCGTACTGGATAGCAAACTCTGTACCATTTTTAACATATGAGTTTGATTGACTAGAATCATATCGTTTATGTAAGAAGCAAGCAATAGAAGTACAGTGTGTGGAAGGAACCCAAAGGTTAGATGAACCTGTGTCAAACACAACGGTAAATGTTTGAGGAGGAGTGCCAATTGCGATTTCACCATAGTACTTTTTTTTTTTATTTTGTTATGGTTAGTAGTGGTTCTAATAATGCATATCTTATCTCTATTCTTTACCTGAGCGTTCAAATAATTTGATAATGGAACGCCATGGTCAGCACCTCCATCAGGATTGAGTTGAAATGTTTGCATAGGTTGGTTCATGCGTTGAGAGTTGAAGTATTTTTGAGTCAAATATTCTCCAGTATGAGAATATCTTTGTAACTTTTCAGTTGCTGTTTCATGAACCTTTTTGATAGGAATCCTACAGAGTATAAGAATGTTGTCTTGACTTCGCGTATTTATATTTATTTACTTTGTAATAGCCGCATCAGTAAAAACTGAAAAAGCAGCGGAAACAACTAAGGATAATGCAAAAAATTTCATTTCTTGGCAAAAAGAGAGAGAAAAAAAATACCAAGGCTCTTTTTATAGAGCGGATGTTGATGTCATACACAATTTTTTATTTTTATTTTTGTATATTTTTTTTAGTCATGAATCACTCTACTATCACGATAACTGCGGCCTCCTCTTGATATTCTATTGTTTCTTCCTCTATTATCAAACGAAGTATTAGGGCGATTGATCACTAATTTATTATCACGGAAAATGGAGCCATTTTTGGTTAAAGCTTGTTCAAGTGCAGCTTGATTGACGAATTCAACATAACAATGCGCTTTAGGTAACTGGGTCGTAGGATCAATGGGGAATTTAACAAAGGTAACCTATAAAAAAAACAGTCAGTGTGTGTGTGTGTGAAATTGTGTATTGTACATATTCCATTATTTACATTTTCACGGCCAAAATACTCTCGAATATCTTCTTCATTCACTGTGGTATTAGAAAGACCGCCTACATAGGCAGTAAATGGGTTTCTCTGTGCACTTTGTCTCTTTTTGATGGTATCTGTATTATAATGACTTTCTTGCTGTTGCTGTTGTTGTTGCTGTTGTTGTTGCTGCTGTTGTTGCTGTTGTTGCTGCTGCTGCTGCTGCTGCTGCTGTTGCTGTTGTTGTTGCTGTAGTTGTTGATTTCTTCTGAAAGAGAAATTCAAGCCATAGGATTTCATTTCAGAAGCAACAATTCCTTGGTTAATAGAAAGCACCAATGAACCGAAAGCTGCATCAGGTAAGTTAAAGTTCCACATATTCTTGAAAGCAAGTTCATCTCTTTCCTTATTATCTACGTCTTCTGTTTCTACAGAAGAAGGAGGAATACGGTTGACTACCTTCAAAGCATTACGAAGCAGTTGGTATTGATGTTCACTATATATATATAATAAGCATACATATCCCCCTTTCTCGTTAAGTTCATTATTACTCACTCGACTGATTCTTCTACTTGCTCCTTGACTGTTTCCCACACCTGCATGAATTGCTGCTGTGATTGAATTAATCTGTCTCTGAAATGATCAATGTCAGGTTGGCAAGCAAATTCATTATAGGCGATATTGTAACGGAAATGAAGTCCTGCAGAAATAGTAAAATCAACCTAACGAAGAGAGAAAGTTGTTAGACTATTCCTCTTGTTTTGACTTTTTGCGTTACTTGAAGAGTCAAGGCAAGTTGTGCCAACAGGCCTTCTCGTCCAGGACTTGCATGCGTCACCAAGACTCTAGTTTCTGTAGGGTCATAGACAGTATTAGCCAATTCCACTAGTTCACCAATCTGCAAAGTGGTTGTCCACATTACACCCATGCCACCTGCGATTGTTTCTGCTCCTTCACCATTATCAAACAATTTATGTTGTACGACAGCACCGCCCAAGCCAAATAAACGCAGACTGACACCTCCGACATCCAGGAGATGTGTGGTAGCCTCATCAAGGATATGGAGGTTTTCGATTTGATATTCATTAGATCTAAACTTTTCAAGAATAGCCACATCCTCGCAGGCACCCCAGACAGTATAGACAGGAACATCCAGTCGTTTTTCGCCTGACAAGAAGCTTGGAAATTCTGATAGCAACGTCTCAGGTGATTGTTCCAAGGTACGATACATCGTATCTGGCGAGCAGCTCAATATGTGAGAACGTGTTTGGGATGGGATCAATGTACTGTATTGAATCCAGTGCTTTAAGGGTCTAATATATACACTATTTAATATACTACAAGGATATATAAATGAATATATATAATGTACCTTTCACCAATACGGTCTAAACTGGACCTATCTATTTTAAATATAAATCTTAGTCTTGCTTTATTACTCTTTTTATTAGCTTTACCATAAAATCCAAAGTCTCCTGTATGAATAATATAATCTGCTCCATGTTCTTTGGCAAGCTTATTCAATTCCGAGATGTTGCCTAGACATTAGGAAAAACATATAAACATCTTGTCATCCGTTTCCTTTTTTATTTTCATTACCTCGGACATCAGCAGTACACAAGATACGAGCACCCTCTACAGTATGTAAACTAGAATTCATTTTTAAAAAAGAGAGAGAAAGGGAAGAGAAAAAAAAAAAGCTTATTTAAATTTATTACAAGAAAAATAAGGGCGAGTCCGCCCATGATTAATGGATGACATGAGTGATACCATAATAGACATTGATAAGCATACCAGCAAGAATACCTAGTTGAGAAATAAGAAAAAGTAATAAAGATGTGACATTTATAAAATACCCATTTGATGTCTCCTTGTAAACACGGTTTCTTTAAACCAAAATAAATTTAAAACTCCCAAGAAGAATCCCAAGAGTAACCCACAAAACATTTCCTTGACGGTACCTGCGATAAAGTTAATATTACTATTAGCATCAGACCAACACTTGCCTTCTTCAGGTATTCTGTTGCCTGTTGTCTGAAGCCATTCCTCTTCTCGTTCAAGATGTTGTAAGGTAAGTGACTCTATATATGTATATTAAATGAATATATGCATAAATAAATAATAATATTCACACATTATATTTCTCACCTTCGTCTACATAATCAAGTGTAGAATGTGATGGATGAAACCGATTTCGAATGTTATGGATCTCTTCTTCATTGTATCCAAATTCCCTTAGTTTATCAAATCCTCTATTTTTATGTGTCATACTTGGTGTATTGGCCGTGATCTCATGATGACATGGCTCAGATAGAATACAATGTATGTATATAGGTTGACTAGTTGGGATATTATTATAATCGGATAGTGTCCACTGGTCTTCTTTTAGTAGCTGTCCTCGGTAAATCAATCGAACTACTTTGTTTTCTTGATTCAATTGAGATAATAACTACATTTATATATATATATCATATATATCATCTTTTGCATCTCATTCCTATTTTTTCTTTTACTTGTCGTTTAATGTGTGCTATTGTATGCTGTGAGGATATAGAAAGTGTCACATCTTTGCCTTGCATGAATCGAATATGTATAGTCTGCATTATTTATTTACAATAAGAAAAAAAAAGAAAAAGAAATCTTATTTGATGTCTCTCTTTTTTATATGAGCGAAGGTACACCAAATTTATAACTTTTCTCCTCCCGAAGCTCTTTTTTTCCCTCTTATTCGTAAAATTATGCCAAGCACTTTGGTGACTCTAATTGGTAAATGAAGCAACTATTATATAAATATATACTTATATAGTCAGTAGAAGGGGCATGTAGTCCTGCCCGTTTCGAACCAGAGCTAAGTATAAATTTGGAAATATGCGAAATGATTAACAAGAAACAAGGCACTGCGTATTGTATTATGCCATGAGGATACTCTCACCAGGAACATACTCACATATATAAATATAGTCCACGTGAAGCTGCGTCTACTATTGTTAAACTTGTCAACAGTAAAAATATCAACCAGGCTATGCTCGCGTTAACGGTAATATACATACATATGTGTGTATGTGTCGTCTTATATAAAGTATATGTGTATAGTTATTGGACAATTGCGTCAAGAATTGTGGCTACCCTTTCCATCTTCAAATTGCTACCAAAGAATTCTTGAATGAACTCGTCAAGAAATTCCCTGAACGTCCAGCTGTAAGTGTGTTATTATCTTATTTATTTTATTTCTCTCACGCGCGTATCTGTTTCTTAGCCTTTTCCTAATCCAGTGACACAACGCATTCTTTACTTGATCAAAGAGTGGAAGGTGGCTCTGGCTGATATGTCAAAGCATAAAGATGATCTTGTTCATATCAAAGACATGTATCGATTATTAAGATTTAAAGGTTGGTTATTATATCGTTATGGCACGAGAGAATTATTCATGTGTTTTGTCATCTAGGCTACAGATTTCCCGAACTGAAAGATGCTTCTATTGCCGCTTTAGCTCCATCTGAGGTAACCATTGAAAAAGAACAGAGAGGGGCTTTTTTTGAATGTTGCTTTTATAGTCATTGAAATCAGCTCATGAGTTGGAAGAAGAGGATCGTTTGGCACAGTCAGCTGTAAGACACTTATATTTATAAGGAAACAAGGACACTTATTATAGTTGTAGAAACTGCAAGAATTGATCCGCCGTGGTAGGCCACAGGATTTGGTGGAAGCAAACCGATTGATGAAGATTATGTCAGGCTATGTAAGGACCTTTATAAACAAAAACAAAAAAGCGTTGACTAGTCATTATAGGATACACGACAAGTACCTGATTACAGCCAAAAGTTTGAAGATGAACTGCATAAAGTTCAGGAAAAGGCTATTTTGCTCTACGAGATGCTAGAAACAGTTAAACCAGGCGATAGTATTGAGCACAATGACACCATCGTGGTAAAGTACAAGAATTTAAAAAGAGAATCAGTGTATTGAACATGATCAACAATAGGATTTAAAAAGTGCATGCGCAAGTGCTCAGCCCAAGATACAAAAGCTAATCACTGAAGAAGAGGATAATGACAAGATAGGTATGTCATTTGCTTAAACATAGTAACAAGAGAAAAAAAAAACTCATGTATATGTAAAAAGAAAATCTGCTTACATTAAACGACATGATCAACAACGTGATGGCAAAATATGCTGATATTAGAAAAGGGTTATTTGACACACATTATGAAATTAGCGGAAAGCCTCCATCGGCAAATACTAATTCAGGAGAAGAACCTAAACAGGCCATCAGTTTGATCGATCTGGATGATGATAACACCGGAAATGGCCAGTCGACAGGCGCTGGTCAAAGTACAAACGTTTTGAATGAACTTTCTGATATTTTTGGATCCAATGTTGCTATTTCTCCGCCAAATAACAATAATAATAATCATAACAATACAATGGTTGATATTTTTGGATCAACAACGACAGTGGCAAACTCGACGACAAACAATAATGATTTGTTTGATCTATTAGGTGGAAGTCAGTCTACGTCAAATAACAGTATTGCCTCACCTTCTCTTCATAACGTCAATGTTTCACCACAACAAGCGGCCTCACCTGTGTTGAACCAAGGCAAGATTGAAACAGGCAAGAAAAAAATATATATACATAATTATATGAAAATTTAATATTTTATATAGCTACTTTGGTCAACAAGAATGGGCTACATATCGAATTAAACATCAAGCAAGTGGATACAAAATATTATATTAAAGCTTACTTTTCCAATCTTTCGACTGCGCCTATGGATAGACTCATGCTGAGATTAGCAGCACCCAAGGTAAATATTATAGTGCGTGTGATGTGTATATGTGTATAAGCTGATCAATAATATGCGCATAGAGTATGCAAATAAAGATGGAGCCTCAATCCTCTCAAACACTTCCACCCAAATCAACAAGATCCGTTACACAGAACATTGTCATAAACAATTCCAACAAGGAGAATTTACGTTTGAGATATAAAGTCTCATATGAACAGTTTGGTGTCGACATGGAATTAGCAGGAGATTTTCATGCTTAAATAAATAATAACTTGATGTATTTTATTACAGATTTAAAAGAAAAATATAGCAAAAACTCTTCCTTTTTCTCTTTCTCTCTCTCTCTTTCTTTCTTTTGTTTGATCCCAATGTCATTAAAAAGAGAAATTCATGCAAGGGCATTACGAATTATAATGGTTAAAGGGTTTAGTATGATTAGCAGGAGTAGCTCTACGGAAAGATGAGGTGCCTGTTTGTTGTTGTTGTTGCTGTTGTTGTTGCTGTTGCTGTTGTTGATCATGGTCTTTTTTTACTGAATAGTAATAGTCATCCATTCCGACGGGTTCCTTTGTCTCTGGATCTATCTTTACCTCCTGCTGGGGCATATCGCGACTGCTGTTCATTTTCTGCTCCTATATGACTTCTTATTTATATTCTGATGCATTGCGTGTATGATAGTAAACTTACAGCTCTGATAGTTGTCCAGTCAAAAACATAATCATAAACATAACCTTCTCTAACGAATAGATCTCTAAATAGCTTACGAAGGTAAGCATAATCAGGCTTGTCATCAAATCTTAATGAACGAGTGTAGTTGAGGTAGATGGCAAATTCGCTTGGGAAACTGCGACACAAAAGTTCTGTAGGTGTGGTCATCTTCTTTTCCATAATACGATCATACTTTTGTTTCTTGGTAGTTGCTTTTAAACCTTGCCAAGGTAATGAGCCTCTGCAAAAGTACATGAGTACATATCCCAATGACTCCAAGTCATCACGTCTTGATTGTTCTATACAGCACATCAGCAATATATTTCCCCCTTTTTATTATCTCACACTTACCAACACCTAAATGAGTATTAATGCTTGCATAACGAGCCGTACCAGTTAGATTTTTATTTTCTCTATATGGGATATGCAGGTGGGTCCTTGGGTCACGGTATTTCTTTGCCAGTCCAAAATCGATCATGTTCACTTGGTTTCCTCGCTTGCCAACACCCATCAAGAAATTGTCAGGCTTGATGTCACGATGGATAAAGTTCTTTGAGTGAACATATTCAATACGTGATAGCTTGTTTACAAAAATAGAGAGAGAGATGATTTAGAAAAAAGGGTAAAGAAACCGGTTAAAAAAGAGGGAATAGTTATTTACCATTTGATCAGCTAATAGCAAGACAGTTTTCAAAGAAAATTTTCGATTACAAAAATTAAAAAGATCTTCAAGTGAAGCTATATGATTTTTCTTAAATTAATATCCCTTAAAATATATTAAAGACTTACGTCCCAAGAGGTCAATGACCATAGCATAATAGTCGCATTCAGAGCCAAACCATCGAACAAAAGGTATTCCAACTCCTCCTGCTAAAGCTTTATAAACCTTGGCTTCATACTCCAGCTGTGGGTGTTTGGCTTTAACAGATTCTAACTTGATGGCAACTTCTTCTCCAGTAATTATATTTGTGCCTAAAAGACAATATGAGTAAAAAACAATATGTTGTTATTCATAATTACCAAGATAGATGTCACCAAATGAGCCTGCACCAATCTTTCTCCCAATTCTATATTTATTACCAACCCTTAAATCCATCACTGAGCGCATAAAATTATACAAGAAAATAAAAGGAAAAAGAGAAAGAGAGAAAGAGAGAAAAAAAAAAAAAGCGCACGTATACGGCAATTGTTTGTACTGAGTTTTAAAATATGACCCACGCCTTTGCTCATCCTTTCTTTCCCCCAGTTCTCCTTGGTCTCTCTCTTTCTTTCTTTTTATCATTTGCTACAAATAGACAACTCATATAGTAAAGTGATTCAATCATTTTGTTGAAAAGTAAATAAATGAGTGGAATGGCATGGAGGGACGCTATAGCCGTTTTAACTATGAGATCACATTTGTGGCGTTAAAAAAGCAAAGAGCATTTCTATTTAAGGCAATTCTTGAACTTGTGCTCTCTCTCTCTCTCTGTTTCTGAATAAGAACATATCATGGAATTTTTAGTAGACAAAGACTATTACTTAGACTTACATATACTCATCTTTGTTCTATACTGTTAGTCAGCAGTAATGACTTTCATTAATGAAAAAGGAGGAACGAATAATTGTATCATCCTTCTTTCAAGCATATGTATACACAAGTGCCCTGATTTTCATCATAAAGTAACACAACCATCTCCCTGATTTAATTGGTAATAATAATGCTTAATACATACTGCTTGAACTCGGAGATACCTACCAAAGGGCAAAAAGAGAGAGAGAGAGAGCTGCATTTGCCCTCAATGTCTGTGTCTATAAATTATGCTTACACTCCTTCTCCTTTACTCTCTTTCTTTCTATTTAATAATAATGCATCTATCTTCTCTTACTCTCTTTGTCTCGTTGTCTGCACTATATCTTTTTGGTCAACCCGCCTTTTGTAAACCAGTTCCGCAATACTACCCTCCACAAGGTTATCCTCCACAGGGTTATCCTCCACAGGGCTATCCTCCAGTAACTCCTCAGTACCCGCCTGGTCAAGCTCCTTCTCCTTCACAACCCTTAGGCAGTCCTTTAGATAGTGTAACTAGTGGACTAGGTAATGTAGTTCAACTTGACCTTTCAAAACCGGCAACTCTTCCTGGTCTTCCTGCAGTAGCGCCTTTACCAGGCGTGCCTTCTGGCCCAACATTACCAGATTTATCAGGAGCACTTGGTGGAGCGCAACAACAAGACTAACAGGACTGACTCAATAGATCACATGCCTCTTTTAATATTAATAAATAAACCATTTTCATTTTATTCCTTTTTTTATGTTGTACAAATCTTTATTGATACTCTTTTAAATGAATGTATTTTGAAAATATAATGCTAAAAGATAGTATTGATAAAGGCAGAATGCACACAAGAGCACACTCTTGATTCATTTTTTTCTGTAATTTTAAAATATAATGAATCAAGGTTCTCCTACTTTTGGAAATTAAAGAAGAGTATTAGTAAAAAGCCCTCATCATTTAATTTAGTATCTGTCACATAGTCTCCTTATTTCTTGATCAAGCATTGTATATATATATGCGTACTTGTATAAAAATTCAAGTATTGCATTCGTATAAAGTGTTTCTGTCCTTTTTTTTACTTGTTCTTTATTAAACACAAGTCCATACTGCATTATCATGCATTTAAAGCTCTTATTGTCTATAGCAGTAGTTATCACCAGCTTAAATCAGAGTGTCAATGGTAAGCCTGTGTTGAATCGTATTCAAGTACAAAAGCGTAACACCTGCTCTCAAGCTCAAATAGCTGCTGGTACTTGTATTTTGGCCAGTAATCCTGCTGGCACTTATGCTGCAAGCTTACCCTTAGGGCAACCTGGAGCAAACGGTCAGTACGCTTCTGCTCCGGTTTCTTATACTTCTCCCCCGGTTTACACACCACCTGATGTGAGTGGTATGGCTGGTAACTTTGTATCTTCTGCTAATGGTGTCAGTCAATCCACTGGCTCTCTTTTGCCCGCCTTGCCTAAGTTACCTGATTTTCCCGCTTTGCCAACACTACCTACACTCCCTAATCAAGGGTCAGCAGCTCCCGTGACAAATACTCTATTACCACCGCCTAAAAAGAATGATGATGATGACGACGATGAGGATGATGATGATGATGATGAAGATGACGACGATGAAGAGTAAATCAAGTTGAATTTATTAATAAAGTATAAAAAGTCGCTTCTTTATAAAGCTTATATTTGTCACTGTTTACATGCTTTACAGGTAAAGAGATGTACTTTGGAGCCTCCTATTTCTTGGATACGCAAGAACTGTCATTAAAAATAAATCCATGTATGCTTTGCACTTTTACCTCACACACACGCATATTCAGGCACTACATAATATGCTGCTTTGTTTAAGCAATTTAAGATTATTCATTCCTTGCAATGACAAGATCATCTTTTTAAATGAAAGGATATGAACTTTTTTTTTTTTCGTTCTTGTGAAAACCAATACCTAAAGATAAAGATGGGATCAGCTTTGTTCCCTTCATTAAGTAAAATAGGAGTTATATGCATATCTCAAACGATTAGCCAAAGTACACTACTGATTGACAAAAGGAACTATAAAAATATTTCTCTCTTTCTATATATCAAATAGGAGTCTGGCAGCAGAAGAAAAAGAAAAGAAAACACTTTGTGTACAAGCTAATGATATTCAATTGACTTTTGTTGAATTAGCAACTTCACTTTAATATAAACTATCTATGGGATTGATGTAGTCGATATAATGTAATTTCAGAAAGGGGATCTCATATTCATTCCTAAGGTTAGCGGTTCATCCTTGAGCTAATGAAACGAACATTTACTGTCATCCTTTTCTTTCTCCTGACAAGTTCAAAAAAGTCTTATTTTACATTATCTCCGCTTATCAAACTATAGAGTGCAACCACAGGGGATGTCCTAATGTAAAGGATTGTTTACATATAAATGCTTATGGTTCTTTCTTTCTTTTTCTTGTTTTTTTTATCGAAATTAAACTATGCGTGTCACATATCGTTTATTGCTGCTACTACCTTGTCTACTACAGGTTTCTTCTGTGCCTCTAGTTCGTCGTGGTGACGAAAATCCTTCGCCATGCACTCCAGCACCAAAGCCATGTGAGCCCAACTGCCCTCCAGAACCACATCCAGTCATTCAGGCAACACCAGGCTGCTTGATTCAATCTCCAGCTCTTGCTCTTCCCGCTCCGCCCATTCCTGGTTTACCAAAGGCCTTCCCGGCTGTCCCAGGAGTACCTGTTCTCCCACCCGCTCCAAACCCAGGTGACCTCCTTCCAGAAGGCGCAACAAACCCAGGCACTTACACTACTGGTCTTCCTGTTGTTGGCGGCCCACAAGCACCTCCTTTACCTCTAGTTCCGGCCCCACCTACCTTGCCTACCTTACCTGCTCTACCTGAACTAACTCAACTGAGTACTGTACCTACTGATGGAACGGGTGCCCTTCAAAGCTTAGGTGAACTTCAGCTTCCAGCATTGGGTAGCGACTAGAAGAAAGGGAAAAGCGTACATGTATAAACCTAACTCATCAACATCCAGTTGAACATATAGACAATATCATACCTATTTATACTGTAGTATTATTTATTTTATTAATAAAATATAGTCAACAGATATACTAGTCAAAGATGCTACGTTTCAACGTTAACAAAAATATTTAGTTACAGTTTTCGCACTTTTAAATTCAGACATAGTTAATACAACTTACACTGTAAGGGCGTATGAACCCTATTCTTTTAATCGTAAGGACGTATGAGAGAGTCATATCAATCATACGGAAGGTTGGTCATTAGATGTACCTTGACGTATGGAAACATCAAGACGCTGATTGTTATTTCTTGCAGCGAATAGAAATATGTCAAAGATATTGTGTGCAGCCATGATATCACGATTCCATACGATGTTGCAAGTGTTTTGTTTAAAATTGAACAAATGATAGTAAAAATCAGTCAAGTCAGATTCGGTTTTCTTCCCTTTCGGGTAATTTGGTATGCCACATTGTTTCATCAGTCTCCAAAAAGCTTGAGCATCGATTTGGATTGATTTTGTCTGAACGGAATATATAGGTGCAATGGAAAAAAAGCGACATCCTCTTTTGTCAGTGTATTTAGCAGGAGTGAATGTGCCATCTTGTATTCTTGTTTTAACTGTATCAATAAAATTTTGAACTACTGATACTTGTTGAGGAGTAAGCTTGGTTAGTTTTTTTCCTGGGGCAAACGTCTTGTTGGAATTGATTGACTGCAATGTTTCTTCTCTTAAAGAATTAAACTTCTTTTTACTCAAAGCACCAGTGAATGGAAGCTCTCTGAGCTTACGATACACATACGCTTTGGAAGCGACTTTTGAGGGTACGTTTTCCATAATAAAAACTTTTTTTTTTGCACTTCTTGCGACAGAAAGTAGAACCACTTGAAAAACAGGTGAGGTTTTAAGTAAAGCGTATCAGAATCACACTGATCTGGTTGGTATTTAGACCACATGCTTGCTATGCTTTCAGTGATTTCTTTATAGTAGTTACTGCATGGGACAGACGATGGCTAAGATGGCTCTGGACCTTGTTCTAATGTGCTATGTGTTATAGAGTGATATATTAGAGTGATAGGTAAGTATATATATATATAAGTATAAGTATTTATTAAATTGGACAAAGTTGCCCTATCTGAATAGATATGATCTAGGGTCTCTCATCCCTAAAAAAATGTCACGTAAAGAATTCATATAAATAAAGTAGAAATAAATAATAGATATCGCTTCATTGCGATAAAACCTGACTAAACAATGTCCTGATGCTCTTCTTTTGCTGAAAGAGCACTTCGGCAATCATATTTACAAATAGGACACAAGCTTGACTTTTTCGTCAGCCAAACATCTGTTTCAAGTTTTAGTAAAATTCCCTCTTTTAACAAGATACGCTTACCTATACATGCTGTACAGTAACCATGACGACAGGGTAAGACACGAACAAAGAAGTCATCTTTAAAGTCATCCAGACAGATAGCGCATGCTGTATTCGTCATACTCGTTTGTCCATAAGTCGTGATAGGACATAGGGTATGCAAATCCATGAATGGCATCAGGTGCTGAGTCGTCTGCTGATCATTCAAAAGTAAGTTATGACCGGGATTGCTATCTCTTGCTATAGTTCGTCTTGCTGCTCTACACCAATGAAAGATAACGAGAACTAGAACATGGTTGATGAGCTACAATGTCTTTTATTTGGTAGCACTTTGTTACCTAATACAACAACTGCTGCACCAGCAACGAAATAGACAAAGTAGGTAGGTTTACCATCGATATCGTCATCATGAAAATCATCGCTCTGATCAGAAACAAAGCTATCTGCTGGTGCGTTAGGTGTATTGAAATGGTCTTCATACAAAAAGAAGGTGAGTTGAGTATAAGTTTGCATAGTACCGTTTCTCTGAAAATTCTTTTGCAAGTATGTTCTATTCAAGAAATCCATGTAGGCGTAGGGCACAAAATAAACAGCAATGAAGGTCGTGCCGGGATCGATGGTATTTTCAGGCTTCATCAGTGATATGTTTCGGTTAGACGGTAAATGATCAGACATCCATTGTGGATAGGAGGTATTGTCGGTTCTTTCTTGAATGAGCGTAGTATCATTATAAGCAATATCATCATAGATCATTGCGGCTGTAATCTTGAGCCTGTATGTGTCGGACAATCTTTGTACCGTGGTAATTTTTTCAGACCACTGTCGACAGCGTCCTCCTCGCTTGACAAGGGCAATTGAAGGCTGAGACATCATGGCTGGACTCATGGCCAGGTAATTATTCCACAACTCAATGTCATCAATCGACGTGTTTGCGCAAGCGTCACCCATATCGATGACCAATCGCTACATATATAAAGAATTGTCAATACTAGTGTGCACAACATGATCACCGTTCTAACCTCATTATAACCAAAACGGTCCTTGTTTTGAAAAATAGTTTGGAATTCTTGACTGTATGTCTTTAAAGAACTGTCCTTTAGATACACTCTGCTGCTGTTGGATAATGCTGTGTCATATTTAACTAGTATTTGCCTATGTGAGAAAATGGGTTATCTCTTTATTATCTACACACATTGTTATCTTTACCAAATAAATGGGTTACTTGGATTTGCTTGTGCATTCACTATAGCAAAATAAAATAAGTATAATAACAGTAACATGAAAACATAAGAGAGAAAGAGTGTGGAAGAGACTTGGCGCAAGAAGAAAAAGAAGGAAAAAAAATGCTATTGACGGATTCGCAGTAGAATAAAAAGAAAGGCCCCAAATTTCTAAAATTAGGAAACAACGAAGGTTCATGACCCTATGATACAATTCTTTCTTTTTTTAGAATTTACCAATAAAAGCTGTGATTGGCCAAATGAGACTTTTTTTGCCAAGCAATAGCACCTTTCTCTCTTTTACAAATTCAAAGCAATTGTTCCTATTTCTCAAAGTATCAAGGATGAGCAAGACAAAAAAAAAATGGAATCATGCTTATAGCAGAGAAACCTTTATGAGCGATGACAGCTCAGCTGGAATATTTTGAGTGTTTTTCCGAATGTTTGTCCTGTGATCAGGATCCACAAACAAAGTCGGCGCTGTCGATCCATACTTTAGCTTTTTTGTTTTGTTTCTTGTACATACAGAGTCTTTTCTGAAGTGTCACCAATTGCTTTTTTTTATATGGGCGGTTTTAAAGTATCTTTTTCAACGAGTATGTAAGGTCGGCTTTTTACACAACTCCCTAGTCGCTTTTTGATCATTTTGGTAAGCAACTGATTCAGTATGGTGTCAGCAGGTTTTGTTCAGACTCAATTGGTATTCAAGGGCTTTGACACTAGACAATGGAGGAAACTATAAATAAGCTTGGGTACCAGCATTTGACACAAAAAGAAAACATGTTAGTTGATTTAAACAGAAACTGGGCGTAAATTTATTGTTATGAAGGCATAAAGTATTCAGCAACAGCTTCACTCACGCAGCTGACTTTCCCGTCTAATAGCCATTCTGACATCATCTTGCCAGTGATGGGCGAATTTAGTATTCCCCAGAATGAATGTCCAGTGGCCAAGTACAGATTTTCATAGCGTGGATGTGGTCCAATCAAAGGCGCATTTGTTTCTTCTGATACTGGCAAATAACACGCTTGACGTCTAATCACTTCTGAATTCTCTCTCGACAACTTGGGTGAGATCAGCTCAGCTTGATTAGTAAGATCCTCGATAGACTTTGGATTTACGATTACTTGGTCGGCAGATTTCGGCAGTGGTTCTTGATCAGAAGCGCCGCAGATGTACACGGTGCCGTCCTAAAAAAAAAAATAAGTATCGACACAAATCAAGCAAGACCATTACTGTTACTACTACTTACGGCTCGTGGATAAACCTAAAGACAATCAGTGATCTGTCATACATATTCTTTACCTAACCTTACCTCGGGCTCAAATCTCTTTGATTCATGCATGATTGTTGTGAATAAGGCATGACCTGGTATTCTATCTTGTGGTTGCAGAACAATCGAATGTACGTGTGATCCCTTTATACGAATAGTATCATACGGTAAAGGCAAATTCTTGCTCCAGGGGCCCATACAAACAACCACGCGGTCACCATGAATTTCTGTACCATCATCCAACACGACACCGCGTACATCCTTACCATTCTCGTAAATCAACCTTGCTACGCCTTGCCCGATTCGAACGTCTACGCGTTCAGTCCGCTTGGCCTCTTCTATCAGCTTTCGTGTAAAGAACTCAGGGTGGAGCTGAGCTGTAGTTTCCAGTGTGCCAATTTGTTCTATGGAACGAACGGCGTCCTTATTGACCCACTCGAGTGGATCTTTCTTCTTGGAATACGTGTCACTTTTACGATCAAAGACAATAGAGTATGTATCAAGTGCTCTGTAACCGTACTGGCTTGCACCGTCTAGCTCCTTTGCGAGCTCTTGATGCAGTTGGAATGATGCTTGAGAGAACGGTTTTAAATACTCAGAGTGGTCGTTCCTGGACAAGTAGCCGTGTGTCAACCCCTTTCTATTGTTATAATCTTATTTATCCAACCCACTTACCAGTCCAAGGCAAGAAACCCACCGGATTTACCACTGGCACCACAAGCTATGTCTGTTTTTTCAATGACTGTAACTTTGCATGATGGGTTTTTGGATAAAAAATAAGTAGTACATGCGCCTATGACACCTGCACCAATAATGATGACATGAAGTTGCTGGCTTTCTGACATTTATTCTACAATAATACTCGAGTGTTTATAATAAAAAAAGAGAGAAAAGGGCGTAAAAAAGTCTCGGTTATTTATGAAATGTATAAAAGTGACGTTTGGCTGTGCGATGCGTGCTAGGTCAGACATCCAATCAGCATTGTTTCTTTTTTAATTTTGTCATGCGGAGGCTAGTCCTGCTGGCGCGATGTTTTAGGTGCTTTGGCCAGCATATGTAAAATGAAGCTCCTCTTATGATAATCCGAGTAATTCATATACTTTTCCTTCTTCTTATTCAACACAGTATCCGTAGTAGGCTCCTTTAAATTTTGGGATGCACCGCTTGTCAGCTCAGCTTCGACATTCAGTTGACGCACCAAACACTGATCCATCTTAACCAAAGTGTTAGCTTGAATCTCCATATCATTAACCTCTACCAGTTCAACGCCTTGCTTATCTCTCTCAATCCTCCTTTCCTGTCTTCAAAAACTATCTGCGCTAAACCACTTATTTGAAATACTAAAGCGACAAGTAGAAAATAAATGCGTCTATATTATAGAACACGGCATGCAAGATTTCAAAATGTGACCAGTCAAATATTATCTTTTTAGCAAATTTAAACATATAGGCGTCCATTATTTTAACAAAAAAGGCTATGCATCAAGTAAGAGCATTTTTTGCTTGAAAGAGAAAGCTATACATTCACTCAATATATTTCTCATATCGTTCGCATTCTTCTGGAAGAAGGATTCCAAACTTGCTTCTTTTCAACTACGGTAAGCTATCGCTTATCGAAAAATATTCGCACTTTCTAGCTTATTTACCAATATTAGATACATTTATAGGTGATTGAGTTTGTGTTTTATATTCCAAAAAAAATCCCTTGAAAACCACAAAGATATGTCTTCTAACATTTCTAGACAAATGCAGCCCGACATCTTTATGATATAATATTCATGAATTGTATGCAATTTAAATGCTTATTCATGCTTATAGTAACCCTTATAGTATATGAGGTTGTTAGATGACCATGGAGTGCATCGAGTACAGGCATATCATATAGATATTGACCTATGGAACATAATGAGTGAATGTGAATACAGATTAAGCGCGTTCCATATATTACCATTGTTTGGATTTTTTCGACAGAACGGTCTCTTACACATTTAATGAAGCTCTATAAAAAAGTACATGCAGTCAATTCTACTAATAACATTACAGCGGAAAAACTATAGACTAAACATTACAGAACGGGGAACATGTCCTTCACTACAGGCGATGGCGCGATAACAATGACTCCAAAAACTTCTCTGATATTACATCTGGATATGTTGTATCCTTTCAAAACCTTTTTATATGTGTTATAAACACCTTCTGAATGGACAAACTGATCACGATGCACAACATATGTTAAAGAAGATGACAAACTAGCAGCTTCAGGAAAAAGATCTCTTATCTTTTCATTAAAATGGCGCTGAATTACAGCTCTTATGTTTCTTCTACCATAGCCTTTACGTAACTTTTGCAATATAGCTTCCTTCGAATTATCCGATAAACGCAAAAGAGATATCATCAAGGCTTCGAATAAGATGATTATGCTCATTATGAAGCTTAATGGTGACCTGATTAGGTGTTACGAAATAGCAGGTGACAGTAACATAACATTTGCAATCGACCTTCTTACTTGGTTTCTGAATTGGCCAGTCTTTAGATGATTCATTTTCTGTCTGTACACCAGCACGACTCTTATAGGACTCAGCTCTATGGCATATGTACTAATTTTCCAAATGATGCTTCTTGTTACGCGCTTTGGCATAGGTTGGCCTTCTTCGTTTAAAGTACACATATCACCATTCGTCTTTTCCTTATAAATCCAACATACTGCATGATAAGCATATGAATTTTCAATGAAATTTTTCAAGAGTCAATATCAACAGTAATTTCTCTAGGAAAGGATGTGTATTGTTCTAAAACTAAGCTCTCAGACATGATTACTATTCTTTAATAAAAGGGGAATAAGTGAAAGAGAATTAATGGCCAAAACATCAAAGAATAAATAGCCACTTTAAAAAATTAAAATTCCGTCATGTTTGTTACGTCACAGTTATCGTTGTGACTCCTTTCATCCAAGGGTGGAGTTTAAACATCAGAGAGTAGGGATTTTTTCAGTGACAAAAAGTGAAGGTGGTTGTAGTTCTCTTCCCCCTCACTCTTATCACAATGTCACTTAGAGCCGCCACACAACGTGCATTCAACATGCGCGCTTTAGTTTCAACCACACGCCAACCCATCATGATGACCTCAGTTCGTCCTCAATCCACCTTAAATACTGGAGAACTTGTTGAGGATCCTCAAATTGGTGATTATCCCAATTTGCCTCGTTACAGTACTCAAGCTAGAGGGCCTCATGGCTGGTGGGATCCTCAAGATAAACGTAACTTTGGCGAAACAGTAAGAGCATATCATTGAAAAAGACATAAAAAGATTAATCATCCTGATTGTAGCTTCATGAAGAAGATGAAATCATGGGTGTTTGGGCACCTGATCTTCATGAATACAGCCCTCGTAAGGCACTTGCACAATTAGCATTTTTCTTTGGTGTCGTCGGCGCTGTCGCTGGACTCGTTTACAAGACTTATCCTGAAAGCCCAGCTGTAAGGAATAAAAAGAGAATCATTTAGAGATACTAAGTGCAATATAGGCTAAGCGAACCTATCCCTATGATGGATTAAAAGAAGAATTTGGAGCTCGTGAAGGTGATATTCGTCCTCGTGGTGTAAGTGAATAAATAATATAATGAAACTGTGTACTTAGATACAAACATAGGCTCGTGTTGAAAATGCAGAAGAAGAAGAATAAATTTTCGATTGGAATTAATAAAAATTGTTTAAATTGTGTGTATTCTTGCTCTGGATGATTTAGGTAACAAGCTGAATAAATGACATGTTTGAGTATTCCATTACCAATCTGAGTATTATCAGAGGACATATATATATGCAAATGCATGTTCATTAAGCGGGAAATCAGGGATAGAGTTGGTACTTTTATAATTGAATACGTATACGACACTTTCTCTTTAGAGTTTGTTGTATGTTTGCATTGTGTCCACCCAATGATCTTTCGGATACATCCTTTATGATAAGAGTATACGAATAAAGAGGGGGTTATAGTCAACCACATCTTTTTTTCTTTGGCTATGCAACTGCATCATGTAGTCATAGAAACAAAATGACAGCAGAAAGTTAGTTTGTAACAATAAATTAAAAATATCGGACTTTATTAAGAAACAAGAGAAGTTTCTCCATAGAAAATTATTCAAATTCACTCTTTCTCGACTATCCCCCTTTCTCCCTTTTTCTTTCATATCTTTCTTCTCGCTAAGCTCGATCCAACATTTTTAATGAAGATTATACCAATTCATGTATTAGAAGATAATTACTCTTACATTTTGATTGATGAAAAAACAAAGGAAGCAGCTGTTATTGATCCTGTTGAACCTATCAAGATTTTAAATGTCATCAGTCAAACAGGCGCAAAATTGTCAAGGTTCGTCAGTAGATACCTCATCATATATTAGACTCATGTTTATTATTTCAGCGTATTCACAACACATCATCATTGGGATCACGCAGGTGGAAACATTGATCTTGTTGGTAAAATAATCCATTTAATATCATAGGACTCGAGTAACACAGAACAATAGCTAAAAAACCCGGTTTGGCTGTCTACGGGGCTGATGCTCGTATTCCAGAAATTAACTATGTCTGCAAAGATCATGAAGAATTCAAGCTAGGTTCTTTAGATATCACTCCTCTACATACACCATGTCATACAAAGGGCCATGTCTGTTATTATGTATCTGACCCAAACACAGGTGAAAAGGCAGTCTTTACAGGCGATACCTTGTTTGTCGGCGGTGTAGGCAATTTTTTTGAAGGAGATGCTAGAGATATGTACAGAATATTGTTTCACGTCATCATGAAGTTACCTGATGAGACCTGGGTTTATTGTGGGCATGAATATACAAGAGCGAATCTAAAGGTAAAATAAGATACATAGATCACGGAAAAAAAGAGTCAGTTGCTTATATTTGTCCATAGTTTGCCTTGAGTGTCGAACCTCATAATGAAGCGCTTGTTGCAAAATGGAATTGGATTCAAGATAAACTGATTACGGTGCCATCGACAATAGGACAAGAGAAACTATTTAACCCTTATTTAAGAGTGAACGAACAATCACTACAAGTTATGGCTGGAAAATCAGATCCAGTAGAAGTACTACATACATTAAGAGAAATGCAAAACAATTTTCATCAATAATAAAGCCTTATTTATTTAATATGATGCCTGTTCTGAGGGCTCGCTATCCTCTGGCTTCATCAAGCTTGACATCTCCTGATCTTCTTCATGCTCTTCTACTTCAGGGTCATTTGATTTTTCAATAAGTGGCGTGAAGGCCGTATCTGCATGTACACTGGACCAACGCAAGGAAACAGGTCGGTGTCTTTGAGAACTACCAAATTTAGACCCCTTACGTCTGCTCGATCTTCTTTTTTCGCCAAAGCTACTATGGCGTCTGTGAGCTTGAGGCTCATGGGACTTGAAAAGCTCATATTCCAGCCGCTCAGACGTGTGCGAGTTAAATCGGCGCTGACGTTCCAGTTCTTGGCGCTCATCATCCCCTGCACTTGTACCCTCATATCGGTTCCATGACTCTTGAGAATCCTTGGGAGGCATGGGTGGAGGCTGGTAGACGCCGGGATCCTTTGTCAGGTCAAGCGGATGGACTACGGAGACAGAGGCAGGATCAGACGAGTTGCTGATCACAGATTTACGGTTAAGGTTTTTCTTGGCTCTCTTGCGCTTAGCAATTTCGTCATACAGTTTTTGACGCTGCTGATGCATGCTGACATCCATCATTTCCTTTTCTTCATCGCCTTCATATGGAGGTGGGGATCGGTCAAGGCGAATAGCTCCCTCCTTTGTAGGCTTTTCCTCAGAAGCCCATTCGCCTTCTTGATCGCTTACGATATATCCACGAGCCTTCTGGTACTCGTCAGAAATGTGTCGTTTATGGATTATGACGGCGGCCAAGACGAGTCCCTAGTAGAATCACGTTAGTTCATGAGCTTTTTATTGTCTTTTTTTTATTCCTTACAGAAGCAGCAGAATAAACAATCCATGAGATCAACCTTTCGCTTGAAAACTGAGACCATTGGTGCATGCATTTGTCAAAGATTTGCTTAAACTCTTGGTTCTCTTCATAATTTGTAGCCCACCAAAAGAACGGATAGGGTTGACGCTGCATACAGTTGTTCATTAGGATCGGACGGTACGTGTTGTACAACAGAACGATATGAACAAATCCAATTAGGAATTGAACGACAGTGAGAACAAGGAGACCATAGGCAAAGATGGTCATGCCTCGAATGGATTTCTAAATACAAAGTCAAGTACTGCCTATATGCTCTTCTTTATCATGAACTTACCATCACAATCACAACGAGTCCAAGAAAGCACCAGAGGCTGATGATACCAATAAACGTCAAGTACGCGTAGAGATCACCCATCCTGAAGCTTCTAACCCAATCTATCATTTATGGTTATTTTATTTGCTTGTTTCTTATTTATATACTTACCAGTGAGATAAGCAAGATCAACAGACATCAAGGCAGGCCCAAATAACTATACATTATCATGAGTGTGACGACGATCAATCTCTAAAAGAACTTACGAGAAGCAAGACAACGGAAGCAATAGTAAGCGTTTGTCGTGACCAAAGCTTACTGAATGGAGCCCTCAACTTATCAAAGAGATTACCACACTTTATTGTTTCGAGATTCACAGGTCTGAATAACATTGTGTGAGGAACAAAGAATATAGAATTGACTTGGGTTCTGTAATTTATATCCTGTCTCTCTCTTACATAGTCATGATTCATCTGTTTCAGAACAATGTCAAGGGATTTTCCTTAAAGTAAGGGGATTTTCGAAAAGATTTTATTATTTATTTTTAATGCACATAATCGTATATCAGCATTGAATACCAAAGATTTATTGTCCAAGGGAGATCTGTCCCGAACGACGGTCTTGGTACCATCGCCATCCATAATAACCAGCGAGTACCAAGAGGGCAAGACCCAAGAGAGAGCCAAGAACGATTAGTGCGATAGCCCACCAAGGGAGACCATGGTTCTGTTGTTGTTCTTCTTCAGGAGGAACGAGTACACGATCAATTTCAAGTACACCTCCGCCAGCACTTGAGCGTCCAATATCAATGACTTCGGCACTATCCTGGGAACTTCCCTTGACCTTGATTGAGTAACCGCCACCAACATTCTTGCTTATGGTCAAGATGACATCATCAGAAAGCAAGGAGGGATAGTCAGTGCCTGTATATCCGATATCTGAAGGGTTTTCATTCTTGTTATCATCCCATGGCCACCAGCGCTTCTTAATCTCACCTGCGTCTACAGGAGGCAACGGGGAGGGAATGATGTGTAACTTGGCAAACTTGACCAGCTTCTCGGGATCACCCTTCAGATGACCGAGATTGATCTTGGCAAAGGCACGATCGGTTGGAGCGAGAATGGTGTAAGGCTTGTCACCAGCGATACCTCCAAGAATTGCTCTTGACAGATTACTGTGCTCGACCAATCCAAGCAAGTTTTGAGTTCCTTCAGCCGACAGTAGATCGCGGTTGTTGATCTTGAGCGATTCCGGTAACTGGACACGATCGACGGTATGGATAACACCATTCGATGTCAAGATATCCTTTTTAATCACTTTGCCAATCACACTACGATCGCTTCCGTCAGTAGCTCCACTGCCACGAATAAAGAAGCCATCATCCGTCTTGTTCAGTGTCAATTGGTCACCAGAAGCGAGAGTCTCCTTTTGATGTTCCCCCTTGGCTGTGGAATTTTCGTAAAGTACATCACGAACAGTATGGAACTTGACGACCTGCTGCATCTTTTCTTTGGCATCGGGTTGCAGCAAATGCTTTGTGACAAGACCAAGACGGCTAAAGGCTTCGTTATTGGGCGCAAACAAGGTGATGCCTTCTGTGTTGCTGATAACTTCGTCTACACCAGAGGCATAGATACTTGCGACAAAGGTGGACAATTCCAAATTGACAGGGAGTCGACTAAGCGTGTCTCGAGGTAAGAAGAGAGATCTTGCAATAGGATAAATAACAATATTCTTTCCAGATTCGACTAACGGAAAAAAAGATTAGTTATAAATGTTGCTTATTTTGTCCTCTTCATTTACTTGGGTCTCGCAAGACATTCACTTTATCAAACTGAATGGACTGTTTGCTAACATAAAAGCCATCCTTGCCATAAAGAGTGGGATCCTCTTCAGTAAGTGTGACTCTGATGCGTTGATAAAAGGAACTACCGAGGTCATCATGAGATTCAGTTTTTAATAACTGGCCATCAGCAAGGTCAGAAGGAAGATAACGGCCATGAATGATGTGATACTGGAGCCACGATTTGATCTTGTTACTTGGAACATTACCTTCATCTAGAGCCTTGTCGGGTGGAGCCAAGATGGTCAATGGGTTATTGCTATCCAAATAAGCACCAAGATCGTTGTCGTCAAGTAACTTGATAAAACGAGAAGAACCAAGAGCTTGAAGGACCTTGCGAGAGTCTAGCTTTAGGAACTCTTTGTTTTTAGGCAAGATAGGCTTTTCAAGGATATGAATGACACCTAAAGTCAGGGTTAGAAGCATATTCTATGTGTATGTTCTTGGCTCTTACCATTGGATGCCAAGAGATTTTGCTTGACCACCTTTACGCCATTGACGGTGATAGTACCCTTTTGGACCAATATATCAAGGTCTTCTGATCCTTCTAATGTTTTAATCTTGGACTTTCCTTCTTTGAGGTCAGTTGAGTAAAAAATCTTGGGAGAAACTTGATGATAGAGCAGCCTAGCCAAGTCATGGCGGCCTTGTTTGCTGTAGAGATAATCCTTTTCAATATCATTCAGTTCATCACCAAAGACGCTATCCTTGGTAGCAAACACAGTATATCCTTCACCAAATCTTAGGTCATGCTCAATATGTGCTCTGTCAGCCAAGTCATAAAAATTCTCTACGGACTGTTCTAGACTCAGTGTTTCATCTATGCGATATTATTGTTATTATTATTCGAGATAGTCTCTGTCTTTTAAATATCTTACATAAATTATCAGGCAATGACAGAATGTGGTCAACAGCATGAATAATACCGTTCGTAGCATCCATATCTGCTTGAACCACCTTGGCTGTATTTAATTGAACGCCGGTACCAATGACAATAGTATCATCATCCTTTGATATTTCAAGCAACTGAGTGATTTTATTGTAATGTGCTTCAGTCTTTAAGAGCCTTCCATCCCAGAGTTCACCAGACTTGATGGCCACAGGAATGACATGGTAGAGGATCTGTTCTGGAGATGTGGTCTCTTTACGATCAAATGCTTCATTGATCGGTGCAAAGACCGTCCCAGCCTTGATGCTCTTGAATACAGTGGTCAAATTATGCTTTTCAATTTCTCCTGTAAGCTTTGAGAATCGTTCATCCTTGACAATAATATCAAATATAGACTTCTTTTCAGCAAGTAAGCCTGCGGCACACAATGTGATGTAGACGTATATTAATATAAACAGTATCTTTTTAATCATTTCTCTCTTTTGCTACTGCTTAAAAAGCGAAAGAAAAAGGAATAAAAGGTTCAATGGATATAAATATGCCTTGTATTATACATATCCAAGTAAACAACATTTAGTCACTTGCACGTCATTTCTTTTTCCCATCACTTGGGGTTTCAGTCTAACAAAACAAAAAAAAAGGCAGGGATCGGTCGATTTGTTGTGATATGCGTGAACTGATATGCGAGTAAAAATCTGACAGCATGCTTGTCTTACCCTGTGTGTCAAATAGCCTTATTGTTGATTTTGTCGTCCAATGTCGCAATTTTATTGTGCATCTTTTTTTTTTTTTTATTTAACGTCGTGACTGATTTATGCAGTGTATTTCATTGGCTTCAATGCTGACCTGTTTCTTTCCTCCCCTTTTTTTTTTTTAAAGAGAAGATATACCTTTGATGATAGCATACCAGATATCATCTGTTTAAGGGTTGATGTGATATGACTAATTTTATAATAATAAGAACAATGTTGCGCAATTGTGTTCCCAAATTGGCCAATGAATCCTTAAAATAAAAGAGAGGGGTCAAGGGTTCATATATCACTTTCCCCTTTTTTATTTCTTGCCTTTTTTCTTTATCCTTTTTATCTGATGACTTTGGAGCAAGAAAGGGACCCTCTGTTAAGAAATCAGGCTATTGATTATCACACTGTTGATTCTATTTCAACTGACGGTGGAGATGAAGAGAATCGTCTCAGGAAACAGCGTGATCATGAAGATATTTTAAAAACCAGACTGGGAAAGATTACTTTACCTATGGTAACGATATGGTATATAGTATTTTTGTTTTTTAAAATGTCAAATTCATTCATTGTGATGGAATAGCCTTTGCATAGGTTCTTTCTTGGCTGCAATGGATACATCTATTGTCACAACGGTGTTTAATGAAATAGGAACAGAGTTTAAAAGGTAGGAAATGTCATAAAAATATATAATAATAATATAATATAATAATAATGGTTAGTTCGAATCTTTCGGTATGGATCATGACATCTTATATGCTCAGTACTTCTGCTCTTCAACCTTTGTGTAAGTTTTATCGTATATTTGAGGGTTGATATTGATACGTATTTATACACATTAGACGGTAAGCTATCGGATATCTTTGGCCGCAAGACTACACTTGTTGCCATCCTCTGTTTCTTCCTTCTTGGTTCATGGTTATGTGGAGCAGCAAACACGATGACACAGATGAGTATAGCCAGGGCCATTGCTGGATTAGGTGGTGGTGGACTGATGACAATGGCATCCGTTGTCATTCATGATTTACTTCCTTTGAGAGAAAGAGGGAAATACCAATCTTATGTCAATATGGCACAGACAGTAAGTAAAGTATACAATGGAAGATGGCCGACTTAAACCGTACGATAGGTCGGCACAACCATCGGCGCTCCACTAGGTGGTTTGATCAATGATACCTTTGGATGGCGTTATTGCTTTTACGTGAATGTGCCTCCTTGCTTGTTTATTCTTTACTGTTACATCTACCGTTTAGAGAACTACAACTTAAGTCAAGATACATCTGCATTTTCCGACTTGCGTAAAAAACTACGTAGTATCGATCTTGCTGGAGCTGGCTTCATGCTGATCGCCAATGTTTGTTTTGTCACCAGCACGTCTTTAGGAGGTAACACACGCGAATGGACAGATCCCTTGGTAGTCACTCTGCTCATCATAGCGGTTGCCATGTTTATTCTTTTTGGAGTCTACGAGGTCTACTGGGCAAAGAATCCAATTGTGTCCAAAAAACTCATAAAGAATCGTAACGTGGCTGCTGTTTGTCTAAACAACTTCTTTCTTTGTTCATCTACCATGGTTTACGTTTACTTGCTACCACAGTTTTTCATGGTAACATAAGCACACAGTATCTTTTATGCAATTATTTATTCTTCTCTTAGGGTGTCCTAGGATACAGTGCATCCTCTGCAGGTCTCTGGGTTTTACCAAGAACAGCCATGGTTGCTGCTGGTTGCTGGGTAGCTGGAAGATACTTGGGTATCAAAGGAAAGTACAAGTACTTTATTATTACTGTCATGTCTGCCCATATGGTCACCTCCATCGGTATGTCTACTTGGACTGAAACCAGCCCGTTATGGTTCGAACTGATTTGTATGAATATCGAGGGTCTCTGTTTTGGCTGCGTCCTGGTGGCAACCATGGTCGCGCTTGTGGCGGATATTGATCATTCGGACACTGCATCGGCTACATCCATGATTTTTTTGTGTCGGTCGATGGGCTGGTTGTCAGGCGGAACGATCACGGCTGCGATATTACAAGCCAACTTTAAGACAAGTCTGCATAAATCCTTATCAGGTCCCGAAGCAGCCAGGGTAAAAGAAAGAAAGAAAAAAAAAAGAAAGTTGTGTGGTAAATCATGGTACTAAGTGAATATATATTAGATTATCGAGTTTGTTCGTACGTCTATCTCAAAGATCCGTACCTTGTCTCCAGAACTACAAACAATCATCATTGCGTCTTTACAGGTATCAATTCATAGAGCACTCTTGTATGGCGTTGCTTGCTCCATTCTTTGCTTCCTGTCATCAACACTTTTGAGAAACTGTCAGTTGGGCTCTGTGTCAGGAAAGAATTAAATAATAAAGTTCTTTTTTATTTATTGCTCGACATACTATATTTTTATTAATTATTGACGTTAATTTTATAAAACATTATCATAAAATAAAAAAATCATTTACGTAAAAAGACGACAAAGAATAATACGTTTGAATAAAACGACATCATGTCAAAAGAGAGAGAGATAATGAGTATATGTAGAAAAAGAGAAAAAAGTATGTTTGTATTAGAGCATATATCCTAATATTAGTTTTACTTACCACCAAGGTGCATTCTGGGGAGGGTAGCGATAACTATCCAGGATTGTTTAAGCAAAAAAAAAGGAACGTAGGACTGAAAGAACCCAGGGCGTCAGGAGAGACTATTGGAGAACGTTTCAGATACACGCCAGAGAGCAGAGAGGGCGAGACAAGCGAGTCAGAGCAAGGACCATGAGGACAGGCTAGTTTTGATTGGCGAATCTTTGAACACTCAGAGGGACATTTGATAGCTGCTGTAAAGAAGCAAAAAATAGGAACAGTTAAAATGGGTTTTATATGTTTTTCTTTTTCAAACAGGTTTCAGGATCGAGTACTTAGGACAAAGAAATCATGTCAAATAGAAGCAATATGTAGCGTGACCATTCAAGGATATGCATTGCCAAATATGACTACATGTTCTTCTGGTTTCATGGAAAAACCGAAAAAAGGATCTAACTTTTACAAAGATTAAAGAGGGCTATTTCTAATATTAAGTTAGTTTTAACTCCAAGGCAACCCACCTGTTAATATTACTGTCAAATGGGATAGTGAGCCATATTCTTTTTGTATTTTATTACTCTGATAACATTACAGCTGTTTCAATACGACATCTAAATCTGGAAAGCACGATATTCAGTCTCAGTAGCAGCGTCATTACTTTTTGGAAATACAGTATAAGCTTTGCAGCTGATAGATACGAGTGAATTAAATTGTAACAAACAACTAGTTACTTGAAGTCAAATACTAAGCTCAATGGATATTATCTCCTTTTACATTCTTTATTCATTCATTTATCGCCGTTTAAATAAACCGGATAATAGCTTTTCTTATATGATAGGAGCCATGTTAAAAAAGAAATAAATATTTTGTCCTTTTCAAAGGGAGGAGAGAAAAACTGGGAGAACGAAAAGAAACAAGGGGGGAAGAAGGGGTGGGGAAAGGGAAAGATAGCTTAGCAGTAAAGAGCAACCAAAAAGAAAGAATCTCTATTACCAAACTCAAAAATAAGCAACATTATTAATTTCCTTTTTTGTAATTTGATCTTTTCTCAGTCATAAAAAGAAACAGTTAAATGAGCTTGTTTGATCCACTGTTTTTATAAACCAAGAAAGAAAGAAAAAATGATATTAAAGAACGAAAAGTTTATATAATATATATATAAAATGTCTGTGTATAAATGTGTATATATTGGTGTGTGTGTGTGCGTGAGACAGAGGAAGAGAGAGAGAGTGCAGCGTGTGTATACGTCTGTAGGACTTTTTTTGTATGTGTATATAAAATAAAGAAAGACAGAGGATAAGAAGAGTGAATTATTAGGGAGTTGCCTGATAAACTATGAAATAATACGGAAAAAAGCTATTTAGAGAATAAGACACTTTTTTGGTTTGGGCTTTGGTGGAGGAGATAGGACAGCTCTGATGGCTTCATCAAATACATTTTTGAGACCCTTTTGAGTGAGTGCTGAACATTCAAGATATTTAACTGCACTGATATCTTTTGCCATTTGTACACCTTGAGTGTAAGTGATAGGTGCCATTCTCTTTTCACGAAGTCTTTCTATTGTGTCCCTATCTTCACGTAAATCAAGTTTAGTACCGACGAGGATGATGGGTATGTTGGGTGCATGATGACTGATTTCAGGATACCACTTTGAATATAAAATTAGTCTCATCTTGCACATCTACTCTCTCTTATTTGAGCTTACCTTTGTTTTCACGTTTTCAAAAGAAGGAGGACTAATAAGTGAAAAGCAGCACAAGAAGACATCCGTTTGTGGATAAGAAAGAGGACGAAGACGGTCATAATCTTCTTGGCCTGCTGTATCCCATAAGCCCAAGTTAATTGGCTTTCCGTCAACCATGACATTAGCTGAATAATTGTCAAAACTATAAAGAAAGTGAGTAAGATAATAAGATAGTAATAGGTCAAAAGAAGCCTTACACAGTTGGTATATATTCACCGGGAAAAGCGTTGGTGGTATAAGATATTAACAAGCATGTTTTACCAACAGCACTATTAGATGTCAGTATAATCTATACTTCATCTTGTTCTTTTATATATTTACCCATCACCAACAACAACACATTTAATAGACTGCATAACGGTCTTTTTAGTTGTTCAATAATAAAAAAGAAATAAAGAAAAAGGAGAGAAAAAAGAAAAAAAAAAATAATGTTCAACATAGAAAATAAAACACGTGAAGAGAAATAGAGAAAAAATCAAGTCATTCTCTTTGCTTCTTTTCGAAACTCTCTTTTTTTTTCTTTTCTTTTTTCTATTTTCTTTGTTCCCTTGTTTATACATCGGCTGAGTGATTTGATCGATCTTTTCTTTATTTCCTTTTTCTATACTTACCCTTACATTTTGTTAGTCTGGAGACGATAAAAGAAACTGGGATATTCAACCTCCGCATTTATTGCAAGAGAATGGGTAAAAGGTTAGAAGTTGGATGAATAGTACATTTGTATATATAAATTAGGGAGCAATGAGAGAGAGAGATTAAGTTGATTTATAATCAATAAGAACGTAAATGTGCACACACTTTATGAAAAGAGAACAATACAAGTACATTTCTTTGTCCATCGCATTTCATTAGTGGTACCAAAGACAACTCAAAATGGTAATTTGACAATCACTTCTTTTGATACACAATGTCTCTCATAGTGCAACGTCTATGATTTGATAAATAGGAGCATGTTCAGAGAATAAAAAGTAAATTTTAAGGTGATCACTACATACTCAATAGAAAGAAGAGTGTAACACGAGAGATCTTTTGAAAACAGTGCCTATAGCTCCCCTTTCCCGTTCGTCTACAACCCATATCAACCAAAGCCAGATGTATTGTAAATAATCCAAGCCCTCCTCCTATAGATACCACTCTTTGCCAATAATAGAGTTACAAAGAAACCACAATGATATCGTCTTGGATGTATGTGGCATTTATAAACTATATGCAATGTAAAAACTATTCGTAAGAACGTAGTATTGTATGCCCAAAGTATATATCTAAAAAACTCACGACACTTGCTTAGCTATGATTTTACCTAAAGTGTCACCCAAAGGAATCTATTATTTGTGAATATGCTCGAAAAAAAGAAGAGAGAGAATTAATGCAAGTTGTATGCTCTATAGAATTCCAATGTATCATTCTTAATTAGGCATCAATATGTGAGATAAAAAGAAACCAGTATGAAGTTTTCATCTGTCTTACCAATTCTCCTAATTTTGACAATCCAAGGCTGATAGCTTCAGCGAGAGAATGCACCAACAAGGAACTGCCAAACTCTTTTATTTTTAAAAGTTCCTTTTCGGTAAAAATTTCTTGCAAGGTCAAATTACCAAGGTCTATAATGAATGAGTGGATGGGACTAAAAAATAGATAAAAAATATGTCAATAGCTCCTGTAGTTGTTACTGATTTCGGAAGTGTTACTGAATGTATTGGCATTTTAAGCCATAATTAAATAGCCTCTCTTCAACTGATATAGGTGTAGTTTCTGTGGAATTCAAATACCAAAAGCGATTGCTATCCAGTTTGTGAAAGTTGGAGACAAATATTTGCTTTAATTCATTACTGAAAGTGACCTTCAACTCCAATTTTTTAAAGAAGTATTTGAAATTCTTTGTTTGATCCTTTTAAAAGAAAAATATCCTTTATCCTGAGAGAGAGATAAACTGTATTATTTTGGAATAGAAGGTAGTGTTTTTTCATTTACCAGTTCCAACTTTAATAAATTAGCGCATCCTCCGATTCTGTTTAACCAAACTCCCTTGAAGTTTTCAAGTATATGTTCAGGAGAATAGTCTTTAACAATAAAATCTTCCAACTCAGAAATGACTTCCTTAATGCTGACTATCATTTCTTTTTAATCGCAAGAGTACAGGACACACAATTATAATATGTTTAGTAGCACGTGTCAAAAGCAAACATTTATTTGCCTAGTTACTCTCTTTATGTTTAGGATCTATATCCATGTTTATCGTTAAAGAGATATTTAAGTGTCATGAAGAAAAACGGAAGTAACAGTCGTTCCAAGCCAGTCAATTACCAATCTTAGTACTATTGTTTCTAGCAACCGATTGAAGTGTTACTTTCTTGAAAGATTGCACTCGGTCTTCAAGAGGTTATCAACAGTACTCTAATACTTAAGTCTACAAAGTTGCAAGTGAGAGAATCAGCTGCATCAGTCTATCGTGCTTGCGGATTATCATCGAAAAAATTTACTAGGTGAGTTTTATGTTCTGGTCCTAGCTGAGGCTTTGATCTATTCACCAAGTTTGTCTGCTTTTCTAAAAATATTCCAGTCCTTCTCCTCTTTAAGTCTTTTAGTCCACTTTTGAACCGTTCGTCCGGCAATACTGCCAGCTAAGCGACCAGAATTTATAGCATTGAAGAACTTAATTCTATTCATATATACAAACAAAAGCTTTTGTTCGTTTGAATATTTATTATAAACCTTTCTCTACAGCTTAACTGTATTTGCAATCTCACATTGTTTTCCCAGCCCATGGCATCATTTCCCTGCTCATCGACAATCTTTCCTTGTCCATCGTAATAAAAATGAGAACTCATTTCCTTTTTTGGTATTTATTGTATGAAAAAGCGTCCTTTGAGATAATAAAAGCCGTCTTTGGATTTTTAAAAACCTGCCCTTTGGCGTTGGAACGGCTGGAAGGCATTTATCACTAAAAAAAGAAAATGCATAAAAGTCTATCTTGAGAGTTATTAATTTGAAATACAGCAGAGGTTGGGTCAAATACACCCATATAGAATATAAAAAGAAGGGTCCCTTTTTTTTGCTATTGTAAGCATCAGTTTAGAAACTAGGGAGGTTATCTATATTTCAAATATAATCGTAATCAGGTCATATCACTAAAGTAAAAAGGGGAGTTAAAAACAAGCTACTTGTTATTGACAGACCACGTATGATTCATCTTTTGAAATCAACCGTTTGATTTGCTTTTTGTCTCTTTATTTCTCTCTCCGCTTTTTATATAAATTTATTTCCTTCTTTTTTCCTTTTTCCTTTTTCTTTTATATATATATATTTAAATGCTCAAAAGGTCAAGTCTATTATCACCATCTCATTGGAATAAAATGAGTACAAACAACAGCAGTATTACGAGTAACAGCAGTGGTATCAGTCATAGTTCTCATCTCGACCCTATTCACCCACTTGCAAGTAATCAAGTCATAATGACCAACAGTATCATAAAAGACTATGACGCTGACTCAGGAAACAAAATAATCAACCACTATATGGTCATCAAAGAGATAGGAAGAGGAGTTCACGGCAAAGTTAAACTGGCTCAGGATATGAATACAGGAAGCTATGTGGTAAGGTAACTGAAGAGTGATGCCTATATTCCATGTTTAAAACTCAGTTTGATATCCAGGCTATAAAGATAATAGATAAAAAGAATAGAAAAAGACAGATGGGATACAGTCTGCTGAGAGGAAACAACAACAATAATAATATGTGCTTACTGGCATCCAAAGAGAATGAATTGAAAATTAAGCGCGAAATATCAATTTTGAAAAAATGCAGACACCCCAACGTGGTTCAACTGATTGAAGTGATGGATCATCCAGAGAGCCGAAAGCTCTATATGGCATTAGAATATAATGAGTATGGCGAGATCGAGTGGAGAGACGAAAACGATAGGCCTATATTGACAATAGACGAAGCAAGGAAAATATTTAGGGATATAGTAAACGGACTGGACTATTGTATGTGGTTGATCTAACCATCATTTTTGCTACTTTGCTAACTATTTACCATAGTACATTACCAAGGCATCATTCATCGTGACATCAAACCAGCCAATTTGCTACTCTCTCACAACCATGTTGCCAAAATATCAGACTTTGGTGTGTCATATTATAATGAGCTCTTGGCTGTCGATTGCCCTATTGAGCCTACTGAAGAGATGCTGAGCAAGATGGAAAAAGAGTTGGCCGAAACCGCAGGCACCCCCGCATTTTTTGCTCCTGAACTATGCTATGCAGGTGACTCATGTGGCAAGAGACCTCGTATCTCAAAAGCTATCGACGTCTGGGCCTTAGGTGTCACCTTGTTTTGCTTCATCTTTGGTCAATGCCCATTTACGGCATCCACCGAGTTTGAGCTCTTTGATACCATCCCAACTCAACCACTGACGTTTCCTTCAGTTGACCAGGTCGGTTTTCAAATTGACGATGATTTAAAAGATTTACTGAGCAAGCTACTCGAAAAGAATCCCGAAAAGAGGATTACATTGGATCAAGTTAAAGTAAGTTATTTATTTCTAATCATAATAATAATAAAAAAACTCATAATTATATCAGACTCATCCCTGGGTAACCAATGGTTTAGAAGACCCAAAGGATTGGCTCATTCGATCCAACCCTACGACTTATACCGCTCCTGTCATTCACGAAGATCCTTCTTCGACTACCCTCATGGACCGTCTGCGTCAGTCCATTCGAAAGCTATCTTTCTCATTCGGTAATAGCCGACGCAAATCCTCTCGAAAGCCCTCAACAACAACAACAACAACAACAACGAGGCCATTGTCTTATCAATTACCTCCAAGTACCAGTAATGCGGCAACTAATCATCATCATATGCATCGTCTCTCTCAACCTACTATGAATAAACAACTCTCCTATTCCACTTCATTATTACCCCATGCGACCAACTCGGTGACTCCAACCGTTTCATTATCCACCGGCCATACATTGATCATGAACTCTGGCCTGTCTACTAGTATTATACCCCAACCACCTTTGAAACCCATCTCAGCTGCAGCAAGTGATGAGGATGACGATATTGAACATGAGTACTACTCTCTCAAACGACCTGGTTATAACCGACGTGTCTCTACTGCCTCTTCTTCTGCTTCTTCTGGTCTTGGCTTAACATTTGGTCGATACCGTGGTATGACACCAGTAGAAGTACCCAAGTAATATTGTATATATCCACCTCACTTTATTGATATTATCTATATGCATAAATGAAATATTTTTGTTTTCTTAAAAAATGACGCATATGTCATTATTTAAAAAAGGACCCTTGCATCTATTGTTTCTCTTTGGTAAACATTTAAGCAGGATTTATTATTGTTGTTTTTACATATGTACACGTTTATCATGACTTGCGTTTCAACATGCAGTAGTTGCCCCATGCCAATCCAGGCGAACCAGGGACCCAGAATGCTCTGGAGAGACGATGTGAATTTTGAGCGTCAATGAAAGGATGACATGTCATAACCTCCCAATGAGCGGTATCCTTGACAGAACTAGATTCTTCTAGATGAAGAGGAAAATCAACGTCGACAAGGTAATCGCACGCTTGTTCGTCCACATAGACGCTTGGATCCTCCATGTTGATATCATTGAACCCTTGTGGTGCCTGACGAGCACCTGCCCAGGCGTACCGCCTGCGTCTATAAAACTTGAGTTTTCCTTCATCTTCATAGCTGTCGACCGTAAAGTCTTCCTCAAAGGATTTGGGCAGCTGACCATGGAATCCGCTCTTGATAAACTGTACACGGGTGTCGCTGGGCAAGAAGAACTGAGATGGAAAGCGGAACCATTCCTTACCGATACACACGGTTTTTTCCTTGATCTCGATGTCGTTGGGATAGTCCTCTTGTAGGTAGTTCAAGTTTACGAGTTGATCGTCAGGTTGTTCGTCCCAAATAGAGCTGTAGATCGCAAAAGGTGCACGATAGCGCGTCAAGAGCGCCAGGATGCGAGAGACGGACAAGAGAGCGTATACGCTAAGGATACCAAAGGACGTGTATCTCAGCACGGTCACTCGAGTATGTACGTTAGCGCCTAAAAGACCGGCGAATCGACTGGTCCAGGTACGGATCAAGTAAATCGAGATGGCTGCATTGAGAGCCATCAGAGGGTAGGCTACGTACATGAATCGTTCCTCTTTATGTGCTTGTAGACTGAACGTGATGAACCAGATATAAAATGGGATCAGTTTCAAGCCGAGGACGACATAAGGCCAGATTTGATCCATCTTGGTCCTGCCCGGGACACGGTTACGATCGATAATGGCTGTAATAAGCTACAAAGCAAAAAAAAGATATTGGGATAAACATGGATTTCCCTCTTTATCTTCAAAAACTTACCACACAGATTGCAGATCCAATTGCGAGTAAAAATACGATATTAAAATTCAAAAATCCATTGAGAATGTAGTAATACCAAGGCTCAGTGCCATAGAGTTCTGGCCCTCTGCCATCAGAGAATATGTTGTATTTGATGATATTCCAGGCGACAATGGTATATTGACGATAGATCATTTGGTCCATGAGTACAAGCAAGACCTAAGAAGAAAAAGATCAGAGCTCTCTCTCTTTTCTTGTCTATTTGTCCCGTTTACCGTTAATCCGAGGCCAATCAAGAGAGCAGCCTCAAACAATCGAACGATTCGTCTCAATCTCCAACGAGATCCACCAATGGATCGAACAACGGTGCCATCTGCCTTCTTCATCGTATCACGTCCAAAGATGAGCACTTCTTCCATAGCAAATGGAATGCCAATCAGAGCAGCAAATGGCCAACCAGCCAAAGCACCTAATCCAATCCAAAAGACCACTCTGTAGGTGCGTGTAGGGTCAATATCTGAAACAGGTCTGAGTGCATATGAGTAAGCCATAAAGACACAATACATGGCAAAACTGGAAGGCAAATAAGCTGATACACGTTAGTTTTCGGCTTTCTCTCTCTCTTTGTTTCATCAAGCTTACCTGTGGATGCATTGAACATACCAGCACCAAAAAATAAGATCGCAAAGACATAACGTCCGACGTGAGGATTGATTTCTTCAGTGACCGTGCGATAAAATTTGGCCTCTACAAAGGAAGAGACGCCTGCCAATGCGAGTCGAATGAGGTAAAATACTTGGACCTACACATGAAATATCAGTACACGCGCATGTGTAATCTTACTATTTAGCATTACCTTGGTTGGAGCAATAATCTTGGATAAAAATCCAACAACAGCGTGAACAAGGATATATGCCCAGCTTCTGATCTTGTAATCTGTCGAATATTCCCAAGTCTGACGTCCATAACCTTCCAACAGGTAGTGAGTAGGCTCCCAATAGTTGTAAACCTCGTCACAGTCATCAAGAATACGATATAAAGCAGAAAAACAGCGAATGATAAATAGGATTCGGAAGGCTGTGTTGAGCGATAATGTAAAAGCATTTGGCTCACCGAGTAAGTCCTGTGCTCTAAAACGAGGGTTATGATAGCTCTATGGTCTCTGTTCTTTTATATTTACCTCACAGTGTTAACCTCTGTCTTTGTTTCCTTAGTTGTTGTTGTTGTTGTCGTTGATTTTATTTTCTTATTCGAACGTGAGCGTAACTCACGTTTACTGCTTTCACTCATTTTTACAACGGTGACAAAGGAAAAAAAAAAAAAAAGAAACACGTTTTTCAGATGTCATATACACATTTATAAATTCATGTCCCGCATGTATAAAACGTTTACCCATTTGGAAAGTAAACACTTGGAGTTTTTAAAAAATAGGTGCCTACTACATGCACCCGAAAATAATAAGCATCAGTAAGACCTTAAATCATACTGACAACCTTCATAATTCCTATAAGGCTCTCACTCAAGTCTAATTTAATAATACTTCATCTCTTTTAATGAAGAATCTACCTTACAAGGCATCGATTTAACTGCATAATTGATATTCTAAAAAATAAACAGTCGGTGTCTGTTGGAAGTGTATCCGTGTTTTCTAACCGTTATGTTGAAAGAGAGCTTGACATTATTAATGTCCATTTCATCATACATACTGCAAAATTACCTGATGGCGAAGAGCTAGTATATACTTAGAATAAACTTTGGCAAATTGTGACACTACTGCTGCTGCTGCTGCTACTAATATCAATGCCACCACTGCGCCTACACCTATTAAAGAGTGGATACTCAATGCGAGATATGCTTTATAATGAAATAAATAAAGCTATGATTCGATAATATACTATACGCACATGATATGCTCTTCATATCATTAATAGTGAGATCTTACATAGTTTTATTTCGTGTTTGTCCCCTTTTATTATCTTTTACTGCTTTAACTTTTTTTTTTCCTTTTATCCAATTCATCTTGTTATATTCACGTAAAGCTTGATGTTAATTATATATAAGAATCATGACATCCAGCTGGTATCTACTTTAACATTTCAAGAACAACAATAGCAAAGAAATATATAGTGCGACCATGTTTCCTTCTTGTATGTGCTAATAAACCAATTGTACTGGTTGATTTATTCGGATACTTTTAGTAAAAGAGCAGAAATTAAGCTACTAGGTCGCATAAAATGCTCGATCACTCAAACACTCCTGTTACTCTCATGCCGTTAGTTCCAACTGGTAGGAGGAGGGTGTTGTGCTTGATCGATCACACGAACATCTGAAGTACTTGACAATTTGATATTTTGACACCAATGGCCGTATTTGCTTATGCTTATTTTTGTTGTTGCTATCATACTGTGTTTTCCAAATCATAGTCAGATGCACTATTTTAAGTTATCTAACTCGATTCTACTTGACTCCATTTTATCTTTGAACGTAACGTAAGCTCTCGGATTGACAACTACTTATAATAAATAGTAATAAACTCTATTTCTTTAACCCCTTATCTACTCGCGCATCGTTGATATTATAGAAAGTGTGTCTAACAAAAGAATGCAAGTATTTGTTTTGAACCTCACTTAAGCACAAAAGAAGCAGTTTTACTAGCTTTTTGCTGCAAAATATAGAGAATAGTCTTATAAGTTATTCAAAAGGCAAATTGTCTATACTTGGCATCCTTTCTGTTTTGTTGTTAGCTAATGATATGTATCTCATTTATTACAAGCGTGATTGTTTTAGTAAAACATACACAAGTCCAACCTGCTGACTTACCATCTCTGGGAACATTGCGTAATCGAAGCTAAAATGTCTCCCTTTCCCTCCGTTGACATTGAACGAATGACTGGTAGTCTTTGATTACCCTGTTTGAAATGCAATATTAACAAGGATCTGTCATATTGTCTCTCTCTCTCTCTCTGTTCTAATGCCACTAATAACACACGTTCTCCTTCTCTCTTTTTTATCTCTGAAACACTTGTATCATACAGACTGGTAAGTAAAGTATGAGTAGAATAGCTAACCACTTCTTCAGAGGTTGACAACACAAAGATGAAAAAGAAGACATTATTAATAAAATAACTTTATGTGATTTCCCGATTTAAGCGTAGAAATTAACTTGATCATATGATTATGATCCCCTTTGATAATATTGAGGAAAGGGCAAATCAATGGTCAGAAAGAAGAAAACACCTGCTTTATTACTGTAATATCAATTTTTTTTTTCCCTTTATGATCTAATCCCCTTCATCGCCCCCTCCTTTATTTTCCCTCTCTCTCCTTTCGTTTTTCTCTCTCTTTCTTTGACCCCTTTACTCAAGGTTATTCGTAGATGCAAATTAACTCAAAATATCTACCGATTTTCAATGATTTGCATACAAATCGAATATCTGAGCATGGGCCACCTTTTTTTCCAATTTTATTTCTCCTTGGAGGCAATATATAAAAAATAAAATAAAGAAAGGGCGCCCTCACATGTTTGCATTTGGCTTTATAGCATCTTTTGACATACGACTCGTATCAATAACCGATAATGAAACGACTATGTTCTTTTTGCTTCTAATTGACACAAGAGTAATAAAATTGGAAAGGGGTGTAGAATCTATAAGAACGTAAGAATCTTGTTTTGTAACATTGAATTAGGAGAAGGGGTGGAGGTCGTGTGAGAGGGGGTGATGATGACAAATGAGAACAATACCAAACGAACTCTTTCTCTTATTCAACGTGCAATATTTCGTTCTTTAGGTTTTCGTCATCATGACCAGTGCGATAATGTGATTATGCGCCACTTTTTAAGAAATAGTTCAAGGGGAATCAGAAAAGACATTAAACAATAAAAGCTTTTAGGGAGTAAATCGATTCAATATGAAACAAACAAAAAGAGTAAAACAGAGAAAGGGGAATGGGACAAAAAAACGTGTCAGTATTTCTTGTCTTTTTTTTTTCAAGAGTGAGCGCCAAAAAAAATACTATTTTGAGTTGTATCCGAGCCTCCTCTCTCTTTCTTATTTAAATACGATTTCTCTTTTCTTTCTTTTTTCTTTTTTTATTATTTTTCATCAAATTATCAAATGGATATTAAAAGACCTTCATTGTATACTCGACTTCGTCATGCTTCTAAATTTATTTCACGAAGAACAGATCGTCGAAAGCACCAAGCGATAGAACCAGAAATAGACGTGGATCAAGAAACATTATATGAAGAACCTATCGAGAAACACAAGTGGACATGTCTTGATGAGGATAATGGTTCAATGGTTGATCATTATATGGATGACATGTTTGAATCCTATACAAATACACTTGATAAACTATTGGGAACATCTGATACTCAATCAAATACGCGCAATACGGCTGTCCTTATTGTTTTATCTCCTTGTGCATTAGCAGCTGGTAATATTGCTCGACAAAGACGAAAGACACATAAACCTTGTATTCAACTCTAGTTATTATTTTTGCTATTATACCTATTATATATATATATATATATATATATACCAAGTATTTTATATACATATGCATATCCTTTTATTTTTTCTATATACCATTTACATTTACATATACCTAATCCTCCCCTTTTCTTTCTTCCTGTTTCTCTCTCTTCATGTCTTTTCTTAAATAAATAAATATTTATATGAAAAAGAGCATAAATGTATATAAATACTTTTTACTGTCTATTCTATTCTCATTTGCTCCTTATTGTCTTTTGTCACATAACTAGCTGCATTGATCATACATGTTTAACAATAAAAAGTTTGTCCTGCAACTGGAATTTGAACAGCCGCCTTTTATATTCTTTCTTTTCGACATTATGGCCTTTGGTAAAGATTCTTATTGGACAAATGGCGAAGAAGGGGCTGCCGTTGCCTGCTTTATATCTGGAATAGCTGTTATCCTTATGGGATACTCTGTTTATTCTCACTTGAAATCAATACAGGATAGACATGTCCAAATAAGACGACATTCAAATAGATCAGATACCAAACTCGAAGACTGTAAAAAAAAAAAAAAAAAACAACCTATTCAACTTGAATCCTCATTGACACATTATTATTACTTAGCCATCAACTTGGATTCTCTAGCGTATCTGATGCAATCGCCTAATGCCAATATTCAAAGCAGGTACCTTTTTTTCTCCATGTCAGTTGCTGCATATATCTCTCAACTAAACATACACGCATGTTTTTTATAGTGCAGCAAAGATTATACTTGAGAGAGCCATGTCTGGTAAAATAAAACCATCTTCTCGTACATAAACAACATATTCATATCTTTTTAGCAACTCATCTACCAAAGATTATTGCAGCCTGTGCGGATGATCAACCGATGGATATTCGATCAAAGTCACTTTATTCACTTCAATTATTGACAAGAAAAGGTATACATATGTTTGTCAAGTGCGAATCTTTGCTCATAATCCTTAAAGAAGGAAATAAGGCTGCTTTACTACAAGCCGGTGCTTTGAATGTGCTAGTGGACGCATTAAAGTGTACGGATCCAGACATGAAGGAAGTCACCCAGCGTTATGTAGCAGTGGCTATCTGTGATCTAATTCAAGGAAGCGGTAAAAAGGGGGAGCAAAACAGCTAATACATTATAAATCTAAAGCGGTATAATAGATATCAATAAATACAAAATACTCGAACTTGGAATTTTGGAACCAATCAAACGTATACTCACATCAAAGAGCATTCGTAACAATGAACTCAAATATTGGACACTCATGATCTTGTATCAAATATCTCTTAGCGGTAATTTATATCATGTTTTTATTGATTATTATAGGAACTAAAGCAAAGAGAAATAGATCCTCTTCCTCATGTGCTGATAGACAATGGGTTCGTAAGTCTATTAGCTAAAATGGCTCGTTTGACATATGGTAACACAAACATGCCTAAATTCTGTATGCAAAGTCTCGTCAGGATCACATCAAATGTTGATGTTGCAGGTAACGTAAACTTGATCAATGAAGTTGTATATATATACTCAACGATAACAGAGGCCAAAAAGATTCTACTCGAACTATTGGATTACAATATCATCGAGCTTATCTCCATTTGCTTACGAGGTGATGATGTCGAACTCATCTACTGGGCCGCGGGTCTGATGCATGAGTTTGTCATCAAAGACGTGGTGGCTGATAAGTTTAGGCAGATCAAAGGTATCCATACCATTCTATCAGGTCTACTTTCTGCCGAAGAAATGTACATATCCCGTGTTATTTTGAGAACAATAAAATTCATGGCGGCAGGTCAAGATAAATTTCTCCAAGACATGGTTCGGTCAGGCATGGTGAAGAAAATTATGCATTGTCTGTCCTTGAACGATGAAGATGTCAAGCAGTGGGCTATATTGTGTATTCATGTCGTTGCTGGTCAAGGTACTTAACAAACGAGAGACTTTAGTTTACAATAACTAATACCTCAATTTAGTTGAATCACATCAAGATATTATTACCGCTCCCGAATTTGAGATCTTGCTCGAACTGGCAACCTCATCCAAGATGAAAGTAGCTATTTATGTATCCGACATAATATCACTTATCTGCTGTATAAGTAAGTCGAACCCAAAAAAAAAAAAAACAAAGGAAAAGTTATTAACCAAACAACTACAGCCAGCAATGCAACTTGCTTAGAGCCACATATAAAATCATTATTAAAAACACTGAATACACTATTATTGGAAGGTGAGTCTGATGTGCAATATAATGCTGCGGGCGCTATATTCAATATTATGACAACAAACAGTAAGTACCAACAAGGTCCCTGCTCCATATTAATTGTATTATTGTAGCTCCCTTTGCCAATAAGGTACGACAGATCAATTTCAAAAACATCTTGTCTGTTGCTACAACAGCAACAAACGAACGTGTTCAGATGATTTGCACTAAAGGAGCTCTGATGGTTGTCATCAAAAGTTAGTATACGCATTTAAACCATTTTGCCCTCTTGACTTGACAACTATGTAATAGATCGATATATGGTATTTCAAATCAATAGCCAAGTGACTGATCCTTTGATTGAAACAGTCAACAGTATATCCAGATTTATCCTACCCATCATGATCAGCCAAGCACTAGTACGATCAACCAAAAACCAAGCAGTTGGTAGCAGAGCAAGCAGTATCCATGACGACGAATTAGATCCACCGTTGATGCACACGGATACGGACGACGAAGATATCACAATGGTCCGTCAAGAAGATTATATTGATGTGACCGAGGAAGGTACGATCTCGAATGCGTCTCGTCTTGACCGTGTCTTGAAGGACCGCGAACGGGCAAAAAAGAAGGGGAGCCGAAACAGTCATTCGAGCCACAAGGGAGGTATAGGCGACAGTTCTCGTCTGTTCAACACGACTCTCTCTGTCAACGAACGCGACACGCTGTTCAAAAAGTTTGAGCTGCCAGCAGCGATGCGTAACCAACTAGCAGGTGCCTTAACGTCCCTTAACATCTTGCTTGAAAACGATCAGGTGATCGGCAGCACTATCACGGGTAAGCGCAACAGCCAGAACATGATGGACATGATTGACGTGATGCTTGATTTTGACGAACTCGAAGGACGAGCGGCATCGTATATTCGAACGAGTCGTAGTGGACGATTGACCAACTTGAACACGCATCCTTCAGAAGATAACTTGATGTTACCAGATCATATCCGACAATTGACAGAGAATTTGGTTTATCTCATTACTTATCCTGCCCTGCAAGACTGGGCGGATAGCTGCTGTAGGAATTATCCGCTAAACACGATTACAGAGACGAGAGCAAGTGAGTTGTATATGGACGCCTTGCAGTGGATTTATACATTTAGCGAGTTTCCGCAAAAATCAAGTTCCCGAGGAAAACAACTTTTGACTTTCAAGAAAAGCAAACAGCTACAACAACAGTCCAGTGAGGCAAGTGTCAATAAGAATAGTAGTAATAGTAGTAGTAGTAGTAGCAGCTCAGATGAGGATGAAGATGACAATCAATTATTCTCTACCTCTTCCGAAAAAAAATCAGATAAGCAGGATATTGAAGCAACCACGTTTCAAAAATCAACGTCTTCTTATGGCTCCAAGCATTACGCAGGCTTTTCTCGTCGCGCTCTTACATTATTACAGTCCTTGACACGTTATGGTAAAAAGTTAAAAAAAATATTGAGTTTTTTTTCTTTTCACTAACAATGTTATTTAGCATCTGTGAGACAATATCTTATTCACGATATGCAGTTCATCAAAATTCTTTTATATTTATTAGAGGCAGATATTAAATCTGCTGATCGCACCATAACCTGCCTTGGTGCTCTCTTTGCCAATGATCCTTGCCTCATGATATCCGAACACCAATTCCAGATGCTGGCCATCCTGGTATGGCACAGCATGATAAACACCAGCAAAAAGGCATTCCAGTTCTATAGCCAACTTGTCCTGGCGTACTGCAGTCGTATTATCGCATCCAAAATGAACAAGGCACCGCCATCGAGCATGATGAATAATCCTGTCTTTGTCGAGATCGACCTTGTCTCACGATCCAAATTTTGCTTTGTCAGCTATGAATCATACCTTCGCGTTCGCAATGATTCCTGGACATTCGAGACCGTACGCGCGACTCATTGTGTGCCTGCTATGACGGCTGATATTCTGGAACAAGGCGAGGTTCACAAGTATGCGTATGAAGTCATCTTGGAGTCTAGCGGATTAATGCAGATCGGATGGGTGAGCGATCATTTTGAGTTTGATCCTGAAGGTGGTAAAGGTGTAGGCGATGATGTGCATTCGTTTGGATACGATGGATCGCGTGCGAAAAAGTGGCATGGCAAGTACTCCAACATGAGAACGACATCTTATGGTCTCATATGGAAGGAAGGAGATGTTGTGACATGTGCTATTGATATGGACGAAGGCGAGATACGGTATTATCTCAATGGTACCGACATGGGTGTTGCTTTCTTTGGTATATCTATTAACCGTACTTGGTATCCGGTGAGATCAAAAATGAGAGAAAAAAAAGAAAAAGACGCTAATATCCTCTGTTTAAAGGCCATTTCTCTTGCAACAAACCAACAATGCAAATTTCAATTCGGAGGTTCAATCGATCCATTAAATTATCTGCCAGAAGGTTATTCGCCTATTGCCACACTAGCAGTTCAACCTGCCGCCACTATGAAACTACCACCTCCACGTCGTGTTCCTAAAATAGAACCATTTGAAGAGACAGATGTAGCTGATTTGTCAAAGGCAATGGAACAAATGAGCGTTAGGTCGCCCGACTTGCATAACATTGGAAACATCGAACCTAACCTCAAGCCGATTGATTACATCGAGCAGACACAAGAAACCGTCGAAGGATCAACTGAGTTTACATTTTACTTTATGAAGGCTGGAAAGCATGAACAAAGCTTTTTGCCATCGATCTATTACGAAGTCTCTGTCGCATTTCCTAAAAGGGATGACTCGTTTGATGTGATACCATCAGATAGGAGGTAAGGCAAAAAGCCAAGTGTAAAACAAGTGAACCTTATTCTTTTATTAGCACCATCATATTCGGTTTACAAAGGCTTTTATCAGACACATTTATCTATTTCGAATATCAAACGATCGAAAAGAGCTTGACGTTCGTGATCGGTTCTGACCGATCCGAATCCTTTGATTTCCATGTACAAGATGGAGACAAGATTGGTGTGTTATATATGAGCGAAACGAACGCATTTGGCATCACACAGAATGGCATGGTCAAGATTATTGTGTATGTAGGCAGAAGCACACAGGTGGAACCTTATTTGCCGTTTGTTACTGGTTCTGTCAAGATGGAGATGAATCGCGGAGAGAACCCGTTTAGGTGGGACTGTGCTAACCATGCATCAAGCAGGCAACACATGTCAAACTATTTGTATCGCCTGATGGGAAAAATATCCAAATTCTGATAGTAAACATGGACGCACAGACACATTGAGGGTGTACATGAACTTTATAAATACATATATACATACAATATAGAACTACATAAAACATACATGTATATAAAAAAAAAAAAAGAAAAGACGCAGCGTGCATAATTACAGTGATACAGAGTTAAGGAGAGGAATGAAAAAAAATTAAGCTTGGATTTCATGTCGTTGCTCATCCAATGATAATCTTTGAGGAGGCGTAGTTGAAGAAGAAAGAGTCGTCAAGATTTCAATTTGACTATCTTCTATAGCTTGCTCCTTTGGCGAAAGAGACTGTTGATGAATCATGAGGTCCTTATATCTCCTTGTCTTTATAAACTTGGGTACAGAGTCTTCTGCCATCATCTTGCACAAATGGTCGTTCACACGACTGAGTATTCCCAAGAGCTTGGTTAGACAACGGTCAGGGGAAAGGCCGCGGATGACGATCGTTCGTTGCTTGACACTGACTTGAGGAGGAAGGAGTAGGAGGCGATCACATGGGCCTAGCGGTTTAGTCACCGTAGTGGCCGGCAGAGTAGTAAAATAAGGAACCTTGGTATTGCTCGGAAGATGTGGAACAGGGATGAATACGGAATTGACAAAGTTTAGAATCTCCCGATGGAGCATATGATCGATGTTGACGTCGGTTTTTGCGTCTGGGCTCAGGTACATCTCATAGACAGCGTAGCACTCAGCAAGCTGGTCTAGGGCAGACAGTGTACCCAGCTTGAAGTTGCGAATCAGCCGATCATGATCAACCCAGTAATTAATGTTCTCTTCGCAGTAATTGGCTCTAAGGAAATCACGAAAGTACATGCGAAGGAGCGGAGTGTCCAAGATGTGATGTAGTCGTGTGTAATGCGAAGTGTCCTTGGATGCAACACTTCCATGGGACATGCTAGAGTCTGTAAGCGACATACTAGGTGGCCGTAGTGGCGTGCCCTCTTTAGATATGGACATGGCTGCTAGCTGTTCACTAGCATCACCTAATGAGCTACTACGAGACATGGCTATGTATAAAAGATAAGAAATGTGTAATAAAGAAAATGATAACACATACCAGCAGACGATGGACCTTCCTCATCTACATGACGATGACTCCTACTGACTGACGACTGCGGACTTGGCCTATGCTTGATCATGGAAGATTTGCTGCTAGAACTTGTTTCTGAAGTGAAGGAAATGTCGCTTGCCTGCTGAATGGCTTCTTCCTGAGGCGGCTTCCATCCAGCAATCACCAAGCCGCGTTCAGTAACATAGTAGATGGCAAACCGAGATGTCTTGAACGAGATACCATCTTCGTTTACACAGAAGGACTTGTCTGACTTATCAACCACAAGGCCTATCCATCCAAACAGGACAAACTCGGAGGCGACCATCTCAGCTTCCTCCTTGGAGCTCACCGTCAGTCGATCAGCGAGCCATTCGACACATTGAGTGCCTAAAAACGTGTGCTGATACCGAGACAGGTTCTTTCGATCAATACCACCCACATCATCCAAGACGAGCGCATCGAGAGGTAAACTGGCAAGCATTGCTTTGAACGCAATGGTCATGTTGGCGCGCGAGAAAGTGATCTGGTCGTCATGATCTGTCAATCGGTCCAACTTGATGATCCGTCCTCCTGTACTTCCCGATACGGAAGGTACCATATAAGGAGCATTTAATGCAGCAATCAAACTGCTTTTCATCTCCACTTGAGTGTAGTCTGCGAATTCTTCCAAGATGTATTTGCCTTTGAGTGTCGGGCACCATAGACCTTTATCCTTGACTGCCCAATTGTTTGGGTCTGTCGCATTCATGATGAGACGTGCAGATAGAAAGTACTGTATCATGTTCTTAGCCGTCGTGGTATCCATGGTAAATGTCGTTGTTGTTCTCGTCGAGATCTGTCGTGATGGGTCAGATGGATCAGGCTGTCGATGAACATGAATGAATTGAAGTGATGACATGACCTTAATGGCTTCATCAGTGGTAAATGTGTATGGATAAGTGCGAAAGAAGGTTCGATGGTCTGTTAGTTCAATTTGGAGTAAGACTGCGGAGAACATGTCGTATAGATCCTAATTATTAAGTGCATCAGAGAGTGAGAGAGAGTAATCAATCTATAATTGATGCTTACTTTGGTAAATGGTCTTCCCTTTTTAGTTATACGCATCATTGTTGTATAAGTAGCAAAGCTTGAATTCAATGTTTTAGGCATATTTGCTTATGTAAGGGAATGAACAAAGAGTATGAAAGTAAGGGGATAATGAAAAAGAAAAAGGAAAAGGAAAAAGAAGGGGAGGAAAAAGGGGAGATGTAAGATTTATACAAAAATAACCTTAAATGCTTTCCTTTCCTGAATGGCGCGATGTAAGCAAAAGTTACACGAATAACAAGTTTCATGATGGACAATATCAGGCACCAAGGAAGAGTGGAAAAAAAGAGAGAGCTACAAGCCACTTTACAAATTCCGAAATATCGAATTATTCTTTTTTTTTTTTTCTGCCAATGTTTGCAGACGAAAGAGAAGATACGCTTAGAGAAGTAGCTGCCTGTGGAAATATTAAAGCAGTACTTCACTTTGCTCATGCAGGTGTTAACTTGAACTCTCAGAATAAAGTGAACGGATGGTATTCAGAAAAAAACAAGAAACAAGCTATTCTTAACCTTATTGTCATAGGACAGCGTTACATTGGGCAGCTCACCGCGGTCATGAACATGTCATCACTGCCTTACTCAAAAGTGGAGCTGATCCTCTAATAAAGACACATAAGGGACAAACTGCTCTAGATTTGGCAGTTAAGCATGAAGCTTGTGTGGCTCTCTTGAAAGAGGCTATGGGCGAACAAGCTCAAACAAACGTTGGACCTGAACCTGAGCTGCCTATCGTTCCAACTTATTTGAAAAATCCAGACTTGGAAAAGACGTGGCTATTGCCTGATGAATTTACGGAAAATAAAGTCGAGAATATAGTGAGGAAACAAAAGGCAAAGGACATGTTGAACACACCAACCGTGATAGCAGGTAGGTTACTCAACATTATCTCAAAGCTGTTGTTGATACCATTGTGTAATAGAAGAAAAGAAAGAAGATAAAAATGAAGACGAAAAGGAAATCTTGGTTTATTTATCTGCACGTAAAGATGATAGTTTACTTGGTTCAGTCTACTTGAAAGATCAATCGATTGAATCAGCCTTGGAAATCATTAAACAGGTATAAGTTATTTATTAACATAAAGTTCCGTGTGTGTAGGGAGAATAAGAAAATGTTGTTAACATGGAATATATATAAAAGGAAATCGATGGATTACCCGATAAGTTTGGACTTGTTCGACATAATGGAAAAGTCAGTATTCCAATTAACCCCAAGCAGATGAACAAGAGGTTGTTTGAATTATTTAGAGCAGAGGAAGATGCGTTGATCATTGTACAATTAGGGTAAATAAAAGATCCATGTATTCATATCTGTATTTTTCTCCTTTTTGATACGGTTTTGACATTGGAGACGAAGGAGGGACAAGTTATTCCCTTTGTCTTTAGTTAAAAACCAAGATTGATTATTAAAGGCATCCAAACTATGACTCAATACTTCAAGTGTATTTATTGAGTAAAGAAAAAAAAAAAGAGGGGGATGCATACATTTTTATAAATGAATAAAAGGCCAGCTTATGTTTTTGATACAATGGTTGCGATCGAATTGTTTCTGATTATGGGTGTTATTTGTTCGTTATCGTCGTCAGGGGGATTATCTGAGGATAAAATGGTAGAAGTAGCAGTAGCTGTTGCCATTTGTATATTATCTGTCCATTCCCTTAAACCTTTCTTGGTATGAGGCTGACGACGATGGAAATGTAGCACTTCATTGTTATCATCTAGTGCTGCCAATGAAGGGTTACTACTGCTGCTCGTACTACTGCTACTGCTCCCTCCTTCCTGTAAACAAGGTCCACTCTGGCTTCGTTCTCTTTGTTTAATTGATGTACTACTATTAGAGCGAATGAAATTGGTGAATCGCTTTGTTACAGAGGCACTAGATGAAGCACGAGGTCTATTACGATATTCTTTTTGTGCTGGCAATGCTGGAAGACTTGGCTTGCTCTTCAGCCGAGAAATGGGTGTTGTGGATAATGAGGATGAAGGTAGAGAAAAGTAATCAACAGACTGTTCAGAATTTGGTGTGGATATAAAGGGTGGTGTAAGATATCCTGTCAGGCTACTACTATCACTGTAAGCCCGGTTACGACGGGTCATGTGAACTTCTTCATTCAATCCTTCTGTATCAACGTCATGATCTCGATTATTGTGAGATGAATGTGAAAACATGGCCAGGAGTCGATCATTGTCATTCGACCAGTGCGCAGAACAAAGTTTGTATTCCAAGGCGACCGTGTGTCTTGCTGTTCTTTCTATAAACCTGAATCGTGTAATATAATTATCAAAATAAGGACCATGGCAATACGAACATTTGCTGGCACGAGCCAAGTAGTCTTTGATGTGAGAAGCAAGATGATTGGGGATATCTATTTCATGTTTAACAGCAATCCTAGCGCATGTTTCTAGTAGAGAAGGAGGATCATGAGGCAAATCATAGGTGTATTCATCCTCAAAGGGACACTCCTCTGTTAATAACTTTCGAAGTGTTGTTAAAGTTGCTATTTCTGCCGGCAGAGATTTTAAGGGGTTGAAAGATAAATTGAGAGATACAAGCTTCGATAGTTCAGATATTTCCTTTGGTAAATGGGCCAGTTGGTTATTGTTGGCAATGATGATGACCAGTTTACGTAGTTGACCTATAGAAGGAGGTAATGTACTTAATTGGTTATGGCTAACGTTGAGAGCCTTTAATTTGGATAGAAAGGCTATCGTGTCTGGTAGTTCTACTAGTTTGTTTTCTGATATATTCAACACAGTTAGATTCTTCAAGTAGCCTACTTCTTTTGGTAACTCAGTCATTTGATTATTTGACCTACATTCAATTTAGTATTTGTTCATTAATATGAAATTATTTATATATTCTTACAAATTTAGCTTTGTTAAGTTATCAAGATAGCCAATGGTTGGACTTAGTTTAACTAGGCACCTATCGGACAAATCAACCGACATCGATGGACCTGTTAGCCTTCTCTGTCTTCTTCTGGTTGGAGTCACATCACCAATGGTAAGTCGAGACCATTGTCTGTTTGGTTCATCATCTAATTCCAATAGTTCTGTTTCCATAGGATCACTTATAGTGTTATTATAGTGAACCAAATCGGGATAATACGTCTGATCTATGTATTCCAAATCCTCTGCTAAATCTCTTCTAACCAGTGATAATCTCTTTTGCCCCTGACATGTAGAACACGGCTCTCCAAGGACTGATACAATCATTTGCTCCTTGTTTTTATCCTGATGACATTGATCACAAATAGCTTGTAATCGATATAGGTGTGGATTCGTCAGTACAGGATCCTTTTGTTCTTCACTTGTCCCCTCTTCACTGATGCTTTCTTTTTGTTTATTCAACCTTGAAGGATCATTGATATATCCAAATGTGAGTGGTGCATGCTCTTTGCTCGTGTGTTGTCCCATGTAGTGTATGCTTGAATAAAGAATAAAAAAAAAGTGTAAAAAGGAGAAAAGGAGTGAAAAAATATTGAAAAAATAGTACGAGGCCTCTGCTTTTTAACTTTGACTAAAAAGGAAACTCATTTCGACCAATTATGATCATCATCATCATCTTGTTACTTTCAATAACAAAAGGAATCCTTTCATTGTTCATTGAATATAACAAACTTAACGTATTCAATGATCCCTAAAAAGAGTAGGGAAGAGAAGGATGCATGATTCACATATGTATAAAGAGAGGGAAGGAGAATAAATGGAGTGGGGGAAATGTTCTTTTTTTAGCAACTACCCAAAACTGCAAAGAATATCATGATCATTATTATCACTTTTAGTATAGGGTGTATAAATATATGTCATCACCAGTGGGAATCATTGACGTATTTACTAAAAATCAAGCTTATTACAAGTCTTCATTACACTTCTTTGGCCAAAATAGAAGAGAGCAATTAACTGAATATGAAAACACCGGAGTGAAAGGTGAAAATGAGATGGTCTCCCGCTCTTTTATTTTCAGCTGGCTTACTTTGAGCTTGGCAGCGCTAAAAGGTCCAAAAAAAAATAGTATTTAACGGGTTGTCTGAAAGTAAAACGTGACACGAAAAAGCTTTTACCACATCATCTCTACCTTGGCAACTGTGTGAATAGTATTACCTGTAATAATCTGAAGCAAAAGGAGATAGGTCGTGTTTGCTATGATTATTACGTACTCAAAGGGCCACTTTCAGATGGAAATAACCCACTTGAGGGATTATTATCGCATATAAGCAACAAGCAGTGACAACATATAGGCGAATTTACGGAACGTTAACTTTGTGTCCCGAAATAGCTCGTGCATATTCGTCAATAATTTGCTTTTAAAGTTTGTAAATTACTCATATTAAAAAGAAAAAGAAAGGTAGTTATCTTTGCAGCCTAGATTTTATTCAGAGTATCAATATAATCATGAAAGGCTACATGGCTCTGAATGACACTGTGCAGCCTTCCATGGTTCATCATTTCCAGTTGATCCTACTAAATTATTTTAATGGTTAGTTCATTGACTTGCTTCTCTGCTTATCTATTACTTACAAAATGGTGCTTGATGCTCTGATAAACCAGCGTGTATCGCTCCATGCTGAAGCTGGTTCTAGGGCATCCCTTACCATCATTTTGATTTTCTACCAATTTTATTGTTGATAAAAGCTTTGATCATGCATGTATATATATAAAACACTTACATCTCCCTTATCCTCAGATGGCTGGGGCGTTGAAGGCTTGGGCATGGAGCGATTTATGGCTACTACATTTTTTGTTTTCGTGTCGCCAACGACGGTATTGTCTGTCGTGCCTAAGCGACAATAGAAATAAACAAATCTCATGAATACATTATTTTTGGATCAACTGACATCATTGTTGAACATAAGAATTTTTTACACGACATTAAACTCAAAATCAGCGATTTTACTTTTTGAAATGACTGTAAAACAGTACTTTAATGGTTAAACTATGTAAAGTAACGAGGCAAGAAAGCAATGGGTGTTTATTTAAGTGATATGATTTATATAATCTATATGTTTATATTCAGGTATTTACAAGAGTTTTATGATTGGTTTACGTTTAATACAACAATGTCTTCATCAGCTTCTTCATGAGACAGCAATGGTAGACATATCGGGGATTGCACCGTGATCGACGAGGAGTTGAAACATATCCCACAAATTTTTCTGCACACAGACCTTGAGTGTTTCACTGTCTGGCTTCACTTTGAGTTCATCCAAAAAATAATCCACCATTTCTCTATTGTTTCTTCCTGCACAGGCTCTCAATGCCATGTTATTTTGTGCTGTAGGATCTGCTCCAAAACTCACTAGTAGTTTCACTTGATCTAATCGTCCCAGTAGAGCAGACTTGATGATAGGGTATCCTTTGGGTCGGTTAGGCGATGCTCCACGCTCAAGCAATGCCAGTATTAGTTGGTCTCGTTCTTGTAGTGTTTCAGTAGGTTCTGCTAAAAACAAGCGAGAAGGTATCTTTTTATCACAAAACATGACTGTCCTTTGTGTCATCTTATCAAGTCGCTCCATGAGTGCATAACTGAAGAACCGAAAGCGACTGGCTTCCTCTAATGCCTTTTCTGGGTCGTTTTTCGTTCGATGCATTAAAAATGCAATTTTGAGTGTATCAGGGCAATAGTACAATTGTTGATAGAGCGCTTTGCAGACGATAGGAAGTGAAGGGTTGGAAGACTGTATGAAAATGGTGGAAATGATTTCATAAGGTAGCATCGTCAGCCCACATGGTCTTTTTCGTTTCTTGGCTACAGTTTTTTCTTTATCATCGTCAGCACCTGAAAGTCTTTTCTTTGACATGTTTTAAAAAGAAAAAGGGAAGCTTTGCAACTATAGATTATGCTCTAGCTGAGACTGCTTTTCTGTGTGGCTTGATTTTACTTATCATAGGGGGAATGCTTTGGCTCTTTTTTTTTTCTTGTTATTGATCATCAATATGGCAGCGGAAAAACGTCAACAAGAATCTACAGAATCTGAAGCAAAGCGTATTCGTGTGGGAACAGCCCGTAATGTGGATGTACATATGGTCCCTCAGGCACCCAAGGTTCCAAAGACATTATTAGAGAAAGAAAATGCACGACGATTGATTGTTATTTTGGAACAAGCAACTCTTGAAACCTTAAAGATTGGCAAGAATAAGGAAGGACACTATCAGTTACTCAATGTCGATGATCACCTTCACATCCTTAAAAAGAATAACAGAGAAACATATGAAGCTCGTCCTGATATTACACATCAAGTAAGAGATCTATATTGCAACCCAAGGCATAATCTAATTCTTTATAGTGTCTTTTGACCCTCTTGGATAGTCCTTTAAATAAAGCAGGTCTATTACAAGTGTACATCCATACCCAAAAAAATGTTCTTATTGAAGTCAACCCACATATCAGAATTCCAAGAACATTCAAGCGTTTTGCTGGTTTGATGGTCCAGTTGCTTCACAAACTTAGCATTCGTGCGGTCAACGGCAATGAAAAACTGTTGCGAGTGATTGAAAACCCTGTGGAGAAATACTTACCAACAAACAGCTATAAAATAGGTAAGCAGGAAAAAGAGAGATATGCCGAATCCACTAACCTTTATATAAAGCCTTGTCATGGGATGCACCAACAGTACGTTTATCAGAATATTTGCCTACGATTCCTCAAGATAAGAATATAGTCGTCGCAATAGGTTCTATGGCTCATGGTAACGATGACTTTGCCGATGCTTATGTGGATGAAAAGATTAGTATATCAGACTATTCATTATCTGCATCTGTCGCATGTGGAAAAGTAACGAATGCTTTAGAGGAAATATGGGGAATTTTGTAAATATTGTATTAGAAATAAAGACAAACAGAAAGAAAAAAAGATGTAAAGCCAAGAGTTAAATCATATCGATGCTATTGAAAGAGCTTTTTTGCTTGTTCTTCTGCTTGAGACTTATCGACTTGTGAATCCCAGTGGTTATCCAGCCACTTGTGCCATTGGTTGTCCTTTTCTGAGTTGGAGATTTGTCTTTGGGAAGTGGAAGAATGACGAACAAAGACGTCTTCGGTGCCAATGATATAAAACATATGGTATGTATCCCTACATATCTTGTACTGTAAGCCAGAATGGACAGTGACGTCCTTTGGTAAATGCTCCTTTTTTCTCAAATTTCTATCAAGTGCGGTTCAGCATAAAGATCATCCAACTGTCTAATAATACACATACCTCTTTAAAAACCTAGGTGTTAGCAATGATTGATCTATACCCTTTGTCTCCTTTGACCAATCAATATAATTTGCTACATATTCATCATAGGTTGTCTCCTTAATCTGAGATCGTTTTGCTTGTTTATTACTATCCAGTAACTGAATGGATAGTATTCTACTTTGCAGTTTCTAATACATACACAGTTAAACACTGATTTACTTCCTCTAAAGATAACTTACAAAAGCAATGTGATATACATTGTCTGTAGATTCAAGCATACTCATGATTTTTGTTCTATACGTCATAATATCTGCTTGGTTCATCTTTTCTGCTCTATTTTCAGTTCTGAATATTTCAAACAATTCTTGTGAATGGGTATCTGTGATAATGATATGAATCTATTCTATAATGTCAGCGTCTGTTATCATATAAAAGTTCATTGACCTTACATGGCGAACAAGTGACAATACAAGTTTATCTATCGTAAAGAGAATATATGCGTCCGCTCCAAATATAAATCGCACACTTTCTTCAAATGTCTGTTGGTCAATATCCCCTTCAAATAGCTTATCAATCAACGAAAGCAAAACATTGTAGTAGCCTTTTTTGGTGTCCATCTTTAAGGCTACATATGACTAAGTACACGAGTTATAATAAATAAAAAATATATACCTTTAAAGCGTCTAGGCGTGATTCCCAAATCAAGTGCATCTTTACAAGCCTTTTTAGACTTTTCTGGGTTCTTCTTGTACTCCAAGTCCAGTTTTTTCATCTTGTATAAACGATCATACAAGACTTGATACAGACGAAAGAAACAGTAATAGCCATTGTCGGCAAAGAAATTATACGTCTTTTGGTTTTCTGGGTCAATCGAAGGCTCCTTTCTCACTTCTTCTTTTGGCTGCTCTTCCTCTTCCTCTTCTTGGTCCTCATCAGTGTCCTCTTGCTGCAAGTGCTGCTGTTGTTGCTCTTGCTCTTCAGGTGAGCTCTCTTGTTTTATCTGTTCCTGTTCATCTTCGTCGTATGAATCTTCTTCATCTGAAGAAGACTGCATCTTGCTTGTGTTTCGCATGAGCACGTTCTTTAACAAACCATCATCCCTCTCATTCCTATTTCTTCTTGTCGACCTTTTACTTGAACTGTCAGAAGCCTTTTTTCCTTGGTTTGCTAGCACAGAATCCAAGGAATGCACAGATGATCTATCATCAAACTCGTCATCATCTACTTCTTCCATCTTTATGTCCTCGATTGTCGTCGTTGAGGGTTCAACATCTTGGACGTCAAACATCATTGGAATGATCATATTCATAAATCTGCGCATAGAATCACAATCATCTAGATTATACACAGGTTGACGATCAAGAAAGAAATAGACAAGTCTTGAAACGTCCTTGAAGACACCAATATCTTGGAACCCAAATGAAAACTGTTTGGTGGCTTCTGCCTCAGCTACCAAAGCACGAGTCGTCAGTGTCTTTCGATCAGTCATCTTGAAAGTAATGCCTTGGTGATCCAAGGATTTCCAGTAGTTTTTCGCTTCTACTTCTCTCCATATCTTATTCCATTCTCTCTGTGCACGCTTCCATTCGTCGTCCTTTTGCTTTAGACGTTTTAGTACAACCGGCACTGCCTGCGAGGGATTGTTGTATAATAAATTGATGATTTCAAGACCTTTCTGTGACCCATATATTTTTTTAAGGATGCGACGAAAGACAGCCTTTGAGTTGATGCCAAAATCAGAGGATAGTTTAAAGTTGGCCTTTTCCTCTGGTCCCATCATGCTAATCTTTTTGGCAAGCGGCTCGAGTAAAGCGATGGTGGCCAAATTTGCTTCAATATTTAAATCATAATCGTATCTAAAAGACAGCGGTTAATCTCTCTGTGGATATGCATTCAGCCCTTTCTTTACCTCTCTTCCTCAACACGGTGTAAGGCTTCTTCATACTGGTTCTTTTTAGATGTAACCGAATTCGTATCCTCACTTGCCCATGTTGGGTGAGATAAGTAAGTATCGTTCAATACATCCCAGCATAAAGCATCCCTTCCTGAGCAAATGTTATTTTGCCATTGCTTGGGAACATAGCGATAACTAGGGCCACAGTTGACTGTATCATTTTTATCATCTTCTTTCACAACCATTTTGGGTTTTGAAACAGGTATGTTTTCAATGACCTCATCATTGCCGTTATAACCCACCAAAACTTTAAACCAGTCAAACAGTTCCTTATTACCGCCAATAAAACTTTCGACGCGACTGACGAGGACATTTTGATCGACCAGTTGTTGGCTGAACAAGTTGAGTACTTTTAAAAATGCGTTATAGGTTGCCTTATTGCCAATGTATGTCTTGACCTTATCAAAAAATTCAGCTTCCTCTGCGGAGAAAGTAGGTCTGGCATAATCGGCATCATCGCTGGGAGCCGACGTTTGTGAACGAACATCAGAGGTTTCAATTTCATCATTACGATGATGATGCTTTGATCTCTATTTTATAAAAAAAGTTATATTTCTCTTCTCTTTACATGTATGTCCAATATTACCTTTGATATGTTTAGAGAAGGGATGGCGCCTAGACGTTTTTTCCTTTGTTTAGGCTCAGGTAGAAATTGTTTAAATTCATCGAGTAACTCCACTGATCCATGAAATAGCACTTTGATTTCTTCGTAAATCTAAAACATACATATGATTTGTTACTCTTCTCCTTATATCCTAACTTTTTTTTTTAAAAAAAAAAAAGTACCTTTTGTATAGGTCTTTCACCTTTTTGATAGGTTTGAAGTATTTCCAGAAACTTTTTGTAAACATCAGGTTGACTAGAAAAGTGATTTTTAATCTTGTGAACATAGGCTATTGCATGATTGAACTCCAAGGGCCCTGTATCCTTTTGTTCAGCTGTATCTTGTCTTAAATTAAGTGGTTCTGAATCTGAAATGGTTGTTGTGCCTGAAGGTGTTGTTACTTTTATCATATTTCTTTCTTGTTCGTCTATACTGCATTCAATAGAATAACCAGGTGGAAGAAATGTATTGAAGCCTGATATTAGGCTTGGATGATCTCGAAAGAGACTAGATACGCGTTCGATCACGCCTGGTGTATCAATTCTATATAAAACTGGTTAAAGCCCTCTAGGTTTTTTTTAAAGAGATGAACTCACAGTTGACTCTTGAAATCTTTCATAATGTCCAAAAAACGACCATATGTGTCAGGTTGGTTTGCAAATTTTGTTTTTACTTGGTCAAGATAGGTAAGGGCATCTTTTACATTCAGAGGCCGAAATTCATCTTTTTGTAGTGCTGCTGCTGCTGCTGTTGTTGCTGTTGTTGCTGTTGTTGTTGTCGTGTGGCTATGTATAAAAAATGACTGTAAATATCAAAAGAGGGCTTTTGATGAAAGTTTCAACTTGCCTTGTTCCCAGCATTGCTTTAATGGTTCGAAATAAATAAAAATAAAATAAAATAAAAAAAGAGGGAGTTTATCATGTAAAAGGGTTTCAGACATACTTGGGCGCACGCGCGCTCAATGTGACTTTTATGGTTCCAATTTCTCTGTCCCGAACCAAGGCACATATCTCTCTCTTCTCACATGGTTCTTTCGCAAATAGAACCAAGCCACTTGACAAAAGTGGCACTCAAGCTCATTCAGCACTTCCAATGAGCTCATCTCAACAACGTAATCCGTCCCAACCTATTTTGTACTCTAAAGTACATCAGTATAGCAGTAAAATTTAACAAAATTTACTCCCTTGTCCTCAGAAAAAGATCAGTTCCCAAACATCCAATCACAAGAAGATCCCACTGACATGGATCCAATTATTATTGAAACCGTTTACTGGAGAGTATCTCAATCTTCTGGTTCTTTGCTTTTCGACGTTATTTCTCGCAAGGAATCTGACAAAGATTTATACAAATTGGCCATTGATCAATTTGGAGACCTCGCTGGTCAATTAGTCCATCGATCTGGTACAAACCGTTACTTGGAGGTCAATTTTAATGCTAGTGGACACCGTTCATTTGCTTTCACTTCTGGCTTGAAGTTTGATCATGGCATGATCATTAAGCCTGCACATGACATGGCATCTGGCTCCGTTTTGAAAAAAAGTGAACCTTCAACGTTTACCTTGGCTTCGGCCAAAAGAGCTTCTTGCTGGCTTAGCTGCCATGCTCAGTAACTATGGCGTTGTTCGAGATATTGGTGTTGTCAAGGACAATGCCACAGGCACTTTCCTGAGTTCTGGATATCAAAGCAATCACTTGCTCAAGATGAGGCTCCCTTTTTAGAGCTCTCTCATGTGATTACCTGAGTTGACCCAGACGTCTCTCGTTCAGGCAAACTGTTTATTTTGGCCTAATGAAATGATATGCCTACTTATTGTAAGTATTGTCATGAATCTGGTCATATCGTTTCTGGTTGTCCTAAATCTCCTAGCGGTAAACGTGGTCATGTTCGGGCGAATTGTCCTGAATGAACATCCGCTGCTAAACGACGTCGCAATGGTCGTTCTGCAGTACGCCCCTTCTTTTTTGCTCAACCTTTTTCAAGTGAATCTGAGATCACAACGACAAAAACACCAAGCGGTGAACAGGATGGTTTGACAATTACTCCAAAGTTTCAGGAGGTCATCCTAGTGCAGGACCAACGCTCAGAGATCTCTGCGGAAACTGCTCCAACTGTATATAATTCCTCGCACTTACAATCCAAATTTGCCAATGCTGAGTCTTTTAGCCAATCTACTCAAGAGGTTGATCAGAATTATCTCAGCTCTACCTCTCGATCGACCTCTCCTGCCTCGGCTACTGCAGAGGTTTACTCTGATGCTGAAATGGATGAGGTCCACCATTCTTCTGAGCATTCAGAAAAATCCGATGAAGCATCCTCTAGTGACTCAGAAATGAATGAAGTCCAAAATGGTCCTAAAGTAACGGTTTTCAAGTCTCCTCCTTAGGGCGTTTCCATTCGTCAAAACGGTCGCAATTGGAATGCTTCAGACAAACTGAATCTTTAATTTCATTATTATGTTATATAATAATTGCAAGGCTTTCAAGTTGCTATCTTTTAATGGCAATAGCTTTTTTAAAATTGGTAAACTATCTACACAAAAACAATTTATGAGCTCAGTATTGTGGTCTAGCTTGTTTTGATCCTTCATTTTCAACCACACGTATTCCTGTTCCAGAGGATGCAAGATGCCTTCTGGCTCAAGTTACGCATATCAACGATTTTATAGAACATTTCTTTATTCTTGTTATCTAGGCTTACTATATGTATAGCGAGCTCGCTGTCGCATTTTATTAAAAAAAATTCACAGATTTATTGTAGGTCCAGTATTTGTTCATACAATGGAGTTTTTTCTTTTTGTTAAGATTTTCTTAAGCTTCCTTATTTTTTCTCAAAAAATTTCTTTTCTTCGTTTTCACTGAAGCAACGGTAAGCTGCTTCATCATTCAAGTTTTCAACTCTACATAATTCAAAAGATTGTTGTTAATTTATAAGCTCTACTATTTCAACCAATAGAAATTACTTACATATTCGATAAGAACGGTGGTGACATAGTGGTAGGAAGGCTTTACTTTGACAACAGAGAGTTGATTGCATATTAGTACAAAAATAAAATTTTGCGGCATCATTTTCACTTTCAAAATGTACATGCCCATAGCTACAATAAAATTACAATATCAGTTATTGCTTAGTCGTAAAAGTTATTTCATATATTTTTACGCATTGTGTCTTTCTTTCTTCACGTGTTTTGGCTTCACGATTGAACATTTGTTCAATATTTGCATTATATTATCATTGGTTAAATTCTTCAACTGTTCTTTAACAAGGAAAACATGCGAAAGATTGTTTGTGCAGCAAGACATGTCAGAATACACCATTTAGGATGGTATCTCCTTAGAATTTGTTGGTTAATAATGGGCTAAACAATACAGTATTTACTACTGCTCTTACCAGTGCAGGACAACATACTGGCTGTGAGCAAAGAAAGTTGCTTCTTCAGCCCAGCCGAACTTTTTATCTAAAAAAACGTGAGCACTGCATGCGCCAGAAGATAGACTAATGTTACAGGCGTTACTTATGATGCCATCCACAAAATTTTTCAATGTATGATATCATACTAAACATGGTTCTATAAAGTTCTCACTTTGCATTGTGTTTCTTTGCAAGAAGAAAGAGATAAAAAGGAAATCTCTTTATTTATTCTAATTTTATGTTGTCAGTTTGATCAATAAAAGCCAAGATCATTCACATGTAATAATGATAAACTCGTATTTTACACTATTCCATTGGATATCCTTTCATATAGTACCTAGAAGAAGCGTTTGTAACATTAGCCTATTTTCTGGTGCATGTAGTGTTTGGCCCAAAAAGAATACCCCCTCTAGAACCCATACTTTTCCTTAGTCTCTAGTCTATGGCTTCCAAGTTTCTACCTTCGCTTCTGGCAAGTGTCACTGCTATGCCATTCTTCTCACCTAGTCGTGTGCTTGGATATGGTTGTTTGTGAAAATTCAGTATATGAAACGCCATATGCCATGCAGTAGATCACCTTCTGAGTGATCATTCAGGTTCGACCTCTGGTTGTGGAGAAATAGCTCAGAAACATTCATCATGCTTTTGCGTACCCATTTTTTGTCGAAATCGGTAACAGGGCTATGTCTCTGGTTATCGGCATATTCGTACAATGAAAAAACCGTCTCCCAGTTCTTATCATATGAATCCATGTACCTTTGAAGTGTTTCTGAGATGTTTAGCAATTGCTTCAAATTGTACGTTTTAATTTCATTGATTTCGGCAGCAGTAAAATAGTCGTTCCAAATTATGCCTCTGGGATCTAGGATCATGAAATACACAGGGTGCTCATAAATGAAATTGTGAACCAATTGCAGCGTCTTGTCATCAACAATAGTACCGGTTGAAAGGATTCATTTAGCTTCCTGTAGAACAATATGTAACGCCGCTTCGGATACCGGTGGACGCCTTAGTAGGTTCATGAATAAAGCCTTTGACGTGGAAGTAAGGCATGCGCGATACATTATTACCCAATACATTTGCTAACCCTTCTTTATACATAAAAAGAGTGCCCAGAGGGATCTGCTAAGTCTTCCATTTTTAAAGTAGAAGCAAATAGCATCCATGAAAATGAGCACAGGTACTTCTTGGCATACAGCGAAGTTATCAATGACCATTCTTACCTATATGCTGTTCATATAACAGATACGAAGCACATGAGATCCACTTATGGTCTTACGGGTGACCTCATCTACCAAGAATTATCATGCAAGATTGACAACCAAATGAACATGCAAACCCAAAAGGGTGCTCAAAAGATACTGCAGAAAAAACGAAGACAAGAGAAGATTATCAATGGAATTATACAATTTGATGATGATTCTGCTTCTGATGATGATAATGATCTGGTAACGAAGCTAGATGTGGTGAACAGTCTGGAAGTGCAGGAGGCTGAAGCTGATGGCGTGTTGTTTGTAACTGTTGTGGTTGCTGTTGTAGTAGTGATAAGGGACAGAAAGTACGATGGGGCTCTATGTTTCTTTTATTTTAAAGAATAAAACTCATAGTTACACTTATTATATAGATTTGCGGTTGGCCAGTTTATGTTATTGAGCTTTTGCTATCGATATGTAGACAGTGCTTGTGAGGTATACGATCACCACAGGCGCTTTTTTTACCCGGATATACTTAAGCATGTCTTTTACAACGAGTACGTTAGTTATGTAATGCATTATTTACACATTCCTTACTTACCCTGAGTATCACCGCTGCATTGGTACAAAGACGAAATCACATTTTTGTTGGCACTGATATCACGAGAAGCAATCGGTTAAGTGGGGTTGGCGCATGGTGAAACATATATTCTATCTGCTCCTGAGATCTCGCGAAGTATATCAATCATATTCTGTATGTTTTTAACTCTGACATCGTCTTTAACAGGAGTGATAGTCGATTTTCTACGGGCGCTGCCTCTATTCACTACCTATGATGTCGCCCAACAAAGCTTTTCAATGTGTAGCGTCAAGATAAACATGACTTTAAATGTTGTCATCTTGGATTGTTTCTTTTCAAGAAGAAAGAGATAAAAAAGAAATGTTGTTATTTATGTATTTTAACATTATGTTGTCAGTTCTATCAACAAAGAACCAAGATCAATCACGTGTAATTATGATAAATTCGTATTTTATATCAGAGAGAATGAACTAGACAGTCTTAGGTTAGGCTTTGGTAGTATGAAGTTGCAAAGTGACTTTAGGTAGCGTCCCAAGAAAGCGCCCGTAGTATTAGCCTATTTTTGAGTGCACCAAGTGTTTGCAAAAAATGTAATAACCCCTTATTTTTCATCCGGTACACTAAATGTACCACATACTCAGCCCCACTGCTTCTCGTCCGGTACAAATAAACCACATACATACCAGTAAGGTTGCTGGCAATAACAAAGCCAAAATGTCAGGGCTCATAGGTTGTATGAACTATTTTCACCCTAAGATCTCCACTTTTCAAAATATAAAGGGTCACTGTATTGTCATTCATGGAAGCTGAAGTTGACCGGCTTATAATATAGATGAGACATCTTGGATTTGTTCTCATGAAAGTTGTAATCACTCCACAAAAAATTGAGAGATGGCCAAAAAAGTTAAGTGCTTTGAAAATCTTGAATGCACTATAACTGTTTTGATTGAAGACTATTTTTGGTTTGCCTTTGGGTGATCCCAGATTGGTAAACAACGGAAAGGCCATTCTCCAAGCTATTGATGACTCCTTGAGGCGCCTGGATTTGGATTATATTGACCTGTTTTACATTAATAACTTTGATGAGGTGAGTTCACTGAACAACCGTAAAGGAAATTGCACCTATATTTTATTATAAGGAAACACCTATGGAAGAAACCATGGAAGCTTTACATGGTATGGTAAAATCTGGCAAGGTGTGTTACTTGGGCACAAGCTATATGAACACATGGCGCTTTGTAGAGATGAATGTCATAGCTGAAAAGAACGAATGGATCAAATTTATAGCCATGCAAGACTTGTACAATTTAGTCTATCGTGAAGAAGAGCGCGAAATGATACCCTATCTTGCTTATGAAGGCATCGGTAAGGTCCCATATTCTCCATTGGAAAAAGGCAAATTAGCCTGTCCTTTAGACGAAGATGCTCTCCGTTTGACAGTTGACTACAGTAAACCTTGGTCTAGGTCATTGAGCGATGCTGACAAGGAAATTACTCAAAGAGCTCAAAAGATTGTTGAACAGCAAGATGCACCCAAGGCTCAGATAACTTAAACCATATTATAAACTATATCACTCATCTTTCTTTTCCTTTTAAGATGAGCACTGCCTGCTTACTTAGCAAACCTACTGTAATATCTCCTATCGCTGATATTGGTAAGAAATCGCATTTGAAGGATGCTGTCGTTGCTGTTTCGCTCAAATTATCTGAAGAAGAGATTAGACACTTGAAGGAGCCTTATGTTCTTAACCTACGATTTGCAAGTAACTTAAGGGCTCACTCTAGGAAATGAACAGCAACGGAAGAACTACTTTGAAAATAAAACTAGTATGCGCTGTTGCTTCATCTCGATTGTGACTGTATTTTTAATTAACCCAAAAAGTCATACAACTTGAACCTTTGTTGTTGTTACTGTTGTAATTCACGCGTAAAATATAAAAACGATGCCTGAAGCCAAGATTTCACCCTCCATGCTTTCCAGTGACTTTGCCTTTTTAGCTGCTGAAGCTAAACGTATGCAAAAGAATGGTGCTGAATGGCTTCATCTTGGTAAGTGAATATGCAAGTGTGTGTAGACTTTTTAACTTATCTCTTGACGATGAATAATAGACGTTATGGATGGGTAATTAGAAAGTGAAAGAGTAGGGCAAAATTTATAAAGTGTGAACTAATACGAATCTTTTTTTTCTTCTTGTATTAGTCATTTTGTTCCTAATCTCACTTGGGGAGCTCCTATTATCTCTGCTCTCCGTCCTCACACCGAAGCATATTTTGGTAAACCATATTCATGCATTTCTTTCTTTTACTGACTCCTCTTCTAATAGATTGTCATATGATGGTTTCTAATCCTGCTCAATGGGTTAATGATATCGCCAAGGCTGGAGGACAGATGTATACTTTCCATATTGAAGCAACTAAGGATCCTTTGGGCTTAATCCAACAAATTCATGCTGCTGGTATGAAGGCTGGTGTGGCCATTAAACCTAAAACACCTGTTGAAGAAGTCATTGGACCTATTGCTGAACAATGCGATATGATCCTTGTCATGACAGTTGAGCCTGGATTTGGTGGACAACGATTCATGGCTGAATGTATGCCCAAGGTAAATACATATACACTGTAAAAAAAAAAGGAGATAACTTATTGAATATTTAGGTCGAAACACTTCGTCGCAAATACCCAAACTTGGATATTGAAGTAGATGGTGGATTATCTTTAGAAACCATTGATGCTTCTGCTGACGCGGGTGCCAATGTGATTGTAGCTGGAACTGGTATTTTCAAGGCAGAGAAGCCTGATGAGGTTATTACTACTTTTAGAGAAAAGGTCAATAAGGCCCAGGCTAGATTTGCTCAAGAAGCTGGCACAAGTGTCTAAAGTACACATAGAATGAATGAATGAATGAATGAATTAAAAAAAGACATCTTGACAGTGTTTTTATTTGCTTATTGACTAGCTCTTGTTTCGACACAATCTAATAATTAAAAGAATGCATATATGCTGTCAACAGTGTAGTATTCAAGAGATGACACAGCTCAGAACCTCTTGCTTATAAGGTTTCTATTTACAATAGTTCTTCAGCAGATTGTCTGACAATTCTTTGAACTTTCTTTTTAAATTGCGAATAATCATCACGATACTCCTTCTATAGAAATGATAAATATCCTTCATCTCGTCCTTTATACAATACTTACCGCTGCTTCTATATTTGCTGGTGATTCAACATTGGGACTTGATAGCATAGAAATGACGGACAATAAAATTGTTTCCACTGTATGAACAGGTGACCATCGTTCACTTGCATGTTCATAACCATATTTATCATCACCAGGTGGATGCTATCACGATAATGTTATTAATAAGAATGAGTATGGATTATAAAGTATACCAGTATAGAAATGCAGACTGTGCCGTCAGGATAAACTATTGACCGAAAGGAAATTTTCTTAGAATTTCAAATTTGTACTTGAATTTTTTTTTATTACCATTAGGGTGATACATCTTTGTTAGAAATACCATCGAAGGTGGTTCAATAGGATATGTCTACAAAAAGAAATGAGAAATAAAATGAATGAATGGATGAATAGAATAAGGGATGATATTAATAATTACCGTTGGGAAAGAAAGACGAGCCTTGAAGAAACCTCCTTCACTAAATAAGACAATAAGTAAAAGCTGCATAAATGTCAACCTGTCAAATAAGTGTTACTATAATGTATCTGGAGCACCGATAATAAGAATCTCCCACTATTTATGATAATTGAAAAAAGATAAGCCAAGTGAACAGGGATATCATGAATTATGTTTATCTCTTTTCATTTACTTCATAAATATTATCACCTACAAGACCAGCAGAGAAACCTTCGACAGGATTCTTTTGTAGATCTACAAGTGAAGTTAACAAGTGTTGCTCATTAACATAGTTTAATCAAAAGGTAAAAACAAAAAAAAAGCAAGCAATATAAAGTATGTGTATTCTCAAAATAAAAGAAAAAAAATAGCTTGCCTTTTAATTGTCTCTGAAGTAAAAGTGCACTTTGTTCTGTTTGGCTCATGACAACAAGTTGTAAATACAAAAAAAGAGAGAGAGAAAAAGGCGAAAATGACGACCACTCAAATAGTTTTATTCAATTTTAATCTCCGACTTTATTTAAGCCTCATCATGCAAATATGCTTTTCAAAAACTCACTTTTTATTATGCAAAAAGTATAAAGATGAGCTTGGCTAACAACTATGAATACAGGTTAGTTGATATTACTATAAAACCATAATTTAAATAGGATTTGTTTATATTCCCAATGCATCACGTGCGTTGAATCGACTATAAGTAGTTCTGGTTGATGCACGTCTCTTTTTCTTTTCTTTTTCTTTTTATTCAAAAAATGACAATTGCTTATCGTCCCTCTTCACCTGGTAGACCTGGTTCTTCTCGTCCTGCTTCTCCTTCTCAACATACAAAGGTAGAAGAGGACTTACATAACCATGCTGGTATCGACTATGATAAGGTTAGATAGAGTGAGAGTTTGGGAAACATGTTTAACAATAAAACTTGATTAGGTCACAATCAAACATAACCCCTCTGTTGCAGTATTGTATGAAGAAGCATTGACTCATGAAATTGGCACAGTCATATCTTCTACAGGTGCCTTATGCTCATACTCGGGAAAGAAGACAGGCAGAAGCCCTAAGGATAAGAGAATTGTTGAAGAGGAGCTCACGAAAAAGGACATCTGGTGGGGTCCAGTCAACACAAGCATGACCGAGCGTGTCTTTTTGATTAACCGTGAAAGAGCAATCGATTACTTAAACACGCATCCTCGTCTTTATGTCTTTGATGGCTTTGCTGGTTGGGACCCAAAGTATCGTAAGAAGATTCGTGTGATTGCCTCCAGAGCGTACCATATCCTGTTTATGCGCAACATGCTTATTCGACCTACGGAGGAGGAACTAGAGGAATTTGGCACTCCTGATTTCACGATTTTTAACGCCGGTGAATTTCCAGGTAAATAAACAAACAAACAAATACCTTACGCGCATGTATGTGTGTGTAATATATGCATAGCTAACTGTGTGTCTTTATGTTAGCCAACAGATACACTACGGGCATGACCTCAACTACTTCTGTTTCAATCAACTTTAAGCGTCATGAAATGGTTATCCTCGGTACTGAATATGCCGGAGAAATGAAAAAGGGGGTAACTAAACTAGTTGCAGGCTAGTCTTTTTTCTTATATATAAATATAGGTCTTTACTGTGATGCACTATCTGATGCCCAAGGCAGGTGTTCTTTCTCTTCATTCTTCTGCTAACGAAGGCCCTGATGGTGACGTGTCTCTCTTTTTCGGTTTATCAGGTAAAACCACAAACAATCAATTTATGCATAGTTAAACTCACGATATGTTTTACCCAAAGGCACCGGTAAGACAACTTTAAGTGCTGACCCTAAACGTCGATTGATCGGTGACGATGAACACTGCTGGAGTGACACAGGCATCTTCAATATCGAAGGTGGCTGCTACGCAAAGTGTATTGACTTGTCGCCTGAAAAGGAACCTGAGATCTACAACGCCATTCGCTTTGGTTCTGTTCTTGAAAATGTTGTGCTTAACGAGGAAACACGTGAAGTTGATTATGCTGACGATTTCTTGACTGAGAATACACGTTGCGCTTATCCAATCGGTAATATATTACTTATTACTTATTGTATATGCATATCAATAACTCTTACTAGACTATATCCCTAATGCAAAAATCCCTTGCATTGGTGGCCATCCCAAGAATATCATCTTACTTACCTGTGATGCCTTTGGTGTGTTCCCTCCTGTGTCCAAGTTGACGCCTAGCCAAGTTATGTATCACTTTATCTCTGGTTATACAACCAAGGTAGCAGGTACCGAAGACGGTATTGTTGAACCCACACCTACGTTTAGTGCCTGTTTCGGTTCTCCCTTCTTGGTTCTTCATCCTCAAAAATATGCGACCATGCTGGCTGAAAAGATGAGCAAGCATGCAGCTGATGCCTGGTTGATCAATACTGGCTGGGTCGGCAACTCTGCCAAGAATGGTGGAAAACGCTGTCCTCTCAAATACACTCGAGCTATTCTGGACGCAATTCACAACGGAACTTTGGCTCAAGGAGAATTTGAGACCTATGAAGTATTCAACTTGGCCATTCCCAAGCAAGTCGAAGGTGTCCCTGACGATCTGCTTCACCCCAGAAAGGCTTGGCAATCTTCTGCTGATGAGTTTGATAAATCTCTCCGTCAAGTTGCAGAGATGTTTGTTGATAACTTCAAGATATTCCAGGACGAAGCTAGTGTTGAAACTTGTAACGCTGGTCCTGTCCTTTAAGATATATATATATATATAAAAGTCTGTTCAAATAAAAATATTAGTGTGTTAAAAAAAAGTAAAGGAGATCGACAAAATAAAGGCGATAAGGGGGATGTGGTAGTCATTTATTTAAGGTTCACTTTACCGTCCGCATATCATTGTTATTTTTTTTCTCTATCTCTTGATGCATATATTTTTTGAAGTGATTTACGTAAAATTTAGATGATATCGGGAAGTTTCAATTTGCATATTTAGAAATTGTCGGCAACAAGAAGATAAAGTCATAGCACTAATTCGAACTCTCAAAGTGTTTGTTTTATTCAAAAAAGACTTATGTTAAATGGTTTGTCCGTTTACTTTACAGGGCGTCTATAAAACAAATAAAAAGATCAGTCTTTGTTTTTATGTCATTTTATGGTTTTACCATAATCTTTAAAAACTCTTCATAACTGATCAATCCATCTCCATCAATATCTGCAGAATAGAGCATTTCTCGAATTTCTTCAGCCGACACATTATCACCAAACAGAGCAACACCACGCTTCAGGTCATCACCGCCGATCAGACCATCGTTATCTGTATCAAGTAATTGGAATACCTTGGAAGCGCCTTCTTCAGCATTGACTTGATATTGCTATCAATGTGGATTTAAAAATAAACCCTTCTTTTTGCCTATTGTCATCCCTTACCTTTTTCATGACGCTTAAAAAGTCATCATAGCCAACTTTGCCATGACCCTTTGAGTCAGCAGCTCTGATCTATTAATAATAGGGTCGTAAGTTTATACACGACGTCAAGGGAGAGGGAGATAGGCACACAAACATTACCTGGGCATGAAGTTCTTGTTCATCGGGAATTTCTACTTGAGCAATTCTATAAAGTTCTTTCAGTATTTCAACCGTGATACCGTGACCACCAGAGATCGATTCATATTTTTCCTTGAAATGATTAATTTCAGCTTGAGAGATGGTGTAGTCTTTGACTTCAATAGAGGCAGTAGAAGTAGTAGAATTAGTCTATTAAAAATCAGCAAAAGTTGCACAAGAGATAGACTTTATTGATTACCATTTTTTATTTTTCAGTGTTTTTTTATTAGTTGAAGAGTAGGAAAAAGAAAGAGAGAGAAAAGTAAAAATAGAAAAAATAAAGCGAATTATATACTGCTCAGGCAAGTTGTAAATAAATCTATTCTTAGTTTGCGTCATTGCATGCATAAATGTATTCTCCCTTTTCGTAAGCGCACTTGATAAAGGTACCTTCAAGAAATCTCCGTATTCATGCAATTCATTCTTCCCCCTCTCTATCTCGGTTTAAAATCAAGAACAAGTATGTCAAAGGTTAAGCTAGTTTCTATTGGTTGAACTCCACTCAGCACTTTTTGTTATGGTTCAAAGATGAGGATGCTATTGTACGAAAACAGGGCAGTGAGGAAGTTTATCAATGTATCCTCATTCAAGCTCTTTAGAATATCTTTAGATACTCTGTCAAAAAGAAAACGCTTTAAGACACATGAATAAAAATACGGTAGCTTGATCAGACTTAATTGCAGTAAAATATTCCTCTTTCTTAGATCTTTCTAGCAAAACATATGTATATTCAGGGCAAGATGAAATAAAGTGACTTTTGTCCATTTGTAAAAGTATTTTCTTTTTCTTTTTTTTCATGATCCAAGTCTCGATCTACCTTTCTTAAAGCTCATTGCTAATGTTCTCTCTCTCTTCTTTGGATGACAAACTAGACATTCAAAGCAACAAGTAGATGTGAGTCATATTACCACAGTTACATTTCTAACACGGTTACTACATCCTAAAGCTGGAGTGACATTTAAAGATCATCCTTTTGTATAACTCTCTTTGCTGTTCCTCACACTGAAAATGTTGTATGTATTGCATAGTGAAACATTATAGAAAAAGAACTGAATTAATACTATTGACAATTATGTTTTATTATTGTTTCCAAAAAAATTCGTTGATGATCTAATATGCAAATTTCATTTAATTTTCCAAAGCTTTGCTCAAGAGTTCTTGTTCTTGTTGAACGTGTTGCTTCTTGTTACCAGTGGCAACAGAGGCGGAAGGTGGACGACCAACGTAGACAGGTGTCTTACCAGCATGGTGTTGAGTCTGAGATAAGGAAGTGGCGATACGAGGTTGGACGTGTTGCCATGCACCCATGTTCAAAGGTTCTTCTTGACACCAGACAATCTCGGCATTAGGATACTTATCAGCATGTTGCTTAACTTGTTCGTAAGGGAAGGGGTTCAACTGTTCAACACGTGAAATGGCAACATCGTTGATCTTGTTTTGTTCACGAGCCTTCAAGAGAGCATAGTAAACTTGACCGGTACACAAGACGTGCTTTCTGATCTTTTCAGGTTCAACAAGTGTGTCAGGGTGCTCTTCAGGCAAGTAGAGTTGGAAGTGAGTCTCGCCAGTGAGTTCAGAAAGATCAGATTTAACGAGAGGGTGACGGAGCAAGGACTTGGAGAAGGGTAAGATCAAAGGCTTACGGAACTGACGGCAGATTTGACGACGCAAGACGTGGAAATATTGGGCAGGAGTGGAAGGATAGACGACCTGCATGTTACAGTCTTGGTGTTGTCTTTCCAACTTCTCAGGAGATGGGAAAGTGTAGGGGTAGTCGTCACACAATTGGAGGTAACGTTCAATTCTGGCAGAGGAGTGTTCAGGACCTTGACCATCATAACCGTGAGGCAAAGATAAAACCAGACCGGAACGTTGGAGCCACTTTTGTTCACCAGCGGCCAAGAATTGGTCAATGATGACTTGAGCTGTGTTGGCAAAGTCACCGAATTGGGCTTCCCAGACAACAAGAGAATCAGGGTTGACGAGGGAATAACCTAATTCGAAACCAAGAACACCGTATTCGGACAAGGAAGAGTTGGAGATGGAAAGGACACCTTGTTCAGGACTGATGTTGTTCAAAAGAGTGTGCTTAGCGCCATTCTTTTGATCGTGGAGAACAGCGTGACGTTGGGAGAAGGTACCACGTTCGACATCTTGACCGGAAACACGGACATGCTTACCTTCGGTAAGAAGAGTACCCCAAGCCAAGGATTCGGCAGTGGCCCAGTCAATACCTTTACCTTCTTCCAATGCCTTTTCACGGTTTTGAAGGATACGCTTCAAGTTACGGTGAACGTTAAAGTTGTGAGGAAGTGTTGTCAAGGCCTTTCCAACAGTCTGAAGGGTTTCGAGAGGAACACCGGTAGGATGGTGAGGTAAGATTTCTTCAGCCAATTCCTTGGGTGACTTGAATCCAGGCCATGAGCTGGACAACCATTCGCTTGACTTGGGCTTGTAGTCCTTGCTGCGAGCATAGCTTTCTTCAAGTACGTCCCAAACACGCTTCTTGTTGGCTTGAATATCTTCTTCGGTAAGAGATCCTTCCTTCTTCAATTGCTCTTCGTATTTCTTAGCAACGGGGACTTGCTTGCCAATAGCTTCGTACATGCGAGGTTGGGTAAACATGGGCTGATCGGTTTCGTTGTGACCGTGCTTACGGTAGCAGACCAAGTCAATGACAACATCTCTGTGGAAAGTTTGACGCCAGTCAGCAGCCAATTGCATGACATATGTTACAGCTTCGGCATCATCACCATTTACATGGAAGACGGGAGCATTGATGGACTTGGCGATATCTGTACAGTAAGGAGTGGAACGGCCGTAACGGGGATCGGTAGTGAAACCGATTTGGTTGTTGACAACGACGTGAATAGTACCACCAGTGGAGTAGGAAGGAAGGTCATGGAAACCCATAGTTTCGTAAACAACACCTTGACCAGCAAAGGCAGCATCACCGTGAATCAAGACAGCCATGGCCTTTTCTCCGTTGGGATCATTTCCGTAGAATTGAAGGGCGCGAGTCTTACCGAGAACGACAGGGTCAACAGCTTCCAAGTGAGAGGGGTTAGCAACCAAAGAAAGGTGGACACGCTTGCCAGAGGGAGTAGGACGGACGTAGTTCATGCCAAGATGGTACTTGACATCACCGGATCCTTCTTCAGAGGGTTCGATGGCACCACTGAATTCACAGAAAATGGATTCATTAGGCTTGCGGACGACATTGGACAAAACGTTCAAACGACCACGATGGGGCATACCAATAACAATAGATTCCACACCATTATCGACAGCACGGTCAATCTATGACATGATCAGTATAGGTCTTTCTCTTTTTAAGCTTTACTTACCATAGCCTTCATACCGGGGATCAAAGTTTCACCACCTTCAAGACCAAAACGCTTCTCAGAGGGGTACTTGGAAGCAACAAAACGCTCAAAACTGTCAGACCAAGTCAAACGGTCGAAAATGACACGCTTTTCCTCGACGCTGTACTTGTATGGTTGAGCATTTTCAATGCGTTCACGAATCCAATCACATTGAGCACGGTCAGGGATATGGATGTATTCGACACCAATAGAGCCACCTATGAAACAATACGATTAGAACTCAGATCCTGTCAATTCCCTTAAGCCCCCTCTCTCCCACACACACACGAGAGGTTCCCGAGGTAAAATGAATACTTACAATAAATCTTCTTCAAATGGTTGATGATTTCGCGAAGAGTGAGGCTAGTGCTACCATTACGGGTGAAAGCAGGCAAGATGCCAGGGCCAATAGTGAAAGTTCTGTCAAGATCGCTATCCTTGAAACCATAGAAGCTGTATTCTAACTCGGGAGGAGTAGTGGCATCAAGATCAGCATGTTGAATACCGAGGGGATCCAAATTGGCAATGTGGTGACCACGGACTTGGTAAGCTCTAACCAAGAGTTGGATCTTCATGTGATCAATCACTTCAGAGGAACCAGCGCCAGTGATGCCATCACCGGGCAAGACAGGCAAACGGGCACTAGCAGAAGGAACAAGAGTAGGAGGAGGAGTGTAGGCTTGACCGGGAGCGACGCCATTAGCCATGTTCTTGAAATAGACTTGCCAAGATAAGTGGACTGAAGAAGGGTCTTTCAACCAAGCTTCATACATTTCCTCAATATAGTTGGCAGAACTTCCGTGTAAGAAACCATCGCTGCTTTCGGGTGCTGCATAGCGAGATCGTGTAGTGTGGAAAGATGCGACAGAGGTGCGGATAACTGATTGTTTAAGCTTGGGGACAACAGAAGGTCTAAGTGTTCTAGACACTTTAGAAAGCGTTGAGAGGCGATACATTTTCTAAAGGTTGATTATTCAAAGGATATAAATATATATATAAAAGGGGGGCTGTTATATATATTTATAAGTTAGAACTGGGTGAATGTTATGTGGGGTAGCTTAAAAGAGGAAAAAAGCAGGGAAGTATCGGAATTAGAATAAGCATATTTAAAAAAAAAAATTAATTTTTTTCCGTGACGTATACCCAAAGTAACTCTATGGTGTGTCCTTATTTCGCCGATTTACGTGAAATAAGTTTCCCCGAACATTCACTCTTGAACAAGACACACTTGAAGAAAGTAGTTGGTCAACGTAAACAAGAGGCGCTTTCATTGGTGTATCAACTAAAACAGAACTATCCTAAGAATAAAAAGAGTTTACAGATGAAATGAGTATTTCAACCACAAATCGAACTAGAGAAAGCTTCCATTCATTTAGAATAACACTCCCAAAAGAAGGACTTTGAATAACTAATTCAGTCTTGACCAAATTGACACGAGCATCTGATCCATTCCTTAGCAAGCTGATAAAGATTAGACTGACAACCAAACAGGAATAAAACTAGAACATCTAACAAGCTCTTTGACGCACGATCCAAGGGATGGGAGCATTGCTGTAATTGTAATTGTATAAATGGAAATGATTTAAAGAGCTTTTTGGCAAACTAAAGCAATTTAGCAGAAAGATAAGCTACAATAAGGAATATTCCATATTTAATTAAGCAATGAAGAAGGTGAGAAATCAATCATGCAATAAGATTATTTCTTTATCTATATTTCATTTCTTGCAGCCATTCTTTGAAGCTTGAAGCGTTGTACTTTACCGGACCCGGTTCTTGGAAGACTCTGCACTTCAAAGACGCCATGGAGCCATTTATATTCAGGAAGCTGAGAGTTCACATAATCTTGAATCTCCTTCAACAAGTTGTATTTGTCTACGCCACGCAAGATAACATACGCATTGGGCAATTCAGCCATTTCTTCTTTGGAATAGATACCAATAACTGCGCAGTCGATAACTAAGGGGTGCTGAATGAGGATTTGCTCAATTTCTTGAGGAAAGAAAGTAGTGAACCGAGACTTGATCATTTCCTTCATGCGAGAAACATAGTAAAAGAGCCCGCTTTTGTCTACTTTGAATATATCCCTCGTTTTCAAATAACCCTGTTCGTCAAATAGTGCAGCTGATTCTTCTGGGTTGTTGTAGTAGCCAAGGGTCATTGCACGACTCTTTACACGTAATTCAACTTCATGATCGATAGGTAAATCGTTACCATCTTCATCTACAATACGAGCAAGTACCTCAGGACGTAAGCTGCCGGTAGATCCTGCAAGCGTATATTCTACGCATGATTGAAATATACTAAAGCATTCTGACATGCCGTATGTATTCATAATGAGTATTCCTAGTTCTTCTCTTACACGATTGATAGTATTTGTATCAATAAAGGCACCACAGACATCTACCCGAAGCAGTGAAGAAAGGTCATAGTTGCGGCATATATCTTGTTGTTTTACTAGAATTGAAATGATGTATGGAGGAACGATCATACAGTTAATACCCAAGCCTTCGATTAACTTACATATTTCCTCTGCTGAAGTTTGAAAGTCTTCAACGATATATGTTGTAAACCCAAAGAAGACGCCGCCAATTAGATAATAAGCAAAGCTACTGGTAAAGCTAACGAAAGAGATAGCTAGAGCTTTTAAAGGAATAGCTCGATCTGTCGTATTGAGGAAGCAGTGTACAAGAGAGCTCTGTGTGATCATGATGACCTTGCTTTGACCAGTCGTGCCTGAACTATAGTAAAAGCAACAGGGAGTATTGACAAGATCGTGTCTGGTGTATGGGTAGGGTTGATCCAATCTTCCTCTTGAAAAAAGAGTAGTATCTACGATGGGCCTATGGGCATAGTCACAAGATTCATTGCAAGCACACGGAGTAATCATCAGGATACTTGTCTCAGGCATTCCTGTTATCTTAAGATAGTCAAGAGCGACTTTCATCAGGGAATGATGCATGATCATGAGTCTCGGTTTGGAACTACAAATGTTTTGATATATCTCTTCTTCAGATGAATTGGTCGTATGAAGAATTGAGCTAACAATACCACCTACACATATATATTAGAGAAAAAGAAATTACAAACTTTGAAATGCTTTTACCTGCTGCAATGACTGCAAAGAATAATACAGGATACTGCAAGCTATTAGGAGAGCAGAGAGCGACAACATCACCATGTTGAATACCATACTCATATCGAAGACCAGCTGCACACTTTAAAACGTCTTCTTTAAACTGTCGATATGTAATATGTTTCTTGGGATTGCTTGCTTCGGCAAAGGCTATTTGATCTAGGTTCTTCTTGCTGTATTTTTCAGTAAACAGCAAATCAAACAACGTGATACCATCTGTGTCACCGACCTTGAGACTGCCACCTTGAAAGACAATAGGACTACGACCACTGGCTTGTTTAGTTGCGTCAACAGCTTGAGTAAGGCTAAGAGGACCTGTCATTTTGATGTAAAAAAAAAATAGTGAGACAACCGTGAATTCTTGAATGAAGGGAGGCTCTTATAAAGGTTTGCTCCCTATCTCTACTCTGTCTGAAGCCACAGATAAATACTCTTTCTCATATCATCTGCGCAGGTTTATTAATATTCTATTTAAAACTAAAACCTTGCTTGTGTTTTTAAGCTCCTGTCTCGAAATGATAAAGAATATATCGTATAAAAGTACAAAAAGACAAACAGCAAAGGGATAGAGTTTGATTGCAAGCAGACTTTCAATACAGTTCAGAGGATGAGCTGATCTTTATTACAATAAACAGCCAGAAAGAGAGGGATTACAAGTTTCCTGCCGCTTCTGTTTCAGCCAGTCAAAATTGTGCCCTTCTTTATCCTTTCCACACTTTTTTTTTCTTGTGTTTCTCATTTGTAATGAGTAAAAAAACCATAACTGCAGCATGTTGTGTTATTGGGGACGAAATATTGTCAGGAAAGACACAAGATGCCAACTCTCATTACTTGGGTAATTTGAACTAGTAATAGTAGTAGATCTACTGTTCATATGTTGCAATTTAAAAATATATAGCAAAAACCTTATTTGACTTGGGTATTGAACTGAGGTGTATCCAGGTTATTGGCGATAATAAGCAAGATATCATCAATTCAGTTAGAGAACTTTCATCGACATACAATATTGTTTTTACTAGTGGTGGCATAGGTAGAAAAAAAAAAAAAGAAGATATGGCTCTAATGATCAGATAGGTCCTACACATGATGATATTACGTATGAGTCCATAGCATCTGCATATGGTTTACAGCTAAATACGGATAAAGATACACTCGAGTTTTTTAAAAGACAAGCAGAGAAAAGAAATATGAAATGGACCAAGAGCCACGTTCGAATGGCTACATTTCCATATCCTGCAGAGTTATTACGAGAGAAGAAGGGAATCCCATTTCCTATTGTTGTCGTCAATAAGAATATTCATATACTTCCTGGCGTGCCAATGTTATTCAAAATCTTGCTGGATTCACTTAAACCACGACTTGCGGTTATGTCTGGATCAAGGTTTTATAGATGTGAGATTGCAACTAGAAAGACAGAGGTCTCTATTGCAGAGGTATTGGCTGATATTCAGGCAAGATCTGATGATGCCAAGATTGGAAGTTATCCTTTCGGGAAGAACCAGGACGGTATCCAGGTGGTGATTACTGTGTCAGGCAAAGAGCAGTCGAAAGTAGACAAGGTCACACGAGAGATTATGGAAAAAACAGAGGGATGGCTGTACAATAGTGTTCTTTAATATATGTTCATGGCTTCCAATAAACAACTCTATTCTTTCCTTCAAATGGTAAATAGTCGGTTTTGATTTCCCCGCTTGGTATATCTTTTTCACAGATGTATTGAATAAGTTGTTCTGTAGTCATCACGACCTTTCCTGTCTTTAATTTTCTTGTTTGATTCTCTTGACTAAAGACACAGCATGGTACCACAGCAAATGGTTTACGCATCTTTATGGCCATATCAACAATAGACATCGTTGCCTGATCTGGATGAAGTCCAATAAACAAGGAAGCGTTGGAAACTAGATCATGATGTTCCCTTAGAAAGGCCTCATCAAAGTAAGTGTGCATGTATTGAGGAACTATTGGGCTTGGCCAGTGCTCAAAGTCAATCATAATCTGCTTGTTTTCCCAATCTGGGCGCTCTAAGCTTCCGGTTTCATATCGATACATCAGCCTTCTTAATTTAATATACCAATAATTGGTCCGCTTTCTCTCTTGAGGCTCGATCACAATAGAAGGAATACCAAATGCTCGGCTCAGAAACATTGAAATCTCGCCCTTTCCAGCTGCGATGTCTAGAACAGCACCTGATCCTGTAAGATCTTGTTCAAATGTTCTCCGTATCCAATCAGCAAAGATAAAGGCACGTAGCGCATGAGGCTGTTTATTGGACGTATGTGGGTCGTTTGGATCGTGTGTCGTTTTAAGTCTGTTCTTTGTTCTTTCCTCTATCCAAGTTTGTCTCTCCTTTATGAGCTCCTGTCCGGTCGGATGACGAAAAGGACATTCATCTCCCTTGATACAAGTGTTCTTATTAATCCAATATTTGCATACAGTTGATTTATCTGTTTGCAGGCAAGTATTATCAGTGCTTTCTTTAGGAGCTGCCAAAGGTCGATCTTGAACAAATGGTCTATCGCTGACGTATGGTTCAATCACTTTAACTGGACATACTGATTGCCATACTTTATAGTCTCTATTTTCTTGCTCAGAGGGATCAAGTGGTGGGATTACTGTTACTTGAATGATCTGTCCTGGTTTACATTGCTTGTATGCTTCTTGAACAGCAAAAAAGTCTAGACTGTCATCGTCGTTTCGAAAGAAGATTTGCGACTTTTCAGACTGATCAAGTGGTTGAATATCAATAAAGAAGAGTTGTTTTGTCAGTTTTCGTCGATGCCTAACTTGTCCAGTAAGCTCCATGAGATGAATAAAGAAAAAGAAAGAGAAATTCATTTAATGCGTGACTCCCCTTTATTCTGTCTCTCTCTCTCTCTTTCTTTCATTCTTTCATTCTGTTTGCAATCATGGATTCTGCAGAGGAAGTGAGCAAGACGATTGACAGTAAAAATATCAATAATAATACAACATATGCTAGATTACTCACTGACCTAACAGTATTACATGAGATGGCAACTGTTTTAAATACGGGTTTAGACAGGAAAACAGTTGGTTATTGTATATCATTATGTGAAAAAGGTGCCAATCCAGAGGCTTTAGCTGTAAAAAGGAATAAATCTCTCTTCTTTGCATGTATTTAATTCTTTTTTTTATAGACAATCATTAAAGATTTACAGAAACAACAAGAAAATAAAAAGAAAGAAACGAACAATAAACAGTAATATACCCTTTTTTAAAGTCTTTCTTTTTTTGTCTATTTTTTTTTTTTTTGGTGTCTTTTATTTATGAAGCGTGAAGCCAAAGAGGACAACAACAACACTGAAGAGAATAAAAAGGCAAAGAAAGGTAAGTCATTGAATAAATACTTGTGTGTGTTTTCTAATCAACATTGTAGAGCATCCTTTTTTCAACATGAAGAGAGTAAATAAAGGAGCAATAAAGTGGATCAATGCACTTGACACGGTTCTTATTGGAAAAACGCATGGAAAAGAGACAGGAAAAACCAAGATTGCTGCTTTTGACTTGGTAATTTCAAACATAATTTGGTGTCAATTAAAATCATAAACTTTTTATAGGATGGCACATTGATAACGACTAAAAGTGGTCGTACCTTTCCAAAAGACGAGCATGATTGGCAGTGGTGGTGTCAGGCTGTACCTAAACGTATTGAGGAACTACATACAGAGGGGTAAAGAGACTACAGTTACAAATATTGAATAACATGTTTTAGATATGAAATAGTCGTATTTTCAAATCAAAATGGCTTGAATTCAGATAAAAAGATCAAGAGTTTCAAAATAAAGATTGAAAACATACTCAACCAGCTCAGTCCACCTGTATTATTTATGGCAGCATTAGCAAAAGATAAATACAGAAAACCAATGACTGGTATGTGGCATTGGTTTGTACAGCAACATGATCAAAAGATAGATAAAGATGCGTGCTTTTATATTGGCGATGCTGCAGGCAGAGATCGGAAGCCAAAGAAGGATCATTCATGTGCTGATAGAAAGTTTGCAGATAATCTTCAAATCGCCTTTCATACACCTGAAGAGTTCTTTTTGAATGAACCAAAAGCGGATTTTGAATGGTTGGGATTTAATGCAAAAGAGCATCCAAGAGACTGTAAGATTAATTTACATGTTTTACAACCTTGTCTGACCCTCTTTTCTATAAGTACCTCTCTTGTCACCATCCTTGCCCTCATTTCCTGCAACTGAAAAGAATGAAGTTGTGATATGCGTTGGGTATCCAGCAAGTGGGAAATCTAGTTTTGTTAAAAAACACCTTGTGCCTAAAGGATATGTCTATGTCAATCAAGATGAATTGAAAACAAGGGACAAGTGTATCAAGACATGTCAAGCGGCTTTAGCCAATGAAAAGTCAGTAGTTATTGATAATACAAATCCTGAGAAATCAACGCGTCAACTGTATATCCAACTCGCTCAGAAGGCAGGCGTGCCTGTTCGATGCCTTTATTTTGGACAAGATGAAAATTTAGCACAGCATAATAACCACTATAGAGCAATTCATGAATCGAGTCGAGATCTTATTAGTAAAATCGTGTTTAGAACATTTAAATCGAAATTTCAGGAACCTACGATGAAAGAAGGCTTTACAGAAATACAACGTGTCAACTTTGTATTTGATGGGTCAGACAAAGACTATGAAGAATGGAGGAAATGGTGGATTTAGAAAGCAAAACATTAGAATAAATCATTCATTTTTTAAGTGTATGTACAAGCAACATATTTTATTAGTGATAATAGTAGAATTTGAGCAAAAAAGTACCTATTCCGTTCCGACGTAGTCATTACGATCATAACCTCTACCCTTTCCTCTGCCTCTTGGCATACCTCTTGCACCTCTTCCTCTAATATATCGTCCACGTCCTGTACCTCTTCTGAATCCATGGATGGTTGGAATACCCCTCCCTCTGCCACGGAAATTATTGTCTATGCTACCTCGGTTCCTCCAATTGTCGTGTTCTGATTCAGAATGTTTTCGAACATAGTCATATTCCTCTTTAGAATCTAGAGTATCTCCATTGATATGGTACGTATGATCCTCTTCATGATCCTCTCCTTCAGTTCCAATTATTAATTCTGGCTGCTCAGATTTTTTATCATCAAGTTCTTTGATCTCCACTTTATCGTGTTCCTCATTTAAAACGCTGTTTTCTATATCAGCACTTTCTTTTTCTTCATTTTGTTGTTCATTCTTTTTCTCTTCGTTTGATGATGATAAAGATGGTTCATTTTGATTTGTATGCAAAGTAACATGGCCCGGTACTATAAGTATATATGTATTGCATTCACACATTAGAAATAATAATAATATCTATAAAAATCAAACAAACCTGGACTATCAGCTGGTATAATAAGCCAAGTAGGATCTTCAGAATGAACTCTGTCTAAGGCTCTCTTTTCATCTATTGTATTATTCCAAATATCATCAAATAGTGTCTTTATTTGCTTAAATGTAACATCATTTATAGTTGTCACAGTATCTTCCGAGCTCAATTCAAACTTTTTCAATGCTTCAAAGACAAACTTTCTCTTTTGTGATCTAATCTTATAAGAAGGATCCTTTGCTGCATAAACAGATGCACCTATGAGTTGATCACAAAAATCATTTACAGCAAACAACTTCTCCGAAGCGTTCTCTACTTGAATGGCAGAAAATAATCCAAATTGAGCCAGTCGAACAATATAAAGAAATTGTAATAAGGCTAGTGTCTGATTTTCTACTTTATATTTGATTTCTTTTTCAATATAATTTTCGTGATATGCGCGTAATTTATCTTTGATCTCTGTATCTGTCTGGTTTTTTTTATGAATATCCTTGTATTATATAAAATTGCATAATAGTGAACTTACCAAGTTCTTTAAAGTAGTCTGGTATTTTTCAAGACATGCTTCTGTTATCTGTTTCTTCATTCTTTCTTCCTCTGTTAGTTGTTCTTCTTCTTTCACTTTAAGCTCATCCTATTGAAATGAGCATTTCTTTTATGCTTAATTGTTATTATTTTTTCTATACCAGCTCTGCTTGAAGTGAATTAATTTCTGTTTGAATCTGTTCAATGTGTGGGTGTATTGGAGGAGGTTGTAAACTTCTCTTCTTGATTGTCCTCTTGAAGGGCTTTTTAGCTTTTTGTTCGTTCATTCCAATAGATGGGTAATAAAGAATGGGAAAGAGAAAAGAAAAAGAATTTTAAGCTGATTGAAATGAATAAGCCACTATACCGTACTTTCCTAATACGTTTCAACCACACACATACACACATGTATACGCATATACATCTCCCTTTCTATTTCAAACTGCAAGTGCTTATATGCCTTGGATCATAGCAAAGGTTTAGTTTGAATCAGGAATATTTCTACATTTTATCATCCAACACGTCATGGGAGACGCTTTTTATTACCCCGTGGCATCCCACGCAAATATTCATGTAGGCCGCTCTTTCGCGAATTTATATGTTACACAGACTACAGCGAATAACAACTGCTTCAACCATGTCACCTGACTCTACTAATCCAACCAACATCATGGCTGCAGCAAGTTTCCCTCACAATAGAATAAAAAAGGCAGACTTGCTTGTGAGGGGATTTCAAAATTACTGCAAAGCCTTAGCTTATCCTTAATGTCCAATACAGGGTATTTTTTGTCACAATAGCAGTACTAAAAATGAATCCTCTTTCTTTGTAATAACCCCCAATACGAGTTAGGTACTGTTCTTTTATAATCGCAATAGGCTGAATTGGTTGTTTCAAGTAGGGGCACTTTCCGGAGGATCGGCCTACACGTCAAACGTACGGATAAAATACCATAGTATCGTCATTTTTAGTTTTAGGAGACAATCTTTGATAAGTGATATTCTTTGGTTGGACACCCACTTGGAACCAACTACAAACATTGTTGGCTTTGGACGCATGATTTACTGTGTCGTCCTTATATACAAAGTGAAGCTTAACTTGTTGTCTCTCTTGACTATGGCCGCCGTGCAACTGACATATAAGGTGCCTTGAACTTTAATAGAATCTAATCTCCTGCATACATCGGTTTATTCCCCGAAAGCCAAGACCTCGTCCCACAACAGCAAAATTCGATGACCGCAAATCAAACAGGGACATGATTCCATCTCCCCTTTTCTTTTCTTCTTTCTCTTTGAAAAAAAAGAAATATCATAAAATATAAAAGCGACAAACAGCCGCTATGCATAAAGCATCCATTGCATCTAGAAAAAGATGGCTTTTATATGTAGCAATGCTATCCCTCATCCTATCCATTACTTTCTTCTCTTCTCAACAATTTATAATAGCAACTACATCCGAAACAGAATACGACCTTCAAGCTGATAATAAATTACTCATCAATCTGTCAGATTCACTAAATACAACCGAACAGAATGGATGCAATTGTCAATTATCGAACACCCATGAACTTGACATTGAAGAAAAGGTCAAGCATGCTAATATTGATCTTACATTTCCTCCATTGCCTAAAGAGACAATACAGAAAATCAACAAGAACCTGCTAAAGGATCGTATCTTGATTGTTGCTGCTGCAAATTATGGAATGCGCAATCATGTCTACAATTGGATCGAGTCGCTCAAACGAGTAAACGAGACCAAGTTTATCATCTTTTGTTTGGATGACAAGCTATACGACCACCTTACTTTAACAGGCTATACAAGCCATGCAACTAAAATTCCTGATACCTGGTTTCATCAAGAGATTGAAGCCAATTTTTCATTGTATTTTAGTGAAACCTACCGTATCATTACTCATGCTAAAACTTTGGTTGTACAACAATTATTGTATCTCGATGTTACAGTATTTTTTTCGGATGTAGATATTGTCTGGAGGAGGACACATATTGTAGACTACGTTAGTGCAGTAATGAATGCAAGGCCAAGCACGGAAATATTGTTCCAACAAGAAGGTGTTGATCAACGAGAAATAAACAGTGGCTTTTATCTCATGCGACCCACCAGTACGATGAAAAGACTACTGGCGGAAACAATCACAATACAGGATACAAGCGAAAAGATGACACAACAGGGGGCGATGAATGCAGCTTTAGATAAACTTGATTTGGATATTAGAGCAGGTCCAGTAGGTCTATTGGACTTGTTACACTTTCCTAATGGCTATGTTTATTTTGATCTTGACCTTCCCAGGCAACATGGAATAGACCCTTTTATCGTGCATGCAAACTATTTGGTATGTAAAACAAGAATTGACAAGTGTATCAATGTACTTAACTTTTTATAGATTGGCGAAGATAAAAAAAAGAAGCTAATAGAATTCAACATGTGGTATCTCAATGATACATGGTTAGACCAAATGGATACTAAATTCAACAAAAAGACTAAATCTATGAAAAATCAACAACAAAAAGCCAAGTCAAAAGAACAAGACTAATTACATCCCTCTTCCCTTTATCACCTTGTTTATGCCTTGGATACATCTTACATAATTCATTATTTCCTTTTTCATCTCACTCTTTTAAATATACAGTTCTTCATCATAATTAAAACTCATAAGTAAACTATCTTTGACTTAATCATTTTATTTACAAAGATGCTGTATAGCATGACCACATATTGGCTTTCTCTTCTCAGGAATATTTACTATATTATATTGTTGTATGGTACTCAAGTTTAACGTTATTTTTTTTCTTTAATGATTTGATTTAAAAATTGTGTCAAACTAAGGTATGTTGTTTAAAGTGTAATGTGGAAATGATGTTAACTTCTTTTTAATATATCATCAGTAACTAGCTACTAGTAATAATCTTTATCCCAAAAGGGAAACTGTGTTCATTACAGCTATGCTCGAAAGGCCGACCTCTTCCATCCCAAACCGAAAGGGAAATAGACAGCATATTCTTGCACGCGTTGATATCTCGCTGCCATAGTGTCTTACAGATATTGCAGACCTGGACACTATAACCTTTCAAGCCGGACATACTTGTGAGGGGATCATTATTACACGCATTAAAAACTTCGAAAGTCTTGTATTCATCAATTGTAACAGCGATGAGATCTCCAGATGCCTTTCTTCTTTTTAGCGCTCGCCAAAAAACACTAGTGTCGCCACACCAGTTTCCCTTCAGCTTTATCGAGTCTTTGCCAAACATTCGTGCACCAAAGACTACAAGGGGTACTTTCTCTCTTTCCATTTGGAACTTTGCGAGCTTCCATTTTTAGTTTCTTTAAAACAACAATTAGATAAGACTTGACTGTCAAAGCTAAAATTGATCACATATCTGTTTTTGGTAATTTGATTCTCTTTTTCTTTTGAATTTGCCATCTGTTTTTGCTTCTTTTTTTCTTCCTATTTCTTTTCTTTCTTTTCTTCTTATTATACTTGGCATCTCCATGTACAAGCATGTTCACCATTTCTTATGCTGCTCTTTATCTGCATTGATACAAATAGAAACGATCCTTTGCTGTTTTGTAATCGTAGAAAGAGAATAAGGCACCAATGTGAGGACTTTTTCTAAACAAGCTCCAGTTTTCAAGTAAGCCTCCTGGCAGTGCAGCACTGTTTGCAGCCCACTTATCCATAACTAATTGACATATTGAATACCAAAAATTTTGTTTAAAGATATGACTCGAATGGACTTTTAAGCTTAATGTGTACTGGTTAATAAAAAGCTGAGCTCTGAAAACCACTTGCTGCGTGTTTTCACATGCAGAGATGATCCTAGACTTCAAGGCACCCTGGTAGGAACTGTGGACACACTGATAAAACGATAACTTTCTTGTAAATGTTTTAAATTGTTGTCCCAAACTTCGGCCAAAAGTCTCGTTTTTTGACAACATGTGCTTAGGGCAATCTGAAGAGCGTGTTGATTTATAGTCAGTTTGTTTACAACTAGTGCAAATAACCGATGAAGAGCACTCTGCCGTTTTTTGTCTTTTGGCTTTTTGCGTTTCTTGCTTCACGCCTGAGCTTTGTTTTCTTTTTATCCCAGTGGATGTTCCAACTTTAATAAGAGATATATTAAGTTTCGAATATTAGTTTATAATAGTGAGTTACCATCGTCTACAGAAGCTTCTTTATAAAATTTGCATTTATAGTCACTTTTGTTGGCATATCCTATCTCCTGACAGTCTTTACAAATCATATCTATATTATATATCAATGTATCAGTGAATATTTTGCAAGTATCATAGATTTACCTTCAAACGCGTCATCTATGTCTCCTGTCAACTTTCTTTTATTAATGACTTGCTCTTTCTTCTTTTGAATAATGTTTTTAAACATGCCAATATTGTTGTCAAAGTTGAGTAAAAAGAGAAAGAAAGGAAGAAAGTAATAGGTTCATAATTTTATTTTATTTTGGAACTTTTTGTGGTCAGGGACAAATGTGGGTCAAATCAAGAGGCCATATGAGTTCTTCTAAATGATCGATGCTTACCTTATTACATAATTATTATTATCGATAGAATTTCGTTCACAAACAGGTCTTTTTCAGTTGCTTCCGACGACTGACCACAGCTACACAACTGTGTTTAGCTTTGACGAAGAGGGTGATACACTTTTTCTCAAAATTATTGGCACACTTTAAGAAATCATAAGCACTGTCGTATTTACCCTATAAATACTTAACCTTGTCGTATGAGAATATTATAAATCTCTACTCTAAAAAAGAGTACTACAAAGAGACTGACTACAAAACACGTTATTATCTAATAATGCAGCATACCCAATTCTTATGGGTCATAACTAAATCGGTTACTTAATAATTAAGTTTCATATAAAATGACGCTGTTTGTAATAATGAGCTCTTTCTCGTCTTGTATACAATAAAGAGGTTATATAGAGACTCATCGACTTATACTTCCCCTATCGCTTCTTTATATATTCGAGACATATCACAAGCACGAACTAAAATGTTCCTAATATCATTTGATGCTTTGATTGTTTTGTCTTTTATGCTTCTATGGCAGGACGCAGAATAGTCTCTAGCTTTGTTTTGACTATTGTTGTCTTTCGATTCCTCATGAGCTGCTGAAGTACTTCTCGCTTTATTAACTTTCGATTTGGGAATAAGGAAGATCTTGCATGCTTGTGTCCTTATTGGTGACAACTTGCACAAACGCTGCCTTTTTCTTTCCTTTTTTGATCTTAATATTCTCTGCTTCACTCGCCCTTTTTCTCTTGGTTCTAACCATAATACACGGATGACGTTTATGAAGTCGAAGATAACTGAAATTTTCATTTTTTACTTTTGACTGTTTGATTTTTCTCATTTTCTATAGTCTTTTTCTCTCATACATTGCTTTAAGAATATTACAACTTGATCGCGCATTTTGTTTAAAAATACAAAAGAAGGGTTAAATGAAATAATAACAATTGCAGAGGGTGCTGATCACGTAATGAAGTGCTGGTGCTATCGTCTGTTCTTCTCCAGGTGAGAGCAGTGTCACGAAAGCTTCTGTCTCCATGCTCAGTGGGAATGATAGCAGCAATCTTTTCCATGGTGGACAAGTTTTGGGTACGTCTATTACCTCCTCCAATTAATCACATTCTCATATCAGGAGAAATAGCTGTATAAGATGAAGACGTTTATATTTAAAAAGAAAAGAAAGCTTATGTGCTTTCAGGAACCAAGCGCTTGTCGCGCAGGTTTGATGTTCAATCCGGAAAAAGCATTAAATAGCAGCCAAATCATGTGATTAGAGTTATTACAAAATCAATACTATTTTCCTATTTGGCATGTATGATTTACACCTTTTTTGTCTTCGTTTACTACAGACAACTGTTGCGTGATAAAGATAGTTTGTCTCCTTACTCATCTTAGTTGACCATTAATCATCAATTTACTTTATTATAGACATATGGTACTCACAAACGTTTGGTGCAGTAAAAGGTAACGTTTATATCATCATTTTAGCTATTAAAACATGTTCCTAACTATTTTTCTATAGGTTTATACGCTATATTATGAAAGAAGGTTCTATGTAACTTTTGCATACTGTTTGCCAGGCTTCTTGACCATGGTGCTTTTGCTTCTATCTAAAAAGATTGGAGACAATCTGTAGCTGCATTATCATATCATCATCGTATTTTGCCAATAAAATATATCAGGTTAAACTATTCTGACCTTCCCCCTCAGAGTGGGCAACTGTCAAAGGAAAGCGTAGAGTCAAATAAGCTTTATATGATTCATTTTTAGTTAGCTATGAATGAGAGAAGAAATCATTAGTTTTTATACCAAAAACAATATCACTGCATAAACAAATGTGATAAAAGCAAAAAAAAAAAAAAAAAAAAAGCGTGCTAAAGAGAAAACTGGAATTGCTATTTCCATAAAGAACCTGCACACACGCATATACCAAAAAGAGGTGTCGGAATGATTCAAATCATACTTTAGAAGGAAAGCTATTCTATTCCTTTAAAGTCCACATGATGTATTACAGTTTATTCAAAAAAGAATGGCGCTAAGGGGATGATGATGATTCTTTAGGTCCAAAGGTATAAGAGCGGCGGGGTAAAGAGGACGCTTGAGATGACAAAGAGCGTATGTCTAAAGATGACGCGGAAACAGTCCTTGATCTTGCGAATGTTCTTACGCGATTAACAACTTCATGATCTATCACCGGTGTATCGCCTTTTCCTTCAAATGTTTGGATAATTACCGGTGTGGTCACAATGGGAGCTACACTCGGTCTTGGAGAAGAAAGGAGGGTCTCGGCGATCGAAAGTTTTCTGGTGGGTTTCGATGAACGTTCGGTTGTTGTAGTAGTAATAATAGTCCTTGCTGCACTAAACTTACTACTAGGCAAATCTGTTATTTGGGAGGTCACTTGAGTTGTCAACGATTCTTCCACATCCTTTACTTGTATACTTGTTCCATGGCTCTCAGTATGTATAGATCCGCTCGAAGTTGCTAATGAGTGATGTACCGTTGATTTCTCTGGAGCGATCATAGTCCTGGCCGGACTAAAGGCATTAGAGCTACTGGATGCATCAACTTTCGTAAACACTTGTACATCTCTAGAAGATTCGTCAATCTCTATTGTTTCCACATTTGCTTCTTGCCTTATTGTTTCAACTTCTATTGACTCTTCCTCAATCTCGATGATTTCTGTCGCTTTTTCATCTTGTTCTTCGACCGTATCAACGTGTACGCATTCTTCAGTGATTCCTTTATCAAAATTATCTTCAAGTTCGATAAATTCTTTCTCTCTTTTAACAGCAGTTCGTTGTTCTTCCAAAGGATCAACATCTACTTCCAGTATCTGTTCTTCATCGCCTTCCTCAATTTCAATCGTTTCCATGGTTTCTTCAGTATCTTCTTGCACTTCAATAAATCCAACATTTGTCTTGAGTGCTTCATCATCCACTTGCTCTTCAACATCATCTTCTTCCATATCGTCATCTTCAACTTCTATCGTATCAATCGTGTAATTTCCTGCTTCAACAACATTCGAATCAATCATTGTGTACTGTTCGTGAAGATGCTCTTCAAATGTCTCTTGTTGAACATCGCTTCCACCATCAGCACTCTCTTGCTGTTCTATACTTCCTTTTTCAGTCTGACCATGGGTCTCGACGTCGATAAGTTCATGAATATGGGTATGTTCGTTGTTAACTATTGATACTTCACGTTCCAATCGCTCAGACTTCTTTTGATCGTCTTCTTTTGTTGCTTCAACAAGAATCTCCCGTACCCTTTCGCTATTTTCGACTACCTTTTGTTCACCTGGTTGCTTTTCTTTTTCAAATTCATCTACCCTCTTTACACATAGATCTTTAATGTAAGCATGCTTTAATTTCTCGGTTTCTGTATGTTCTTCTTCAGAAGCTGTTTGTTCGGACTGTTGACATTTTTCATCAGTTTCCACAATGACATATTCCTCTTCGGAGCTCACGACTTCCTTTTGTGAGCTCTTAGCATTCTGTCCTGTGGTTGCTATTGATCTTGTAGAACCCGTCTCATCTTTTGTGATGATTGCTCTTTCTTCTTCGGTTGCGGTCGTCGTTTTCTCTTTTCTTATTTCGGTTTGAACTATAGTAACCATTTCTTCAATAGCAATTGTTTCCTTGACATTCAACTTGGTTTGCTCATATTCTTTAGGAAGGTCTTCTTGCCGAGATTGTCTGGTATGATCACTATGTATCCTCTTTTCCAGCCGCTCATTTCGACTCGTCTGAGTACTATCACTCTTTTCTGTCTTTCTTAGAGGATTTTCTTTGACCTCAACAGTGTTTGTTGGCTTTACGGTTGCAAGAATGTCAGGTTGGATCAAATCAGACTGGTATATCTTGAGCTTATGGTGCTCATCAAAGCCAAAATTGGAAGTATAATTCTTGCTGTCAAAGTCATCACCGAATTGGTACTTACTGTGCTGATACATGTGTGAGGATTGTGTCGAGAGTTTTCTATCGTCTACAAGGAACCCTGTTGACACTGGGAGTGGTAAAGTGCCGTCCATGTTCGCTTGTTCTTCTCTATCGTTCTTGAGAATATCAAGTCTTTGCTTTGCCTCTTTAATAACATCTTCACTAAAATATGCAGTAAACGCCTTTTCTTCCTCATCCTGACCCAAATGGGGCGCTGGGAAAGGCGTGCTTTGAGCCTCTGATGGCATCTGTTGAACATGCTGGAACTCGTGTTTCTTTTTAAATAAGGTTCCTCTAGACAAGTCCAATTCAGCCTCAAGAAGGGAAGCGATTGCGGTTTGTGGTTGAGTCATCGACAAAGACTCACGCTGCTGACGATATCTCTCCTTTTCTTGTTCAATTTCTCTTGACAAATTGCTCGATAGGCCACGCATAATCGGAGTACGAGGAGACGATTGTCCTGAAGCAAGGGCACTTGGTAGACCGAGTTCAGTATCGTCATCAATATCCCAAGCAGATCTGAATCTTTGCGCTCTCTTTGGCTTTTCTTCTGCTGGTTCCAGTTGTTCAAGCCTTTCGAGCTCCTCTTGCTCCTTGGCTGCTTTGGTCAATGCTTCTGTTAATGTTTTTCGAAGGATCATGCTTTCACTTTGAGACTTGAGATTCTCTAATGCCTCCAAAGGATTCCACTTGGTTACTATGTCCTTGTTATGACACGCTACGTCTAAAGATTCGCTCAGGTCATAGTTTGTCATTTCGAAAGAGTCGTTGTCGAACCCCTCATCCTCGTTGTCCGAAAGAGTCTCACTCATATGGCCAAAATATTCACTCTGTTCGACATCAGGCGTAAGAGCTACAGCAGGTGTAGCGGCAGCAGAGGTGTACGGAGTTTTACGGTTAAATATGGAACTTGAAAAATCAGCAAAAAGATTGGACGGCTGATCGATGTTTGGTATACTATCATCCACCAAAGTGGGCACAGAGATATCTAAAGCAACAGGCGATCTCTTTGGCGTACCAGGCACAGAGTTACGTCTACTAGATACTATACTTGCCCTGCGACTTCCCGAACGGCTCACTGTGCGACTGCCTACTCTACTGCCGTTTCGACTACCCAAGGGTGAAGGTGTGTACATGCCAGAATGCAGTCTACTGGACGCTTTGAAATTGATGGGAATGAGATCTCTATCACTAATATCGTCCTCTTCGTCTTTATGTAGGTCGGCAATAAACTCATCAATCTTGTTCTTGACCGAAGGACTGAGGATCTCATCAATAGCAAATAAAGGAGCCTGTTTATGCTCCTCCTCCGTTGCTTCTTCTTCTCGATCGATTTCTATCTGTCGATTTGCCTCGTCTTGCTGATCATGTGCTGAAACTTTAGTCTCTTCTCGTTCCTTTTCCCTAATGTATCAACGCGTAAGATGAATTTGTCTATACGTGCGCAGCCAGACCTTTTTATACTTACGACGCATGCTCTACATTCAACTGTTCATGTTGATTTTGTTTTTCCTCAGGTTCACATTCAGTCAGTGTATAACTTGGTGTAGTGTCTTGGTACGCGTCAAGCTGATCATGGGCTTGTTCAAACGTGTCTTGATTGTGAACTGTTTCTGAAGATACATGGTGGTATGTCTGTGGTTGATGTTCTTCGTAATGATAGTAACGTTCTTGTTCGTGTTGCTCATGTTGTTTATGTTCCAAATGACGATTGTGGTGCTCCTCCTGTTGTTCATGTTTACTTTCATTCTTTCTATCAGCTAATATCTCTCTGTCAATCGCCCTTCTCTTGTATTTGTGTGTAGATGTTTAATTTTACCTGAATTATCTTGCTTCACCATCTCATCTTGCCATACACGAGTAGGAGCAGGAAAATGGTGTGGGTTTGCCTCCCAAGGAAACGCGATCGGATGACTCACCTCGGATTTGTTTTGATTCTGTTGTTCCGAATTGTTATTGTTATCATGAGTTTCCTGATGATATCCATGCTCTTCTTCCTGTGGTCGATCCAGCTTTTTTCCATCATCGTGCTCGTCGTCCTGTTCTTGTTCTTGGAATGTTTGCTGCGCCTCTACGAATTGAGCATACTCTGGCTTCTTTAGTATTTCAGGCTCAGGCTGAAACACAGGTGCAACCCAAACATGTTGTTGATTCTCAAGAGGTTGGTCCCACACATTTCGATAGCTGGATAAATCGGGAATGTCTGCTCCAAGCGAGCCGGAGTTAGGTGGCTCTTCATAGGCAGGATCCCACTTGATCATTGAATAGGGTTCTCTTTCGTCATGATATTGCTGTTTAGGTCTTTTGTTTTGGAGATACATTTGCTGCAGTTGGCGCTAAAGATAGGCAGAGAAAATATTCCAAACGTAAGTGATATTGACACACACGCTTGTGAATTTAAAAGATATCTCACCTGCTCATTTTCAGCAATGGCTCTCAACTCTTCTTGCAACCAGCTTGGCTGCGATACTGTGATGGCAGACAAAGCAGGCATAGGATTCACCTGTCTTCGACTATGGTCAAGATCATATCGCTCATTTTCCCAGGCATTCTCGATTGCTTCATTGAAAGGGACAATAGGACGTGTTTGAAAGCCTGTGTCAAATGTAGATATCCCGAATGAAAGTAATTGATATGGAGAAATCTATCATGGATGTTTAATATACGTCATAGATCTTATCTGACACACTTACTCTTCCATAGTATTTATCCCATGTGTCCCACCAAGTCTGAACCATACTACTAGTACCTTCCCATGCATCACCCATTGGTAACACTTTTCCGTCTGCAAATCGCTGATATTTCCAAGGTTTATTTTGTCCGATAAAATGAGCGATCTTGATACTTTGTCCATATTGAACTTGTGCAGGAGCGTAGCTAGAAAAGAGGGGAAAAGTTATTTTCCAGCATTCATTATGACTATTGTTATTACCCATATTGGGCCGTTGGGGTTGCGTTAAAAATGAAAGGAAGTCTGTGTGATGATGAATCAGGCCATGAACTGAAATAAGTATTCAAAAGTCCTTGATCTCCGCCTAAACACAAAGATAAAGAAAACAACTTGAGACATAATTATCCCCAATATTTACCATCAAATGTGCCCGTTTCAGCAGCGAGTCGTACGAGATCTTGATAGATTGTTTCCGAGGGTTCTGCTACAAAAACACCCGAGTTGAAACAGTCTGGCCAGCCAGCGTCTGGAGCAGCTGAAAAAGAAGGTCTGTCGAATAATTCATCAATATTTTGAAGAGGTAAGGTATCTGCATCCAAGAATACAATCTTTTTGTACTGCGTAAGACGCCAGAGATGAATTTTTGTCAGGCTAATATCCAGATCAGGTCTACCCAAAAGTAAGAGATTTTGATAGTCTTTGGATCTTATAGTCTCGACTGGTATCGTCTTATAGTACTTGGATAGCATATTCTGTACATGTGTAGAAATATTGGGTGTGACGAGGCATAGAAGCTCTTTCCTCGAGCCTAAATCACGTAACCGGTGAGCAATGACAAGAGCGCCTGATGCGTATGAGTCTGTGGCAACAAGCGTAACAAATGCCTCCATTTCAAGTTGGCCGTAAAACGATAGAAGAGAAAAGAAGGATTATAGAACACCAAAAAAAATACAATGGTTAAAATAGAGTATTTTTACTCACTTCGGAGTTTTAAATGATACGGGGAATACAGCGTTTTAACAAAAGAAGAAAACCGTGCATGAGACGGCGATGGATTGATTATTGTTTTGTATATGCCTACAGCCTATCCTTTCTTTCTAGATTGAAAGAGAAATGGGTTAGTCGTAAATCTTAAATGCAATTCTTACCTTGCTTCTGCAAAGTCAGTGGAGTGGTTCTCGTCAAACAGTTGAATCAAACACGCTGAACTCTTAGGATATGGCTTACATTTACTCTTTCTGGAACTGCTCTCATGCAGAACCGTTATGTTGCTGAAGTAAACTGGTTTATCAATTCTCATGCTGTGTTGAGGAGTATACCACAAATGCCAGCAGCTTTAGAAAACGCTTCATCGCTTTATACAAATAAAGCACTCGATTTGACCCTGCTCCATACCTTTTAAGCTTTTTTTTGCTTATAAATATCCCCATCCATTTCAATAACTGCGACGATATTGAGTTTACTGCCAAAGTCTACTACTATTTCTGTCATGTCCAAAAGCAGAACTGTCAACATGCATCTCCTCAGAGCCTTTGTTATTTTGTAAAAGAGGTTACAAGGTGGCATTATAGCTAACGAAGCCCATTAAATATGTCTTAAAAAGGTCTGTAATGTATGAAAGCTCGAAACGAACAAAGTTATCTCCATTACACATCTCTTAATTCTATTTATTTATTCTCAGCTAATAGACAATATCAGATATTTGTAGTCGTCATCTCTCATATATATTCGGGTCGTATCCTCATTTAATCGTTTTTCTTTCTATTGAATAAAACAGCAAACGTTGTCAATTGACTCTTTGCTGTTTCAAATAATATAAGCGCAAATATCATAGTTATCCCAATATTACACAATCTTTCTGTAGATTGTAACGATGTTATTGATATGTAAGTGGTGAGTTTGTCATCTTGTTTGAAACAAAGCATATCTAGACTCTAAAATATGTAATCTATATACGCTGGAGAGGTAGTCTCCCTTGATTGGGAATGTAAAGTGGGACGAAGTTGCCTTTGTTGTAAACAAGAAGTCGCTGACTCTTCTATTTGTGGAGTTATCTAGCGGGATCGACTTCAACAGTGGGTTAGAGAAAAGAAGATCAGATGAAGAAAAGATGTTGCAACAGTTTGTAAAGTTGCTAAAGATCAAAAAAGCAAAGGATGAAGAGTACCGACACAGTATTACTTATTATCATAATAAGATTATTATGATAACTTGATATAGCAAAAGTACTTGATATCTTTTTGATAGATGTGAAGCTTCATTTCAAGTCGTTGACTTGCTTTTGTGAATGCTTCGTTAAACGCTCACATCTCCAAGACATATGTCCTACAACGCCAAAAAAGCTTAAGAAGTTTATTGAGTGTACACCCACTCTTTTTAAGTATTGTGAAGCTTTACTGAAACAAGTACCTCATTTTAATAGTTCTTCTCCCAGACTTATAATAAAATAGTAATTGTTAGCTATTGACTCTTTATTATTTACAACTATACGCATAAATATCACACTTATGACGGTTTGAAAAAGAAAAAACATCCCTACTTTATTATATGCACAGTTGATGAGCTGTGAGGTCGACTGCGGTGAGGACAAACAGTCTTTTGCACAAGACAACCTGGTCGAAGAGAATCTGTGTCGTATGCTTGAACACTTCAAAAGACAGTTACACAAGATGTTGTCGCTTGGGCTTTATTTAAAAAAAAAAAACTCAAAGATGTATAATCAAAGTTTATTCTATTTTCTACATGTTTACACGTCGTACGCAAATGCCTCATTTAAAGAAGCTTCAGATGACCAGTAACTTGATCGATAAGTTCGGCTGGTCCTATTAAAAAGTTTCAGTATCTCATTTCTATCTATTTTTTTTTTGTCTACCTGGACCAACACCCAATACTGTGCGAGATCCTGCTGCAATCTGTGTGCGTCCAGCGTCTCTAATACTCTGGGCAGGTAAGCCTAGACTAAGTGCAATGGCCTGTAACTCCAAACTATATTCACATGAACAACAAAATACCGTGTAATTTAGCAGGATGTACTTACAGTTTTTCTTCACTATCACACTTGAGTGCAACCTTTGCTTGTCCAGAATACTCCCAAGCACGTAAGATCTGACCAAACATGTCAATCTGTATCCTCTTTTTGTATACACATATTATCTACCTCTGGGTTCACTTTTTTGGCAGCCTTATAGCAGGCTAATGTTGCATGTCCACACTTTGATACAGTTAGTTTTTTCCTCCCTTTTTTTAGCGTTGCATTTACCTGAGCAGCAATCTTTCCTTTTGTCATGCCAAGATCTGTTCGGACGACAAGAGTCTTTTAGATAAAAAAAAAGGGGGGGTTCAATATGGATACTCTTATGGCCGTAGATTGCTTACTAGTTTGAAATTATCAAACTTGCTTGGATCGATTTTCCCTTCTGGAACTGCAATGCGATCTTCGTCATCACTGTCTTCTTCTTCTTCCTTGACTACAGCTGGTGTCTCTGCAGGGTTAATCTGAACATATAAAGTTAAATTATGTAGATCTTGTTGAATCTATAATTACAGTTGTTGATGCTACGCGTCTTCCAATGAAATAACCAGTGATTAAAGAGACAAAAGCAGTGGCTGCTACAACTGATATGTCAACGTTTTTCATTTTATTTACAATAAAGAAAAAAAAAGATTTTTTGTTAAAGGACAGTCTATTTTTTAGTAAAGAAGCTTGTCAATGTTTTCATGCCTTTGGTATTCACTTTTGCTAAACTCCTTGGTACAGCTGCTTTCTTTTTCTATGATCATAGTTTAGTATATTATTATTCTATACATCTGGTATACCTTTGGCGTGTCAGCATCCATCATTCTTTCTTCATAACTTGTACGTTTAAAATAAGAAGTCGGTGAAACGTCAGTAGCATAGTTTGTTAGTTCGTTTTGTTGTTCTTCCTTAACTTCTTCTAGACTATAATAGATATTAGTAATGATAACAACACACACATATATGCATACCCCATCTTGTTTAATAATTTTTTGAACCAAGCTTGTGATAAATAATTGGCAATGGTATATACAGCTTCTAATTTCATGTATTCTTCAGCTTGTCCTGTTTGTTCAAAGCATCTCTTGAAAGTATCATTTGCTAATACTCGATTCACTTTCTTAAGAAGCCAATTTAATACAAGGTCTTCATTTAGTCTATATACAAGTACGCCCACATCCTGTACATCACACAAGTGTTTTAGTTGATCTTCGGAAACAAAGTTGATCAGCCTATGAACATCAATGGGCCTATCGTCATCATTGTCTTCTTCATCATGTTCAATAGTGACATTGTCTCTGGTAAAGATATCATCCAATGTACGAAACTGGTTTCCTACAGATGCTCTTTCTAATACAGGTAAACATATAAATAATGAATCTATGGGTGAAATGAATCGAACAGCTCCATCTATAATATAAATATATATATATGTATATGTGAGCATGACTGTATAAGGAAATAGAAGGGGATAAGTGTGTACCTTTGTACATATTGCCATCAATTAGCCAAGAACTCTTTCTTCCTGGGCCGGTGATCCTTTGTATTTCAAATAATTGATTTAAATGATTATGAAAATAGATAGCAATCCTATCTACAGTTTGTATTAGTTTAAGCTATCTCGGCTTTTTTTTTCTTTCTTTACTTGATCTCGGACAAGGTAGACTGAGTTCTACTAAGTTGTCAACATCTATTCAAAATAAGTTTAGCTTTCATGTATATCTTTGTAAACATATTACCTTGATTCGTCTTGTCTATAAATGCAACAAATGCCATGAGAGAAAAAGAACTAAAAAATTTTATTCGCGTCATTTGACGTGCAATGAACCTGAATTCCCCTTTATAAGGATACAAATCTGTTTTTGATCTCCGCCAATTAGTCTCAAAAAAAGGGAAAAAGGTTAATTATATTAGTTCCCTTTTTCTCTCTTTTTTTTTTTTTTTTCTTTCTTTCTTCCTTTTTCTCTTTCTCTTTCTCTTTCTCTT